CGTTATCAGTTTATCGATCTCAGCTAACATGTGTTTAGTTGAAACAGATCTACAATGCTATCGATAAGTATTGCAAGCAGTCTGGAATCAATCAGTGGCACCCTGAGTACGGTGCGAACATCCAGGGGGAAGCAGCAGCGGCAGTGTTTGATGCATATGTCCAGCAAAAGGTATGTCATTATACTCTCATGTCATGTTGTTTTACTAATACTACATTTCTTTCAGTCCAATTCTGTGATGCGCCCTTTCCGAAACTCCAGATGGGTCTATCTTGAGCGGATGCAGGAGATTTTACCTGTGGGTGGCACACGAGGGGCAGCGGCTTTCCGAGCCACCAATGTTCCTGCGCCCTCCATTGACGATGAGCCTGGGGTGGATGCCCCAGGAGCTCAGGCTCCTGGATCTGCTAGCTCCATGAGTGCCATCACTGGCACGAGTGGCGGATCTACTAGCTCCACGAGTGCCGCTGCTGGCACAAGTGGTGATGTCATTATGTCCGGGACCAATACCATCGCTTCTCCTCCTCCCCCGTCTAGTGCTGCCACTCGACCAGCTATCTCTACAACCTCCAGTACCGGAAAGTGCTCACACGATGCCACATCCATGTTCCATGATAATGCGGCCACATTCGCATCCACAGTACCTTCATCGACATCTGAACTGCCACAACAATCTGAGGCTCGAGGGTCAAAGAAACAGAAGTCACGTGCAACCCAGTCATGCGCTGACAGTGGCCAATCTGCAATGATGACCAGTGCTGCAAGAGCAGCCAAGATCACGCCAGCTGCAGCTGTTGTGGGCATGCAAGGGTCCATCAATCGTCTCACCGATGTGATCGAGAAGGGTATGGTTACTGATGCGGAAAGGCTGGAGAAGCAGAGACACGCTGCCTTGCATATCTTGAACAGGGAAGATGCAGACTACTATCTGTTGCAGGAGAGGGTCATTGTCATGCACATGTTTGCAGATGACCCAGCTGTCACCAACATATACCTTCAAAACGATGACAAAGACACGCGGTATGCATTCATCCAGCACATGATCCAGTATAGATTTCAGAAGGTCCCGCAAGCACCACAAGTGCCATACGTCTGTCTGCAGTTGTAACTGTGCCACCAGCGCCATGTAGTTTACCTGCTATTTGTTCAATCTTGCATGCACTCATTTGTTTTTTTCATACTCAATCACTAGCTGAACTAGCTGTTTCCATACCAAGTACTTGTTGTTTCTGTACCGAATTACATGTGTTTCTATGCTACGCTTTCCAATTCGCTCTCGTCCAACGCGTCTGATACCTCCGAGTCTGAACCTGAGTCCAACAAAGCCCTCTCATGTATGACATCCTGATACTGATCCCACATTGCTTGCGCAATGCATTCACGCATTGCGCGACCACTCACCGCATGACCACTATTGTCGTTCATTTCTTCATTGTCGTCGTCGTCGTCGTCATCATCAGCTTGTCCCTGAAAATCAGGGTTCTCAGACGCGTATGATTCGCCGTGTGACTCTTCATCCTCACTGGGATCATGTAGGCGTAGGAAGTTGTGGATTGTGCACAAGTGCAGCAGGAATTCGTGCTTGAGTGTCGAGGGGGTACTCTGGTGCCAAAAGGAGAATGCGAAAGCGGCGTTTTAGGACACCAAAGATGCGCTCTATCATGTTTCGTGCAGACGCGTGGCATAGGTTGAAGAGCTCCTCTTTATTGATGGGCCTGCCATCAAAATATAAGTTAGAGAAACAAAGAAGTTAGAAAAACATACCTGATATTTGCACGGCCCCACTCCGCAAGGTGGTAACGGACACCACGGTATGGCACAAGAAGTTCAGGGCAAAGCGGGAATCCTGCATCTGCTAGGTAGTACTTCTGTCGTGGAATGTGGAAGTCATGCACATGTGCATCCTCATAAATCTGAGAATCATTAGCTGAACCCTCCCACCCGGTCAAAGAGTAGACAAAATTGAGGTCGAAGTCGCAAGCAAATAAACAGTTCTGCGAAACTGAAACCTTTGCAATTACGGTATACAGTGTGTTCAAAGGCAGGGGGTGACACATGAATATGACTTCCGTCGAGTGCGCCAACAGCATCACAGAAAAATGGCCAAAATTTGGGGTTGTTTTTTATTTTTTTTGAGACCGAAGTGCCTGTCTGGTAAGTGGACGTAGGTAGTGTAGAACGGGGGGGACGAGAATATGTGTTGAATCCTTTTAAAATAACTAGGAAATATTAGATGTATTGTATAGATCAAAAAATAATAGCGCTCACCATGAAATTGTATTGTTGATCTCTGAAACTGCTCTCCAACATGCTGGGTAGTCAGGCCCGTGATGCTAGTATACAGGAATATAGCGACTTGTTCTTCCAACGAGACGAACTTGGAGTCAACATAACTGAAGTTAAGGAGCTCAGAGATGAGTGCTTCAAAAGCATGTGCATGCATACCCAGTTCGCATCGAATGTGTTCCGGATGTCCAGTAAGAAGCTCCATAAGCCAGCCTTCACCAGAGAGAATGGATGTGTGGTACGGTTCTGGGTCTTTGGAGTAGGTAGATTGTAGTAGGGATCCTGTAGCACATATCAGGATGCTGATGAGGATTTTAGCATAGTGAAGGAGGCGTTGTTGGATCTCTGGACATGTCATTGTAGTGAGAACAGTAGTTACAGTAATGCGCAGCAAGAGCTGGTAGAGATACAACACTTGTCAAGATCCTTAAGATTATCGATGTGATAACAGTAGTAGTACGATGCAAGCAAGGTTGAAAGTCAGCCGTTCGGGGTGGCGTGCCGACCATGCTTGCCTGACTGCAAATTGATTCAACCTGACTTCACATGGGTTTCCAAACTAGCTCTAACATATGATGAGTGGGATATAGTTGACAACTTGAATATAGTGATACTCAAAGTACATTTCAAGACTTGCTAAAATGTGCACTAAAATACTGGCTAACCAAAAATTCTAGATGGATTTGGCTGGCATTACCAATCAGAGTGTCAATATTGGTGCCTCCTGCTTGCCAATGTGCCTGGCATTCTGCAAGGCTATAAGCAAACTCTTGAGCTTGCCTAAAGATGATGGAGCTGCCCCCACAACTGCCTGCATCCATAGATGATGTCAAGTTACAAGCAGACAAAGGCCGATGAATCCGACACATGAGGTATGAGTGCATGCTATAGCAGAAACAGATAAGCATGCATTGACAGTGGCTTGTGCCCTCTCTTATTTTTTGTGTCTTTGATTAATATATCTTCCTACTTGTTTTGCCTTATAGCTAGAGCCAATAGTTAGATGCATCTCAGTCTTGTTACAAGTACTGAGATGTGAGTACCATTAGTTGCACAACAAAAACATAGCTAATGTCTTTCATAGTGTTCATTCTATTAGGTACATATACCAATTATACACTGAGTCTTGTCACAAGTACTGAGATCGTTTGTTCTATTAGCTCCCTCTGCATCATCCGCTTGCCTCTAAATACAATAGATGAGGGAAAGGTCAAGTGCAGGGGTCCAATCCAAAGATCATTGTTTGCTGGACCTGACCCTTGGACCTTCATCATATGGATACCCTAGTACAACACATCACTACTCACTTTGTGGATGCCTGCATTCTATTCTATGAGGGAAAGAAATCCTCCACTACCAACAACAATAACTCAAAGGAGCGCATTTGTGGGAAAGACAAAGGGGAGATCTACCAAGTATTAGCCAAGCTCATCTTCAAGAAGGACACTGAGTATTTGGTGTCATTGTTAAAAACATGCTCAAAGGGTTGGATCTGAAGGGCTTAGCTTCAGCTCATGCACTGTGCCCCTTACCTGAGTATGTGCCCTTAAATTCTGAGGGCTATAAAATGAAGTCTGGAAGTCTGGAGTCTGATGTGTGGGAATTCTGGCAGATGTTCAGAAACAAGAGGGAAGACTAATATGGATGATGTAACACTCAAGCTGGCACTGGGCTTGTATTCAGCCATTTCACACATCACATCAAATGTCTGTCACACAATATTCACTTCCCAATGCAACCCAATGCATATCTGCCAAACCTGATACTTTGACTAGTGGACCCGACATTTTGGCCGCATCAGACCTGATGTTTTCCCACACACTTGTCCTATCCGTGTCTCATCTTGTCTGCTAGCCCCACTAGGTGCATAGTTCATTATTTGTACATTACTCATGTTGTAGCCAATGCTATTACATGTTTTCCCATAGTCCACAGCACCTTGTTTTTATTTACATATACATCGGACCCAAAATCTTCGGCCACTACTTTCGCCTATAGGGTTCTGGATTTGTACGTACTTATATATATATTGGTTTCCACATAGCATATTCATCATCCAAGTAGTAGGGAGCCGTTTCCCAACACCTTGTGGTCAAACCCAATATTTCATAGTTCTTAGTTGATATTGCAAAATATTACCGCTCTTTCTATCTGAAATACCTGTCATTATTGATAATCTGCATATCCCTCACTTTCCTGATGTTTGCTATCACCATTCCCATTCCCCATAACCTGCTAACCCAAACCCACTACCCCGCTGTAAAGATACAACAATGCTTGATACTATACAAAGTAAGTATTCAGCAATATAAAATGTTGTAGTGGTCTTGCACAGCCTAGTCTGCTATACTCGCTAGACAAGTGCTAATGCCACTAACTCCCTATCCAAAGTCGAGCCTACATGTGTAAATATGCCTTGTGCATTGTACATCACTAGTTACAGGCTTGGAGAAAACACTCACAAATGAACATTCGACACATAACATGTGCAGACAAACACAAGCAAGTGCAGAGTATGAAACATGCCAGAAAACAACCTGGAATAGGTGAAAGTAACAAAAATAAGTATAGACAAGTAGTATAACACTCACAAGCAAGCATAGATACATATATAAGAATGAGCATCAAGTGTAAGTGCTACAAAAATTAAGGATGCACAATTGAACAAGGCCCTATGTAGGTTGTTTTTTTTATTGAAAAATATGTCTCACATGCATGCCAGATATTTATAGGATTGAGTCATTCCCAGGTGATTTCTTGAAGGTTTGCCCATCTGGCAAAACTGTTCACAAGATGATGGCAAAATGCCAATACCCCACCACAGTTGCCGAACTCAAGACACTTCCTGATACCAGAAAAATACTTCTACCTCTTGATCATCTTGACCCTGCCACTATTCCTGCGGACATACCTCCTTATATCATCATGCAATTTGAACACCTCATTACCGCAGAGGAACAGCATCATCTTTGGTTCCAGTGGGACCGGCTGATAGCTGCAAAGCCTGTGCACCTCCTGAAGTGTGACAAGAATTGCTCGGCTTCTGAGGCATGGCACCTGGGAATATGGGAGTCACTGGTAAAGAGTCTCAATTGACTTTGAAGACTGGATCTCAATCGCCCTAGGCTATTGAGGCTATAGACAATCTGCTTCATTTCATCAAGACACACATTGCCAGTGAAATTAGTGGTGTTTTTAAAGAACATGCCCCGGCACAATGGAAGGCACTTTGCGGGTATGTCTATTGCATTGTATCTATGATGACTTTTCATGGGCCTTCCTAGAGCACACAATTGTGTACTTGACAAATTGGGGAGCCAGTTTGAATTGCATCCCAATCTTGATATGGGTGGAGCATTTTTTACAGTTGCTGCCAAGGAGGCTGGGTCTGGAATTACTTATATTGACTGGAATGATGATCATGCCATATATGCTTTTGTATTTGTGGTGTGGGATTAGGGGGGAATTTTGTACATCATAACTAGATATAAAAATCCCAGTTTACCCTGGCCAGGTGCTAGCAGTTCTAGCACATATGCTGGCCCACTTCAGTGCACCAGTTATGAAGGGTCAGAGAATCATCTTCACATGTTTTACAGATAAGTTACTTTTCTATTATAGTGACCTGGTAGTTGTAGATTATACCATAATGTTTTAGCTGCTTTATCTAACTGGCAATCCAGTGCATAATTATGTTCTTAACATTAATCATGAGAGCTAGTACATATAGCAATGAAAACGAAAGAAGGATGCTGGGTTGCCTGAAGGACTGTAACGAATACAAGAATGAGTTCAAGTGTAAGTGCTACACTGTGACTATAATGGGTATATTATAAGTATAGGTGTTTATGTGGGTTACAAAATTACAACCTATATTCATACTCATTGGTACCCTTATCTATCACCTATTATGGATTACCCATACCTATGCTCTTGCCTATCCCTCACTTGTCAAAATTCCTTAAATATCTTTAGAATTACTTACTACTGTAAACTCAAATGTCTTCCTTTGTACCAAACTTATTATTGCCTGAATTGCATCTGTGAGAACCTCTGCATTTAGGTTCTGCAATGCAGTTGATACTCCTAAAGTTTTACAGTTACTTTGCATCAAGTAATGCTAAAAGGTCTTTTGGAAGATTCTACCTAAGTAAATCTTCAATTCATATTTATATTTCTTGAGCTCTCATTTGACAATTTGAACATAATATTACTATCAATGAATAGTTCTACACTTATTTGCCAAAGAGATCTTTGCCTATGTTCACTCTTACAAAGTTATTTGTTAAGGTGACCATGCTATGTCTTTATGAATTGAATTAAATTATTAATAATTTTCAATATCTGGAAGTCACCCAGCTAAAAGTGTTGAAAACCAGTCTTCAGCCTTAGGTGAGAACATTTTAGTAAATTGTCTCTGCTAATCCTTCAAGTAAATGCTGCCCCCCACTAAAGTTAATTTAGTGCATAGAGACTGTCTTTTTGACTCTGAGTCTAAGACTAAGAAGGACATGTCTGAGAGCTTGTACCTATTGGACTTAAAGATAGCCTCTGAGTCTAATGAGATATATGGTGTACTTCTACTCTCAAAGTGTTATGTAAAAATTGATACTTTTGATAGATCTGAAAGCTTCTTTACTTTCCTCCTTATATAATTTTGGTCCAACACTCAGTCTAACACTTAGAAGGTTAGTAAGACTGTTTTCTAGAGTCCATAATTAATATAGCATAACAGAATAGTACTAGCCATATAGTAGCTCAGTCTAATATTATGCTCATACTCTATAAGGCTAGAACTATGGCCTAGGTAGGAATAGACAGAGTATGAGTAATCCCTGGGGGTCAGAGATAAGGACACTTAAGGGTAGCGGTGTGAGTTTGAATCTGGAGATCCATATACCCCTGGGCCTAGGCATAATACATCTACCATAGGAGTGATAGATAAGTATGAAATTTTGAAGTTGTCAACAGTACAATGGTTACTAGGCTTATTGTGATCTTATATTGTGAGTTGGTTATTATTTGAGTAAGATAGAATAAAATATAAGTGAAATCTATGTCTCTTCTAGCTTAGATGGTGACAATACCCCTATACCCTTATGATATCCTTGTACCCTTATAATACCTTTGAGTTACTCCTGTTCTTGGTCCAGGGATAGGGGTGTAGGTTGGGCTCAGGATAACTCTAGAACTGAATATTTACATATAATTAAGGTCTATATCTTTTATATTATACTATTCTTACATATAGCGACTGGGTAGACTTCAGGTCTGTTGAACATTATCAGTCAGATATATAATACCTTAATTATACTTCAAGAATCTGATCCCTATATCGCTGAATCTACTTGTCTCCATTAATGGTGAGATTTGTTGAGGGAGGTGTTAGATCATTAAACTCCTTCAAATATTTCTAAGTAGTGTATTTCTGCTGTTCCACCTATGAGGTCTAATTGATGTTATTACTAAAGTTATTTAGTCTCATTGTCAGTTCAACAACGGTCAGATTCAAGAGCATCCAGCAGGGGAGAAATTCGAGGTTCAGGGACTGACTGAATTTGTGGACCGTAGCAAACCTGTTTGAACCATCACCAAACCAATCAGTAGGATCCATAAACAAATATAATTAGATGTTATGAGTGGCAACAATCTTGATCATCTAGATATTTGGTACTGTACAGTTTTCTACTAAGTAACAAATATACCTGGAGGCTTTTTGTCTCAACCCCCACACAATGGACTAGTGTACACTCAATATTGATGGATTACTTAAAGAAGCCTGCAATATACAATAGGTACATTCACCTACACAAAATACTGCTTCCTCACCCCCAGTTGATTCTCCATCACTATCACCAACATTACCTAATAAATCTACTACCTTCACATTTAGTACCCAACTGACTCCAGCAACCTTTGGAAACACACAGAAATACAAGGCAGATAACACTAAATCCACAATTTCCAAGTCCAAAGGCTCGAGTACTCACCAGAATAAGAAAGATGTGCCTGTTCCAAAGGTAACCAAACCTTCAAAGCCAGCACTGATAGAACAGGTTAAAGCCTTGCAATCTCAAGACTTAGCATCTAACACTAGTACTGCAGGTGAAGAATCAGACGATGAGGAGGATGAACCTACTCAGAAAAAGAGACATAAAAAAGGTGATGGCACTGCTGATATTTTGACCATGTTCAAACCTGTCGACTCCCATAATCTGGTAGAAGGCTATGTGTGCTAGGTTTGCTGAGTAAGTGATAGGAAATTATATTCGTGTATTTCAGCTTATCCTAGTGATTTCAGTGATAAGAAAAAGAGCAACCCAAGTAAATATGGGAAGTTGCAGACAGTATTCAAGGGTAATAATAGCATGATGCACACACATGTTTGCCAGATGGGTATGGATCATTACAAAGTATACCAAGAAAGATGTATCATGGCAAAAATTGATATACATGAATGTTGCATTCTGCAAGAAGAATTGGATTGCTTGGAGGGTAAATCTGATGGCAATAAGCAGTGCGTCAACCTGCCAAGTCTCTTCATTCACAAATGTGTCACTGACTTTACACACATTCTACAGACAACAATCAATTCTCAGTTTCACTGAAACTATCCAGAGGCCAGAGGAGTGGAGCAAAGAACAGCTTCATGAATGTATTATTCACTTCATCATCGAAACAGACCAGGTACATTTAGAACTCGAACATGTAGTGTTACTTAACATATTACATACAGGCTTTATCTATTGTTAACCATGATGCATTTTGGAAGCTTCTTCACTATAATGGACGCAGCAAGACGAAGAATTCAGACATCCCCCATCACACGAAAGTCACTGAAGATGTCATAGAACGTGTAGAGGCAATTTGAGCTGATATTGCAAAAGAATTACAAGTATGTACCACACTACAACCCAAAAAATGGAGTTATCTCATACTATTATTGGTAGGATGCTCCAGGTCGTGTCTCCCTCACATTTGATGGGTGGACTTTGAAAATCATGACATCATACCTTGCAATCACAGCACACTGGATCTTGCAAGAATGGAAACTTCACTCTGAACTGATGGCATTCTCCAAGGTAGAAAGAAGTCGTAGCAGTGAAAATTTGGGAGAAGAACTGTATAGTGTGATGAAAAATTTTAACATTTGTAATAAGGTAATCTATAGTTTATGCTTGATGTCTGCATTATGGCTGACTCTCTCTTCAGATACAGAATATCACCTCTGACAATGTAACTGTCGATGACAAAAGCATGCAGATAGTCAGTAGCAAACTCAAGGCTGATAAGATCAATTTCGTCACAGTGGAGCAACGCTCTCAGTCAGCTTTGAATTGTTGTTTTCATGTACAAAGTTTGCTAATATGCCTTCTGCAGTTGTTTTTCATATGCCATTGCCCTTGCTGAAGGCAGGTTCCTGGCCAAACTTTTGCCTGCACTTAAGAAGACTGTCAAAGGACAACCCACAGATTTGTCATCTCACATAGTATCTGTCAAGTTTGATGATGAGGATATAGAGGAGGAAGTCAAAGAACTTGTATGAGAAATGGAGACTATCATTGCTGAGCTTCCTCAGGCTTCATATTCCCAGCAAGCTAAGCTTGTCGCTAGGCTTCTTCTGAAAGTTTGCAGATTCATTGCAAAGGTTCATCTATCATGCTTGTCTTCTACAATTTGCGCTGATGTATGTAAGCAGGTCTGCTGATCACTGCAAGCCAAGAAATACTTCAAGAAATGTTATATAGATGCCATAGGTAACAACACCCTTGAGCTTTTGCCTTATTGCAAGACATGTTGGGGCTCTTGGTATGGTGTTATCACTCACTTACTGGTACTTAAGAAGGTAAGAAGGCACGTCTGCTTTCAGTATCCTAGTACTGAGTTGTGTTATTTGTTAGGCTGTCAAAACCTTCCTGAACATGGCTGATGATTCTGAAGATGTTCCCAAAGTCGACAAAGGTCAGCTGAAGTATGAAAAGTATAAGCTTTCTGAGGAGGAATGGAAGCTACTTACTCTCGTTCACAAGGTATTGGCGGAAGCTGCAAAGGTTCAAGAAATGTTCTTGGCTGAGTATTATCCCACAATTTGACAGATCCTCCCATCATACAAATACCACCTTGCCCAATGGTGTGAGTTTCCAGCTGACCCCAGAATGATTACTCTACAGCCAGCTATTGAGGCGGGGATCGAGAGCCTCAAAAAATACTATAACAAAACTAACAATTCTCCTGTGCACATGGTTTCAATATGTAAGTACCTAATGACAGATCGTCAAACTGTTATAGTACTGACAATCACAAAGATTTAAATCCTTGCCTCAAGGATGAATTCTTCATGGTTGCATGGACAGTGGACGGGCAAGAGCAAGCACTTGCTACCATGGAAAAAGTGGTCAGTTCAGCCCTTCCTTCACATGGATCATTGATATTGACTTGACAAGAATATAGTTCGACAATTACCAAGAGTCCTACTCCAAATCTACTTCTAATTTAACCTTGTTCACACCCACACCCATTTCATGCACATCATCCAACAGTCTGATCACAAGAGCCACAGAACACCATTGTGCATGAGAGAAAGAGACTATTCAAGATCAGCAGGCAGAGCTCAAATTTATCTGTCCAAAAATTTACTTTGCATTGATAAGAGTCTATCACCTGAGCATCAAGCTGAGCTCATCCTTGCATGGTGGCAGGTACTACTGTTAATTTATGACTCCTTTCTTGTGCTCATGGTAAATTTCTCAGGTTAATGCTGTTTGCTATCCAGTACTGAGTCGCATTGCACTCAAATTTTTACCTATCCAAGGGTCTTCCATCCCTTGTGAACATGCCTTTTCAGATGCTGGGCTCACAGACACAAAGTGGCATGTTCACCTTCTCCCAAAGAACTTCGGTGACATCCAAACTGTCAAGGGCACTTATAAGAAGGAGTGGAGGGGCCAAAAAGCAGAGTTGGCTGCTCAGCAGACAGCACAGAAGAAGTGCTTGATGGACGATGCAGCATGGGAGGTGCAGAAACACAATGCAGAATAGCAATCTCCAAGTAGTAATGAAAATTTTATTGTGGCATTGATTTTTGGTTTAGAACTGGTCTGAACCTGAACAGAACCACATAGAACTAGTCCGTCATCAAACCAATCCAGGTTCAGGTCCAGCAGAAATGCATATCTATTTAGTAGTTTGAGTTCAGGTTCAGATGAGATGTGCCTGAACCGGACTTGAACTGGACCATGGCTAGGCTGTCCACTGTATGCCGTATGACAGGACTTTACAGGGCCGTAATATGGTCACCATACCTGTACTGTTGGCTGTTTAGACCTTCAGTTGACAGTTACGGTGTATGGGTATCAGGGGCCCAGTATGTTGCTGTATTATTATGGCCATATATGTCTGTAATATGGTGTGAGTACGGGTTTGTTTATTGTGCATAAGCAAATAGACTTAGCTGGACATGATTGAGGTGAGTTGAGTCAAGCCAAGCTGAAGACAAACAACTAATCATCTATATGATGTGACAGAATCTCGATTCCAAAGTCAGTCTCTCTCTCGATGCATGAACTTCAAGTAATCAATTCGTGTTCCTCGCCATTGTCATGCATTATATCATGAATGACTGGAGCTTGGGTATGTCGCTGTGGCTATAGCTTGTAGTACTGAGTTATAACTGCACATTTATAGAAGAACTTTTGATCAATTTCCATGAGATCATCGGTGAGCATAGCGGAGCTAATCTTGCTGAAGCAGTTTGGCATACCTTGGAGCTATATGGACTGAAAAGTCGGGTCATGGCCATTGTATGTGATAATGCCTCAAATAACGATACTCTACTTCAAGCACTCGGAGAGAAGTGTGCTGATGAAGGAATTGACTTCTCCGCTATGCACTCATGCATCCGTTGCTTGCCACACATTGTCCACTTGGTGTCATGCAGCTGCTTGAAGGTATTGGAGCTATCAAGCCAGATGCGAAGCGAAATCAACAAATCACATATCAAGATTCAGTCACAGCACCACTTGATCGCGAGCATAATGACTATGCAGCTCTTCTTGATGAGGCTGAAGGTGATGCCGATGACCAGCCTGCCAGGGATAACTTTGAGTCAGTTGCAGCAGGTACTGTCTGCTGTTGCAAAGGTATGATTGCACTGCGTGGTGCATATTCAACTACTAAGTGAAATAGCTTCGAAAAATAGTCCATTCTGTCCGTTCAAGCCCACAGTGACGGAAAGTGTGGTTTGCAGAAGTCACAATGTCTCTTAAAAAAGCCGATAATGCAACAAGTCAAGTAGCCCTCATGCTCATCTTGGACGTCAAGACTCATTGGTCATCCACGCATCAGATGCTATGTCAGGCACTTGATTTTCATCAAGCTATTGATGACTTTGTTGCAAAGACTTGTGACCTCAGGCAATATGAACTCTCTGATGCCGATTGGGCTGGGATAGAGCTAGTCACGCAATGGTTGAAGTCCTTTCGCTCTGCTACCACTCAAATGTCCACAACAAAACGTCCTATGCTATCATCTGCACATGCAATATTCTGTGGACTCCAGGAGTCACTTCAAGAAGACTTAGCAGAGCTTCCAGATTCAGTGCCAGTAAAGCTTCGATCTGCACTGACAAGCACTCATCGTAAGCTCAGCGATTATTACTTCAAGGTTGATGAGTCGCCTTTCTATGTTTGGGCTTCAAGTATGTTACTTTTTATTACAAGTCAGTTTGGCTAGCTAATTGTCTATTTTCTGTGAAGTTCTTGACCCCCGCATTTCGTACTATGGGCTCCATGGTGACTGTGGTGGTGATGTCATTGCACAAACTCATATCGAGACACAGAAGAATGATCTACATGCACTTTATAGAATGCAGTATGCTACAGTGCCAGTAGTCCAATCGGTCCCTTCTCCCACTGAAATGAGCCCTTCGGAGAATGCTAGATGGTCTCCAATGAAGGTCAACTTCACAGCAAGGTACAAGAAGCGATCAAATACCTCGATAGACGAATTCAAGGAGTACTTGAAGCTCCCGCAGGAGGATTTCAATACTTGTGACCCCATTCAGTGGTGGGCAGGCCGCCACGCGCAATTTCCCAACCTTTCTCATCTTGCGCGTGACATTCTTGCAATCCCTGGTGAGTGTCGTATAGCATGTTCAAAACATTTATATTTAATTATTGTCTTCGCACTGTTTGCAGGGTCTGCTGTTGCTGTTGAATGGATCTTTTCTGGGGGTTGGGACACAGTCTCTATGCGGCATGCAAGCCTCAAGCCTGAGACCATCAGGACACTAATGCTTGTGAAAGCCAAGCTTTGTTTAGCTCATACTGCACTTCAAGATCTCATTTAAGGCTCTGTATGTACTGTATACGGCCGTAAAGTACCCCGTACCGTACTGTCAGCATGTTTTTTGTAAACCGTAATAGATGGCTACTGTTTGACTTCATACAGTTGTGCACCATATATGGTATGGCCGTACACCGTATATGGTATGGTGAACAGCCCTAACTACAGCAACTTTAGGTGTTAGTGGATATAATACCCCTTACAGATCAATTCCAGGACCCTGTTAAGGGTACTGGTTTCGCTGGAGGGACATGAGTACCCCTGATCATACTGGATCTTTTATATTATTTGTTGATGTTTGGTTGTGGCCATGTTTTCCTCTCATGTTTTCCCTTCTTACGACCGACAGATAAATATCATGGCCTGCGCATACTCATTGTCTCATTCTGGTCTAGATCTCCTTGCTCGTCCTGTCGCGTTTGTAGTGTCTGATCAAGAACTTCCCAATGATGGACATTCTGTCGTATTGTTGTGTGTTTTATGCAAGTATTTTGGGTATCATGGGGTATCTCGAGATTGTCTGTCTGTAGTCCACCAATTTCCATCTGGTGATTTGCTCCCAGTTACTGCACTGAGTCTGTGCCACATCCTTGAGCATTTTTCTGTTTTCACTCGCAAGCAGTATGCTGAAATTGCTTGCACACACTCAGTCAGGTTTATCTCAGTTGATCGTAAGGACCATATTTGTGATCTCCTTTAGGTGCATGAATGCACCAGACAATGTGCACCGAATCTCATCGTGTTTCGGCATCTGCGTTCTCCCAGGCGCAATATTTCTCGTGTGGTGCTGCCACCTCCTTCTAAATCTGATCACTTGGCACATCAGAATGCAGTTCACCATGCTGCATGCTCCCGATGTGCGGAGGTTCAATGTGACCATAGTGTTGATGCCATACACTCTGCAGATGAATCGACAGATGAGGACATTGATGATGATCCTGAGTTTCCAACCATGCATACATTTCCTGAGAAGGTAGATATCATTAAGGAATGGCAACATGAGATGAGCTACATGATGCAACAGTGCAGCATATGCGCTGTTTGTGCTCATAATGTTTGCATTAAACAGCTGAAAAGTGTCAGTTCGTCTCAAGTTCCCTTACATTTATTGCACAATGATTGTCTGCCAGCACACACTTTGCCCCAAACATACGATTTGGAGTTGTATGACAGAACCATCTTGCATCCAAAAGGCTTGTATGATTGCTGGGCAGTTGGGGCTCTGTGGATGTGTCATCAGTGTCATGCAGCTTTGATCAATAAACATCCACGTCAACCTGTGAACTCTCTCGCTAATTTCCAATATTATGGACATGAAATGTTGCCCCCTTCTGTTGCTGATGTGTTTGCGCGAGCATCTATGTATGATTTAATGCTTGTTTCTCGTGCGCGTGCGTCACAAATCATACATTTTTATGCTCACAAGCCATCTGGACATTTGGTGCCTGAGGAAAGCTCTCAGCGGTATAATCAAGGAAATGTTGCTATCAGACCCCAGGACTCTGTTGAGTTGCGGAATATGCTTCCACCCAGTGAGGATGAATTGTGCAATGCAATGTGCATGATCTTTGCTGGTTATCAGGAGAAACCTTCATGTGCAACTGTCAAACAGATGCATCCAGTTTTAGTGACCAAATCTGTAGTTAAGACACTGATTGAATTTCTAGTCGCAAACAATCCTTGGTATCAGCAATGCAGTGTTTTGTATAGCCAAGAGAATATGGATGCTCTTTTTGAAGATATTGATGGCGATGCGGACACAGGCATTCCCAAAGCTTTGCAAATATGTCATTTATCGAAAGATGACTCCATTGATCAATTCCTTCCTTTGGAATCACACAATCCAAGTATTTCAGACAGCATAGATCCCGGCGATATTACCATGGAAGCAATAGGTTTTACCAAGGGTGACCATTCAGCAATGAGTCAAGAGAAAATGAAACTTCATGCATTGGCACATGTATTAGATCATAACAAGTTCATATTGTCAAAGGCAGGCTCATCCTTTGTCTCTGACAGCGATCCAGGCTTGATGTCTTTTTTATTTCCACACTTGGATCCTTGGGATATCAGTGGATTTAATCATAGTGGTCATATGCGTCCACAACATATCACAATAGAAGCACAAGTCAAAAATTTATTGCATCAGGAGAATTCACTTTTTGTCAGAGATCCCAATTTTGCGTTCATCTGCTGGAACATGATCCAGAAAAAAGAGGTCAGCACAAACACCAATTTTAGAATTGGGGCATCTTTGCAGCACACTCTGGCTGAGGAATTAAGAGATGTGGGACCTTCCCTTATGAGTTTGGTGGAGAAGTGGATGTGCTCTGTCAATGCAAAGCCATCTACAACTCAGGAAAAGAAAGCTGCAAAACTTTTACATTGTTTACATGCATCGGCAAGGTTGTTGAAAGGTAGTGCAGGATATAAATTGTGTCATCACAATGAGAGATGCTCTCTGATGAAAAAATTTAGTACTCCAGCATTGTTTGTCACTGTCAACCCTCATGATCTTACAAACAGCATGATTCCCATCCTTTTGGAAATGGGGCTTGAGGAATGGTCTTTGATGACATTGTTTGAGAGGGCAAAGATAGTTGTGGGTCATCCCAATGCTGCGGCAATTGCTTTTGATCTCCAAATTCAAGCATTTATCGACATCATAAACATGGCCCAGGCATTTTCGGACATTGCCAAGCATATTATGGCATGGTAGAGGCTCAGGGAAGAGGCACTCTTCATTGTCATTTTCTTATTTGGATCAAAGGTAATCCGAGTCCCCAGGCCTTGTATGATCGTATGGCAGCTGAAGAAGGATCCTCAGCGAAAATGTTTGATTGGTTGGAGAGCATCATAAGTTGTGAGCTACCACATGACACTGGACCGATACCAGAGGAATCTCCGGACTAGGCTCGCAAGCCTGAACAGGATAATGGAGAGATGGATCCCCGATTAGAAATGCCTCCACAAAGCATATATCTCACATAATACCGAGAATGATGAAGTGGAGTTCAGCTGGCAGCACCAAAACCATCATCAAAATGAAGACAGGTAAAAAGTACATTAAGATGCTATGAAGACTTGACCATGAGATATGACTACGGCATTTCTCATGCCAGGACGAAAACTGCCGTGATTGATCATAAACATTATCACCTAAGAGAGCATGTAAGAATCACGCAGAGGATTGATAGGATAGCGGGTTTGGCTATGACTGATTGGTAATCGGAGAAAAGGAAATATAACAGAAAGAGTGCAAAGAAGGGTCCTGGGATGCCCAGCGGGCCGTTGTATGATTTAGAGTTTGTATCTCAGAGGGTCATCGCGGCACGACTTCCTTAAATGGTCTTTTTATTTTATTCTATTCTATTTTAGCCTATGGATAGTCACCCACTATGTGCAACAGTGCAGTGAAAGCGAAAGCGACGGCGATGGCGTCGGACAGCGGCCTACTCTGAGCTTCCTGATAATCAAAAATACGGCAGGTTGGGGCCTCACATTCTATGAACACCTGGCTTGGACCTTCAACATCACCATGTGGCAGTATTCCACTATCACCTATCTTCACATCATTTGTATGCTCAGTATCGCCGCCGATCCCTACCACGATCCTCATGTTCAGTATCGTACCCAGATGAAACCTTCATGTGTCTTCTTTCCGACTGGTCTGTATCTATCACGAAGTGTTGCCGTTAGCTACACGGACGCGATGAGAAACGTAGATTCAACATGACCATTATCACACCACAGTAGCAACACCCACGGATGCTTGCTTCGAGTCGATGTGTTGATAAGGGCTGCATCTCGCTTGGATACCAAAACACGTTGTCCATCATGCATGCTACTGAACTCGGGAGCAAGTGTCGACTCGCCATGCTTCTTCTACCATCATTAATGAGGCCCTCGGGCCGTCAGCCACGACAACGCGAGGAACGTGGATAGCAAGATCCTGTGTGCCCAACACCGCAGCAGCATCCACAATGTTTGTTGATCATGACACGGATATAGATATACCGGCCTTCAGCTTTCCTTTGTGGTTGCCGCATCTGTAAGAACTTCGGTCGCTTGGAAACGCAAAGCAATGTCGTCAATGATTCGATAGTCATGCATCTCTGAAATTTGTATACCGAGAGCAGCGTGAGCTTACTTTCCTCAGTTTGTTTGAAGGCCGACGTCTCCACTAGTCCGAACCCCGCGTCACTACGCTAGCCAGTCAGCAGGGTGTCGCTCCGATATCAAAGGTGGTGGCTCTGCTTGCCACTGCCTCATATCTCTATTTTAGTGAAACATCTAAACTTCTTACCATTTTGGTGTCTGTTAGACGGAGGAAGAAGGGCCGTTCTACCAACGTGAGCTCTCAGACAAATAGCATCTTTTCATAGGACAAGGTTTTTCGTTGCCATGATCGGACCAGACCGCCTCCCGTACTTCCTGGGTGTCTATAGTAGCAGCCGATATCAGTGCGGATAATGTGCTCCAAATCTCCGTACATACGCCGTTCCGTCGAGTCATCGTCATCTCGTTCCGCGCTTGTGTTCCTGGCCGTGTACATCGCCTCGTCTCAACATGTTTGCTGTGATCAGGACTCGGCGCGCGTGGTCCTTGTTCTATGGGCGGCAATCTCATTTCTGTCAGTGACCCCCCTTTCAAATATTTACTGTACTAATTTTTTACAAGGTACACGTGCCTATGGATTTTAGAGGGATTAGAAATTTTCGACGACAAAGTTCAAGTAGTGGAGTCGGTTTCCGATTGTATCTGATCATCCGTACGGCTTGGCAATCAATCGACTAGCGGCTCCGGTCTGTCACAATGACTGGTGTAGGAATACTGCACACGAGTCTTGATAACTTGTTCGTCACCCTAAAGCTCCCTCTCGTTCTCCCAGAATCTCTCTCATCTTATCTTCTTTCACACGTTGGGCTCCGGGGAATCCAGAACACAGTCAGTGATTATGCCTGCCAAGACGGACAGGTACTTGCCTAGGCAAGTTTATCTCTGGTTATTCGCTAGCGTTCTCGCTTTGTGGTGACACGGCGGCCAGGTACAAGTCTAAACGAGTCTATTTCATTTCCTCCGTCTTGATTATATGGCCGGCAACACTCGCACACGATTACCGGTGACGGCGTTGGCTCAGAAGCGCGATTTAGAAACTTGCAGGGTACGAACTCCTTGGTTAGTTCAATTGTTAATCAAGATGATAAAAGATACGACGCGATCAGTGTTAAGTTCTTCGCACATTTATCGGCACCGATCCGAATGTTTTCAGGAAATAACCAAATATCAAGGCTGCCTACGGCTGTCTAAGTAATATACATCGAACCCAGTCGTATAAATCCAGGTATTTATGTTATGAAATGCGATGTTAATGATAAATGTCTATATGAGGTATAAAAGGAACAAGTACAACGAAACAAACCAAATGTCGTGATAGTACACCAACGGCGAACGTTCCAGACCTTTCGTGCAATCGAATCCCCATGGAAGAGTGTTGCCCTTGGCGGCAGTAAGCCACCAGGGCTTGCTATCCCCACTCTCCACAACACATGTCTGTTCGGGCTCAAGCTTACTCTCAGTGAGCCATGCCTCTCCACGAACAAACATGTCCCTATCAGGCCATACTTCGAGGATCTCGCATAGGAAACCATCGGTCTCAAGCGTATACGTTCTGCGGAGTTCCCGCTTGCCACAGACAATATTTGTCTGGGCGTCAAGGAGGGAAAATTGTGGGCTGCGAAGCATTTTGCGGAATGTCTGGCCAATGGGGAATTTCTCGTCTAGAAATAGACGTTCGAAGTCGGTGTGTGTGATGGTGACTTTGGATGTAGCGGTGCAGACGATTCGTGAAGCACACACGAGATGTACCTGCCGCGACTGCGTTAGGGGATCCTCAGGCGAGGCCGGTTTCAGCCGTGGCGAGCCGTTGGCATACACGAGCTCAATAAATATGGGCCGAGCAAAGAACGTGCTACAAGAAAGCGGTTATTTATTAGCAAGTGCCACTGCATCCAACTTCAATTGACATACCTCATTAGTCGCTGGAGATCACCTTGAGCTGCAAGCATGATGCGCTCAATGCCAGTGGTATCCTCGGGAACGCATGACAACTGTAAAGGTGGAGGTTGAGATAGGTCGAAAGCATGACGATAGTATCGTTACCTCTACGGACGTAGATGCGTTGTTAAATGAGTCCTTACTGAGCATTATGGCGCGTGCTGTACAAAGAGCGAATGAAAAGAAGGCCTAAGGTGCTCGGTGAATGAGTCCTAGGCTTATAAGGCTCTTCGGACTCCCACAGTACGACACGGAGCACAATGAAATTTGAAATCAAGTTCCTCGCTTCACTTCCATCGGACGGAGCCAAATGATGTAGTGATAAGTGAAGCCGAAGGATCTTGTAAGCCTAATCTTGTCTATCCATGATTACTCGGTCGCGATTTGGTTATCAACTCAACATGGCTTTATTGTACGTGAAAACATGAGAATCTTTACGTCCTCGACGATAGATGGGCGCGCTATACAACTGCTTATGTTAAACACAATCAATATATCGTCAGTGTATTAGCTCACCCACTAGTCTAAGACTACGTCACAGACGACTCGTGTCGCGTGTTCCACACACCGTACAGCAACTATTTTCGATAAGAGAAGTAAAGCAGCGAGCGTACTGAGATCTGAGTCAGGTCCGGGACTCGGCGCAAGGGTCGATCTCAATTAGCGCTGATTCAAAAATATCATTAATGCCAATCAATATCGCTTGGACGGTCTGGACCAACTGTCTCGCAACTTGAACCACACTTTGGACCTGGCAACTGTTATAGACATACAAAGGCACTGGCAGGTCACGACCGACTGGAAGCTGCCACGCTAGTGAAAGTGCATTCTCACTCGCACAAAGTCGGGGACGATTTCGGTTCTACTGTGGAACTTATCGAGCCTCGAGGACCACAGGTGTTGAGACTATTACTCAGATAAACTCCTACGCCTGACCCTGCACGCAATATTAATATGATTGTGTCAATGTTTGTGAGTAAGTACGCGAAGCATGCCTATATTTCTGGAAAACATCATTCACGTTACGGTGTGCAGCCACTTGCGATTTGTTGCATAACGTGTAAACTTTTCAAGTTCAGCCAAACTCGCTCCTCCCCCAGCGGCAGTCCTGCCATAATGTAGGCGATTCTAAAGGACTCGTCTTTTCTCAGAAGCGTATTGCATCGCCCCCTCGGTATTCGCTCTGTGTCATCCTCTTCGGATCCGTTTTCGGTAGGACTGACTCTTATCTTCAACTTCATTTCATGAAAAACACCCCAGATCTCAAGACATAGATATACCACCAATCTCCCGATAGACCCCCCAACAATTGATTGCGCAGATACAAGTCTATCAAGCAAAGTATGTAGCTCATGGCCTGTAACTGAAGTTGTACCACTTGGTATCTAGCTAGCCTGGTAGGGCCGCATACCACCTCAAATCTCGATTAATATTGATCTTTGGCTGTGCCCAATACATCCAATTGTGTTCATTGAACTTCTGTTTATCTTATGACGCATCAGTGCCTGCCTCAGGCTGCCTGGCTGGCCATGCTGCGTCGCATATCGATCCTGTGTCAGCGTGCGCGGTGCCCTCTTACTACCATTCGGCTGTCACCAAGCTGCCAGCCCGTGGCAAAAACTAGTCAGCAGCGCAACACTGCCAACACAGGAACGTAATAAAAAGACAAAAAGGAAACCTGATCGGCTCTGATAAAACATTGGTGAATAGCACCAGGTCAGTAGAAATTGCTTCAAATGCCGCCCAAAATATCCGGTCTGTCTGCGATGGACGTAGACGTTGATCTAGAGTGCCTTGGTATACCAATGTTCGAACTCTCGTTGGCCGCAGGTGCTGCAGGGAGTGAACAATGAGGAAAAGACGTTAGCACGCACCAATACTGATGGAACCCATATGAGGGTCTCCCAAAGCACTGGAATCATGGTGACCGAGATCCGTATGCACCAGAATTTGAATAAGAACTAGATGTGCGTCGTTTTCATATTCACGGTGGCGGGAAGTGAGCCCGAAGTCGTTAAGAAAGAGAAACATACCAAAAAGCCCAAACCACGGCCATGGCCAAGGAAGGTACATGGAAGTACTTGACGTGCGCGAGGATGAGCGTGCTGTTGTGCTCGCCTGCGACTGGGTGCGTGATATCTATCGATTTATATGAGGCGACGATGTCAGCGAACGAGCGGGCTCAGCCTGAAATGAAATTACCTCGCGCTTTCCTTGACGCGCGAGGCTCTTGATTTGCACCTGAATGCATGATTGTCAGTCCACATATCTTATGATGAAGGTGCACATGTACGCAATTCTCCTTTGTCAGACCGCTGAGAGCCCACTCGTCGAACTCGGGAGGAGTGTCTACGGCAGTTGCATTTGCATTCCAGACGAATGCCTCGCTGATGATGTTCATGGCGAATCCTTGGCCGCTTTTCAAGTTGGTAGCCGTGTCTTTCAGGCGCCCGCAGCGTTGTGGTTGACTGGCGGGCAGTAAGGTTCATTCCATCTGGCGATGAAGACCAATTGCCAGTCAAGGCTGCAGAGGTGCATGAATTGTTCAGAACAATGCACACCATGGACAATACTGTATTAGGTATACTTGGTACAAGCATCATGACGAGTTCGGTACGAGTAAAGAGACGTGCAGCATTTCGCCCAGTATTCGATTGACGGTCGAAGGGTGTGAGAACGAGGTGTGTGTTGAATCTTGATTGACGCATCCAGGTCATGCAAATCATCTAGAAGGGCGTATGTTGCACTAGGTTTGACATGCGCGGTTGCAGAAATCAGACCTTTGAGAAACAATTTGAGAAACGATTGAACACAGAAATGATCTCAGGACTGTAGAAGACCTTGGTAAGTTGTATGTTCGGATGGATGACGAGGATGCAGGCCAAAGTAATATTTCTTGATACGTTTTGCCAGCAATTTTGGCATCTTGATGGACTTGGATAGCGGCTGTATCGTAGGCCAAGCTCGCAAATGTCTGTAGTGATCTGTTTCATAGAGGACCGCGATCACAACACACAAAGAAGCTGCCAGGCGGATAAACCTGAGGTCACGATCAAAATCTGACATGTGGCAAGCAGTGGAATATAAGTGTTGTTAGTCTCTGAGTCCCTGACGTGCAGATTGCGCAATATTGCAAGGAGAGTCTATGGCGAGTCTGGTCTACTAGTAAGTAGTACTAGAAGTAGGGTCCTGCAGCTTACCCAAGCACATATGGCGTGTTCATACAACGTTACCTTCGTCCACGCCTAAATCGTTGATCAAACAATGACAGATGCATCAGTCTCGACTTGCTTCAGGTCACTTACTTCCTTGTTACTCAAACCTCCGTGAGCTATGTTATAATTGCCTTGTCAACGTTACAGCTCATGTGCTCCGTCGTGCCCTGCGATGATAGCGCAACTATCGAAGTCCTCCCTGGTGATGCCTCCATCTGGATTCCAGACGTTGAAGAACGATCTCGTTCTCCTTTTCTATTCACGGAGAATAATCTCGGTGTACCTGAGAAAGAACTTCGTCGGTCATACCTCTTCGCCGTGCCTGTCTTCTCTGCTGCCCGTAAGGCCTCCGAATTTCATACACTCGAGGATCCATCCAACCACATCATGTCTTCGGCGATTCAGGACTTAATCGATTCTTCTGCTGTCCTCATTTTGATGAATCCGGCTCACCAAACTGCGCTAAATGCTAGAAAGCAACTTATCGTGCGGAACCTCATCGATATGGGGGAGGAACTCAAATTCACAGCCGCCCTACTTTCGAGTAGGCACTGTTGCAAACAGGGCGAGCTGTGGTATCATAGGCAATGGCTCCTCAGACGCATATACCCAGTCCCAAGCTTTCCTCAAGGGTTGATTACTGACATGATTCCTGATTCACCAAATTTCTACCTTCCCCCGAATGACCTTTCTGCGGAAATTCATCTTGTCAGTAGAGCTTGCGAGCTCTATCCCCGCAACTATTTTGGCTGGACCCATCGTACTATATGCATTCTATCTGCCCTCGTATCCGGGGTACATTCTACTGCCTCAGACTCCACTGAAATCTTTCAGAAAGAGATCAGCAGCGTCATGCAGTGGATTGAGTCTCACATCTCCGACTACAGTGCTGTTCATCACCTTAAAACACTCGCAGCGTCTCACTGAAGACGCGGAAAGCCCACTCCTGCCAGACAGGCTACATCTCGTGTTCGGACATGCTCTCACGCTCGTACGTGCATTTCCGGAGCATGAAACGCTTTGGCAGTATCTCCGCGTGTTCTGGGACGAGTCGGATGTCGCTACAGCGTTCGTCACGTCATTTGTACTCCCCCTACAAAGTCCTAGGATGACGGAGCAGGAGAGCGAGTCTCCTAGTGGCGTGCAACATGCCTGCCGCTTCCTTGAGTGGAGGAATCAGAGGTTGAAGTGACGCAATTACTTGTATCGCGCAGCGTATACTGTATATGCTGCCGATATCAGCTCATGGGATCGAGCGCTGAGTCAACTCTACGGAACTTTACGGCTATTGTGATTTCGGTCGAACACATTGAGACGCACGTTTAGATAAACTAGCACACAGCCGTTCTGCCTTCGGCACAGGAAGCAAAGTATCAAAGTCCTTACGTGCAGATTGCGCAATATTGTAATGAGAGTCTAGCTATGGCGAGTCTCTCCGTGAGCTATGTTAGGATTGCCTTGCCATTGACTTTGCAGCTTATGCACTCCGTCGTGCCCTGCGTTATAGCGCAACTATCGAGGTCTCTCGGTTCGCAATAAAACCTGTCTAAGACTCCCGAGCATGAAGCTGGGGGCCTCCGCTTGGGTGAGCGAATCTCAGACCAATGCGACCTAAGCCAAAGATACCAAGCGTGCGCCCGGTAACGTCATGAGTTTGTGCTGGATTAAAGAGTGTCCTCCATATACCAGAGCGAAGGGAGCGTTCGGCCATCGAGAAATGTCGTAGGCACAATAGCATAAGGTATAAAGTGGCAGTGGCAGTGGCATCCTCATTCGCTCCTGGAGTATTCGACACCATTATTCCTGGACAAACACACGTTAGTAACACTTGGTTCTAATCGAAAGCGGACATTACCTCGGTCTTTGCAGGCTTGCACGTCGATTGCATCGTAACCACTGCTACTCTGAGCGATCCAGCGGACCTTGCTTAGATCGGCTAGAGATTAATGGTGCGTGAAATTTCCCTATGACTTTAGAAGATTCGGTGAGCCTGTACAAGGTGACAGTCCCTTCATATGGCCCACCGGGCCCGAATGAGGAGAGGAATGAGAACGAGATTCTGAAACCAGATGCTAAAGAGGACAAGGGATGATGACGCATAAAGCTAGAGGTGCATTGAAAGGGAAGTTAACTTACTATGACTTCGGCGATCCCATGAAACATCTCCTTCAACTCATCCTGGACACACTCAATCTCACCTGAAACACATGAGTCAGAGTCCGAATGATCATCGGATAAAACTAGACACCAACCACACAATAGCACGCGGGGGAGCATTTCAGGTTATGCTCCTTATTGCAAGCCTCGTGGCGGAGGACAAGACCCAAAAAGCCGTTATCTTTCGTTAATCCAACACGTGGTGAGGACATGAGACTAAAATAACCGATGGACATACCACGAGGTCGCTCATATTCCACTCGCATAATTAAAAGCTTGAAGGTAAGGCCCGACTTCGTGCCGTGAGAATAAAGACTTCAGCGTTGTTGCTGACTCAAGCAGTACGGTCTGAAAACTTGATCTCAGATTCTCGGTGCATTCAAAGCATGGCAAGTACACTTCATAACTTGCAATCGTCTTTAATAACTGTCATTATCAGGGCAAGGCAAAGAAGACTAGAAAATTTGCCGCCGTTAAACGCCTGTTGAACCCCAATGATGCTAGATTGTGCGTTGCCTGACTAGCCGCTCCGCTTTGTCGCTGAATCCTTTGATACAGAAAAGAAAACCAATTGAAGCAGAAGAAGAAAGAAGAGGAAGAGAAAGCCAAGGCGGTCCGTCGTGTGTGAGTCTTCCGTCACCTACTGGGCATGCAACTGTAAGTAACCCATGCATTTCAGACCACAGATCGCATCGTCCATGTTCCTTGCGCACAACACCGAACTTGTGCCACCTTACCGAGTGTTGATCGACACAAACTTCATAAATTTCAGTTTACAAAATAAACTTGAACTAGTCAGCGGTATGATGGACTGTTTATTTGCTAACTGTTTGTGGTCTTGTCGCAATTGCCGGGTATCTGTTGACAGTAATATTGACAGGCATACCCTGTGTTACGGACTGTGTTATGGCTGAATTGGAGAAGCTCGGCCACCGGTATCGTATAGCACTTCGGTAAGACAATATCTATCATGCTGTCGGCACCTTCATTTACATTTTTCATCAGCGTTGCTCGAGATCCACGATTCGAGCGATTGAACTGCAGCCACTCCGGAACGTACGCAGATGACTGCTTAGTGCAGCGCGTCACCGCTCACAAGTGCTATATTGTCGCTACTTGCGATCAAGAACTCCGGAGGCGTATACGACAGATTCCTGGCGTACCGCTAATGTATATCGCCAGCAGGCGTTATGCCATCGAACGGCTTCCTGATCAAGGCGCCCCCGGTTCCTGATATATTGAAGACTAAAAAGTACATCTACAATTACTTTTTAATGATACTCCGTGCTGCCTGCTGCAAGTGATTCATTCAGTATGTCCCATTTGATTAGAACCGTGTACATCGAACAGCTGTACACTCTGCGCGCAGATACCCGCATCGTGCTGTATAAGATGAGAAGTTTCGATTTCATTCAGTATGTCCCATTTGGTTAGAACCGTGTACATCGAGCAGCTGTACATTCTGCGCGCAGATACCCGTGTCATGCTGTATAAGATGAGAAGTATCGATTGCATTCCAAACCCTAGAATTTTGGGGATATGCCAGCCCTGGGGCCCTTATCTGCATCACCACGGAATTAAGTGGAAAGGGTACGTATGTGCCTGTGATAAAGGGGGTGCTAAGGTGCCATGATGTCTTGTTCTGATGCCAACCTAGTGATTCCCAATCACCGTCTGAGCCCAACTTGTCCAGGTTCTCTTCCTGAAGGCATGCGCCGATGCTAAGCTCGTGGAGCTACGTTTGAGTTGTCCCGGAGCACGAGTCCGGGCATTGTACTCTTATCAGATTTCCCTCGTCACGTCATTTTGTTCCAGACTTCTCGTTCTCCTCGCGTGCGACCTTGCTATTTCACACATCATCCTCGCACAATTTCCGAGATCCATGATTGTACACCCCTCCTTATATAATGCTCAGTTTCGGTATGGCACATCCCGAGTCGACATTACAATCGAAGACTAACGTCAATTAAACTCTTGAGCGCTACCGTAGGGGGATAAGCATTTTATGTGTGCGGCGCGCGAGAGTTTAGGCTCAGCTAGCTTCTAGATCTAGGTGCCTGAGGACATCAGATTCTCAACAGGTATTGATCTGATCCCTGAGTGTCACACTTACGACTCAAAAGTCTTAACTGGTAAGTACTGGTCCTGTAGGCCCAGCGATTCACCTTCGATTTGAGTTCAAGTTCTGGGAGATTTTTTCTATCCATTTCTATCCGTTGAGAAATGTACTCTATGTAGGACATTGCCAGCTAGTAGCCTAATGGGCCCCCCGTATCCCACTTCGCATCTATGGAGTCACCAATGCTCTGGTGTGAGGTGTACTCCCACCAGTCCAGCGTTTCTGCTGGCCGTTTCAGACGTGCATTCTCGTGAAGCTGAGATGGCTTTGTACGTGTGCATGGTGTGTGAAGGTGACGACGGTAAGGTGACTTGGCGCAAACTCGACCGCAGATGCAGTAGTAGAATAAGAATTCTGTAAAAGGAGAGACGAGTGAGGCGGTGGACTTGGTTGGTTGGCTCGTGGTCTCTAGTCCTTTAGTAGCGCTAGGTCTATTGAGGGCGAGCGAGAGAGGTGGATGATGATTTGCTTGAATGATAACGGACACTTGCTAGGTGTCCACTTTTTGGACCTCAATTTCTGCAGCCTGCTAAATTCGTTGGTGTTGCGTAGGTCATGGCCTGGCGTCAACTTGACGAGCTGCAGATTCCGCAGTATGGGAAATATGAGGACACTTAAACTGACCTCATGCTCTTGATGTATTTTCTCTGTGACATGGTACACGCTGCTATATATGCACGACCCTCGATTGATCAAGTTCTCATGCAGGACTCAGCTTCCTCAGTACAATAGCCTTGAAACGGTGGCTGAGGCCGCCGCCGAGCTACTGATTTGTATAACCTTGTCATTCCATAGATTGTCCGCGGAGCTGATGTCATCTACATCCTCGGACTGTGCGCGTGAGCAACCAGTCCTAGTCATGTGGTGTGATATTGGAAGAGTTAAGAATGCACAATCGCCATGGTTGCACCGTGCCAGACATGCGTTCGAGTGGGAATACCACGAGCGACCTTCAGCTGCTGCTCTATTGTCAATGAAGTCCAAGTACTCAATATGCAGTGAAGAAATGGACTGACCCCTTTGAATACGCGACCGCGGCGCCCGTGAATACAATTACTGGGACTGTCATGCTAGGCATCCAACATATCATAACGCTCACCATTTCTCTTTGTCACTGCTCGACCATTGAAAGGAACGACCTTCTTTCTTCGTCTATAAAGGGCTGTCAAGGGGAGACTCCTGCTTGACAATGCGGTGCAGTCTGCCCGATTAAAGGAGGGTCGAAATAATTAATTACGAGCGAAAGATCTGCAAGTCGTTCTGTCTGTCCAGAAAACTCCAAGCTGACTGCAAGGGTCTACTGGTTAAGCAGGAGACTCACGAATCTATTTAGTCGACAACCAACCAAATTTCGGAAGAGTCCACTCCACTGCTGTCATAGTGGTACTAGATCTAGTCGCTGAGTTCCAAATGCGTTGTCTCGTGTTGTTTCATTCATCCTAACTTGTTGCTCGTGACCACTGGCAAGACGCGTTCCTCTTCATTTTTTTCATTTCAAAATCATCAGATATCGAAGTAGTTGGCTTTACTCTTGTGAGTCTATCGCTGCCACAGTGACCGACAAGAATGTCGACCAGCTGGCGTTCGCCACTTCCCATCCTTCCTGCACCACAAACTACGCCTGTCTCCACAAATCCCAAGTCTCTGAGACGGCCTATTCACAACCCCTACGATAAATTCACCAAACCGGAGTTCGACGAATGGATTGGTGGAATCACGAGTGCTCTGCGCAGAGCACTTGGTGAGGAAACTCAAGAAGACGTTACGCTTAACGAACACCAGCCACTGGATATTAACGCAGCTGCCGAGGAAACATTCTCAGACCAGTCATTCGAAGATTCGTTTGCTGAGATCCAGAGCAGACGCGCCAAAGGCAAGGCTAAAGACCCGCGAGAAGGCTCTGGCCTTGGTGCTCAGCAAAGTCCGATTGAATTGCTTTCCGACTCCGAGTCAGGTGCTGAGAGTGAGGAAGAATACGAGGAATACTCTGCTATGGAAGCAGAGGGCTTTTGTCCCGAGGAGGAAGGCGGGGTTATGGTGGTCATCACGAAGCCGGGAACTGGACTGTACACCGCCGCCACTGCCTGGTCGATCCTCAAGTCCCAAAAAATGAGGATGGAGGAGATATCCTCTCGGGAGGAGAGTCCGGACATTATTGAGATATGCTCGGACGAGGAAGAAGATGCTCGAGCTCCTATACATGAAACTGGATTCAGTGGCAGGCAGTATGCCCGGTCTTCGCAATTGCCTCCTGATGAGGTAGAAGATGAGCCAGGTTCTGTCCTGTATGAACAAGAAGGCCAGCTAGATGCAGAAGAAGTCGAAGGTAGGATGTTCTAACAAAATCATTCGCCATGCGCTAATTGACCTTATATCAAGATTTCCCTCCATCTACTACGCAGCGTCAACCTTCTCTGTCTCCAGAACTTCCTGATCCATGGCAGGGTCCACGAACATATGCAGAAGATTTCTACGCTGGCGGTGATTTTAATGCGCAAGATCAGCTGAACGGCGTTTCCCCTTCTAGTCTTACTCCTGTGCATGACGCGCACGTAGATACATTCATTTCCGACATAGTACAGGACGACGGGCATTCTTCTGGTCTGCCCAAGACAGAACCTGCTGTAGTCAATGTAGACGTGACCGATGAGGTACTCCCCGATTCAAGCCCCCCTCCGTCATCTCCTGTCGAGGCGCGCTCCAGTCGTAGTCATGTTGATGATTACCAGCTCTCGAATGTGCGAGGGACCCATGGGGAGCACGAAGATCCCGAGAACATTCTTGACCATTTATATCGAGACGCAGACAGCCTGTCTCAAGACGAGCAACAAAGTTTGTCCATGCACCACATTTTGTGTCATGGTTTCACTCAAATCTTTCTTATTCAGTGATTTTCGCCTCGTCATTTGATGAATTCCATAGCGGATCGATGTCCACTCCCCAATCCTACTCCAAACCTACCGAGCATCTTGACTGGAATTGGCCTCCCGCGTTCCCGGGAGGAAAGTTTGCTAGCCGCGCTGGACACCTCGAAACTTCTTCTCCAAAGTCGGGGGTTGACGATACTGAAGAGGCGCAGGATGAGATCATTATCATTGATGTGGAACATGATGAGGAAGAAGATGGGAGCGAAGAAGCTCTAGAAGGTCCTATTCCACTAGGAACTAGCGACCTCGGGTATGGTGACGAGATTCATCAGGAGAAGGACGAACGCAACGACGACCAGAACGTATTAGGCTTGGAAGTTGTTGAAGAAGATGACATCAAAACTCCAGAAGTCGACGAGTTTCCGCTTTTGAACTCCCAGCTGAACGCTGATGAACGCGCCGCAGTGGAGAGTTTCTTTGATCTCCTCAATTGCGAAGCGTTACCTTCAGCAAATGTGACCGAACAAATTGAGGACTACGCTGGTTGACATCAGCGGTATGGTTGCTGCTGAGTTTCTTGGCGGAGATGTGACGTCTCCGCCAGGCATTGAGAAAACCGGTCAGTGACTTGATGATTCAGTCACAAATTGTATCACTGAATGCTGCTAGAACAGGCGACATTATGGTGCTAACGGAGGCATCGGAGCCTGGGGATATGGAACTTCGGTCACAGCATCCAGATGCTATGGTAGAATCATGCAACTCAATCGAACCGACCCCTGCCACGGAGATCCAAAGTGGTTTTGAGAACGTAACCTTGGAGAATGTCGAACATCATTTTCCTTCTGCTGCGCCCACCTCCACAGTCGGTGGCTCTCTTGAGGAACAACTTGATAAACCCAACGACGAGCCTATCTGTATTGTTGTGGAGATGGAAGCTACTACTCCTATTTATCGTGGAATGAGTGAAGGGATCGAGGTAGCATCTTTTGCCGGGGATGTGTGTGATCTCGATGGCGAATATGTAGTTGAGGAACCTCCTACTACAGAAGCGTCGGTGGTGAGTCTAACCTCAAATGACCATCATCATTTAAACTTTGCATGCTTTACAGGAGCCGGAGGTTCAGGCCGCTGACCTAGTCAACATGGTGGCGGAGACTGTTCCTGTCACAGCGAAATCTGCTTCTGCGGAACCATCCTCATTTGACAATCACAACGTCTCGGTCTTCCCAATGCCCATATTTTGTGATCCTTCCGTGTCAGACCCTATCATCTCTTCCGGGACCAAGCATTCGCGACTGACTCCTCCACCTTTGGACAAACTTCCGGGTACCCCTCACATCATCATCAGCCCGGACTCCACACCAGGCCAACCCACTCCAGTCTCAGTACCCGTCTCCACGTCAATTTTGCACACTTTCTCTCGTCGGGAATCGCCATCTGAAGGCAGCAGCGGTCCAAGTGGTCTTTTCACGCCTCGGGAGGGCGAGCCGACTAGTGTGGATACAGGTGATGTCTTTGGCACTCCTTCTCCCTCTCATGCAGACATACCGCTTCCGTCTTCTGACGATGTCGTGGCCTCCGTTACGAGCGCTCTAGCAGAAGAGTCGCGATCTGAAATTGACACCACCACGATCGATGTTTCCGACAACGTCGTAGTTACTGGACCAAGTCCAGCCGGGACATTTACTAGTAATCAAGAAGATGATAAATCTGAACTCGTAGAAGTTATGCAGCTTGGCGTATCCCATCCTTCGTCCGTCGGTGCTGGTGCAGAGAATGAAACCGAACAACCACCAACGAAGCCTGCCGCTGGACACCGCTCAGTAGTGGAGGACATTGCAGTAGCTTCGCTAGAATCCGAGGAAGTTCAGCAGGTAGACAGAAGCACTCTGCCGACAGCAGTAGATCAAACACCTTCAGCAGATCATGATCATGATCCCCCTGAAGAGGCTCCAGCTGAAGCTCTCCCCGCAGAGGTTGTCGGATCTGCGAACTCCCGCCTACCCAGTCCTCTGTCAGAACAAGAATCATTGCCATCATTTGCACCTGGCCGTCAGGTATCACCAGAATCTGTTCGTGAACCTGGCCAAGACGACAGCCAGGAGTACACTGATTCCAAATATGGATTGTGCGTCACATCAATACGAACATTTGATTTATATTCAATGGATTCACAGGGAACACTTTACTAATGTCCCGGACACACCGCACGAGTTTCCTGGCGCCCATGAACCCGAGGAGTCTGGAGATGCTGAAGACCGAGAATCTCAAATGAAGCCCTCGAAGCGGAAGAGAATGTCACCAGTACAAACTTCCAGTCGTCTCACTCGTTCAATGTCGAGCGTACACAAGAACTCTCAAAGAGATCACAAAGCAGCGCGGATTGTGCCAGGTCGCGGCCGGAAGCGGAAGCTCCTCGATAGCGGTAGCGATCATGGCTCAGCAAGCTCTGGCGCTAGTACCACCGCCAAACTGCTCCAATTCACTAGCGCTAATGGGTCACGGGCTTCTTCTATCGTGTCCTCTGCACCAAGTGATTCCTCTTCAATCCAACATCCTCCGCCGCTCTTCCATGCACATGGTGCCATGCATCACCGTCATCGGCTGCCACCTCTACCTTCTGCGTCAGTCCGGACTCACAGCACCAAGATCGCATCCCCAGACCCTTCCCATAACCCTGAGCGCCAAAAGGATTACTCTTCGGGTTCGACTCTGTCACGTGCCCCCTCTTCCAACGTTCAGCGTTTTGCTGCGTTGACAAGTTCACCCGTCACTCGCTCTAACTGTCGATTCCACAAAGTCAGTCTACCTAAAGAGGAAGGTGGGCCAAGAGTATGCTTCGTGGTACCCGGTTGCTCTCTTGGTGACAAAGAGCTGATGGACGAAGAGGAGATACAGGATCATGGCCCCGCAACTCATGAGGACTATTCTCGCTTGGTGGGCAATATTGAGGCCTTGGACTTCAATCCGTATCTGATCGGCATCTTGCGGCAACTAGTCGGAGTGGACCTGATTCGGGAAAACGAGGTGTTCTTCCTGCTCCAACCCGGAGAGGAAGCACAATACAAGAAGAAGAAAGGCCGAAAATCGACCGCAGGATTGAAGCCTCCCGCACCCCTGTCACAGAGTGCTACCACCTCGCCACAAGTTTCGGTGGCGTCTCGGCGTTCACCAATGACAACGATCTCGCGGCCACCCGTTTCCACCGCAGGATCAATCGCGACATCATTTAGTTCGTCCTTGTCTGAGATGCAGCTATACAGTACATCTTCATTATTCTCGGCGTCAGGTGGAGAGTCGTCGGATGAAGAAGGCAGTTCTCCTAAACTTAAACGTCGACGAAAGGAATCTGTTCCTGATAAAGAAACCCGTGCCGACGTAGAAGGGGGCAACTTCCCTCAAGATCCACTATCGAAAAATCCGCAGCGATCGACCCATATCCTGAAACGGAGACAAAGCAAACGACAAGTTGTAGATTCAGCTGCATACAAGCCTCATACAGAAGATGTAGAGGGCCCTGATAGCGGAGCAGACGGATTAGGCAAGGATCGTCGCAAGATGAAAAAGATCAGACGGAACAAACGGTCTCATGTAGCAGATGAAGAACAAGACTCGCAAGCCAAGAGACAGAAGCAGCTCCCCACTGAATGAAAGCATTTCGGTATCTTTATGTTCATATTTTGTCCTCGCCACGCATCCATCTTCATTTGTATCTATAGTGCACTTCTTGGTATCTCCGTTCAATCGCATGTTCAGAGCTGTCCAATGACCTTCCGGGTGGAGCGAATGCGGGACACATGTTAACCTCTGCTCACTCTGCGTCCAGCTTGGAAATCTCCACTTGGTCCTCCGACTCACAGGTAGTTGTCTTCGAAGGAGGTAAATCATCGACATCCGTTAGTGTCGAATCGAGTTCTGATGAGACTTCCTGCTCATCGTCATCAAGATTGTAAATCTCGTTTCTAAGCGCCGCTGAGTCAAAGACGTCTACAAGCTCCTGGTGGAACAAGTCCACCACAGCCTTGAAAGAGAAAGTGAGCAGGCAAATCGACAATATAATCCGATGACTCACCATCAGAAGGTAACGAGCTTTTGGCGTGATGATATCTTCCTCCAGCACTCTCTCGATGCTACCTGAAGCACCTAATTGCTCTAGAATGTGCATTCCTTCTTGCTCTCGAGCAACTCTGCGGCAGAGCCTGCTCAGCGCGATGGCACTACCTTCCTGGCCTTGTTCTGCCAGGCTAAAGAGCTGTTGCACCAGGTCTTGAACGTCGGCGATGGGCAAAACACCATCCAACAATAAATCCCCTATGAATTCGATCAAGGGGAACAGATGTGGTGCCTGCTCATCTAGGGCTTGCGTGAATCTGCTTTCACAAGCCTCGATAAGAATACTGGCGAATGATGGATGTGATAATTGTCGTGTGCCATCGTTGAGCCATGTCCACCGCCTGTCTTCCATCTCAAGCTCTCTGTCAACTCTTTTGCAAAGATAGGCGTAGAGCGAGGAGCGTTGGGTATCCTCTACTGCACGTAGTGCAATCGAGACAGCAAAGGCTTCGATGATCTCTGCGCAACCGCGCCGTCCACAATCCGTAAGACGCTCGATCAACTTAGTAGAAACGGAGTCGAAGTTTGTCACGTTCAGTTTATTGAGCAGGCCGCAAATTTTTCTTTGTTCAAGCCTGGAATCGTGCTGGGAGCTCCAAGAATTCCACATGTAGTTGTAGCTGTTAGGTCAAGAGTAAAGTGGATTGTCGCCGGTACGGAAGGAATATCAAAATCGGGCAGCATATATGCTCTCGGCGTGTATGGGGGTGGGGACGAGGTAACGCAAAGCTTAATATCAAAGTGGGAGATGAACAGAGACCAACTTCGGAGGAGTGGGAGCTCTGAACTCAGCGCTTATAGTTTGTTGATACCTAGTCAGTCGCCATGAAACGGATATGAAGGCTTCTAGATATCCATCGTGATTGATCGAGCATAGAAGCTGCGAATGCCTTGAATTGACATCGAGGATCTGGCTTCTGAAATTATCTAATTCAAGATCCGGCAGTTATCCATAGGATGATAAACTTCTCAGCGACAAGCGCTACCAAGGGGTGTCCGTCTACCACGACTCTTGTTGGAACAAAGTTTGAGGGTCTGATCGCAGTTGTATGTTTCCTCTAGTCGTGCAGATGAATGATGCCGTAACTGATGTTCATATGAAGCTTGCTGCATGGTGAATGGCGCCGTATCTACGCCACACACGTGCAGAGTTAACACGGGAAAGGTACAACACAGTTTTGAGGGCGCACCCTGATTGTCGTCACGGGAAACCGCGACGGAAATACTCGTGGGCTGACACATGATGCATGCGACGATAGTCCGCGGTTAGAACTGGTTCGAAAAACAAAGGAAGCAAGGAATAATATACACAAGGCGAGCCAACATGGGATTACAAAAATCAACAATGACAATGTGATGAGTGAGGTGGTCACCGTGTACTCTTTTTCTTCTTTGATTTTGGTCCGTCACTCTCGTCTGCGTTCGCATCCATATCGCTTGTTTGGGATCTCTTTCCTGATTTCCCCTTAGCTTGCACCTTTTGGTTCCGTTCCGCTTCTTGAGCATCCAGCTCGTCCTCAGATGCAAAAGGATCATCTTCTTGGATTTTCTTCTTGAGAGCAGGCTTTTTCTTTGTAGTAGTGGAAGGCTGGTCTTTCTTTTCGTCAGGTTTTGCTACAGAGGTCGAAGCAACATTCAGCTCTGAGAAATAGATATCTTTGAGGTCCTGCATAGGAGTATGAGTGTCATTTGTATGTCCCCATCGTAGCTATGCACTTGCCTTTATCTCAGAATCTGCGAGTAAAGTGGTGTTTTTCCACACCTGATTACATTCTCAAAAGTTTATCATCTTTAAGTTGCATGAGACTTACAGTTGATGGAATTCCGCTCGAGTGTTTGCTATCGAGTCCTGAATACAGACACCGAAATCATCGTCATGTAGTATCAATAATTCAGTTTGATACTCACCTACTCCTGTGTATAAATCCGATTTCACGCCACTGAGATTGACACCGTGGTTTCTCAACAGTACTTTCATGACCTGCTCAGAGAATCAATGCTCGAAATTTGAAAAAATGACAGCGATACCAACATCTGTGACAGCTTCTTTGTCGTAGACATCTGGGATATAGAGACAGATGACGTGTTGATAGTGTGGAGTCTCATTTGCCGGTGATGTTGACACTTTCGTCAGAAATGCACAAGTTGAAGCAAGGGTTCCAGACACAAGCGATGCTTGGATGATTCAGTGAGAGGTGCACTGATAATGATAGAAGTCTAGCTTACTAGCGATCTTGGACCATATTAAGTCTACTTTATCTGCGGGTGCGAATATTAACCTGTTCAAAAGTCATTCCCGGTTGCTGATAGTATCAATCGGAAATATTATTAACCATTTTCCACAAACGTAGTTGTGCCTGATAGATATATCTTTCAGTTTCTCGGTAGCGTCTGCTTGTATCTATTGAACTTGAGCACACACAGGTTTCAAGTATGAAAATGAATCACCTTCTCACGGACTTCCTTTTTACTCTTTGCTCCTGTCTTTTTGTTAGAGCGCATGGGGATAGAATCGTCATTCTGCTATACGATTAGGGAAAGAGCATCAAATAATACCGAATACCTGCCTTAATCTCTTCGACTCTCTGTGACACCTCCTTCACTAAGGTAGATTGTCAGCGAGCCAGAGTACATTGACGATATGACATACGCAATGCTGCAGCTTCACTGATAGCAGCAGCTGCATTAGATTCAGATGTATCCGGGTTTTGTTTACTTCCTTCGACCCATATCCACTTCATGGACGCCAGGTTATATTCAGCGAGTACGGAATGACAATAAACAGACTCACTGGCTTAGGTGCCGTCGTTCTGGACCATAGACGGTTTATACTGGTGTAACACGTGGATGCGTTAGAAGAGAATAAGAGTCTGATAATTGATGTGATCCGATACCTTCATTAGAAAGTCTGGTAACGCTATGCTCGACCCCTTGGACCAGAAATATGGGTATTCTTGAGGGATTGCATCGTCTGATTCTTTCCCCATATTGGAACCGATAAATGCAAGCTCGAAGGATCAACGCAACAATGATTTAGGTTGAACCTATAGAAAAAAGTCAGGGACTCAAAACTTAGAATAGTAGTATTTAAGTAGAGCGTGGTCACAACACGGTCACGTGCCACGAGAGGTTTCAGACTCCGTGTTAAAACTTAATGCAAATGGCCCCTATCGTCGGCTAGGCTTGCTCATACTAACTGACGCCAGTGTCCTGGATGGGCCTCGTCAGCCTCATTGTCAAATATTCGCCCGCTCCTTCATCCGCTATGACAGGCATGCGCATGCTTCCATCAGGAAAATGCCAGCTGACTACATAGTACTATTTAGTCAGGGTAGCCCGTGTCAACAACAACAAGTAATTTGTCCATAAGGTGCAGATGTAGTAATGATGCAACAAGACACAAGGAATAAATATTTATGTCTACATCTGTTTAACCGCGAGTTCTAGTAGGTCTGGTTGAGTCAGGTCCATAATGTTTATCAAAGTAATCGCTCAATCGCTGCACAGATGGTCGTTCTCTCGGGTCCCTTTCCCAACATTTTACAAACGCAGTCCATGCACCGGAGGGAACGAGAGGGTAATTTGCCTTGTTGGGTAATTTATTGCCAATAACTGTGATTAATCGGCTGTCCTTTTTGAATTCCACATACGGGATCTCGCCGGAGAGGATCTAACCATCAAAATCAAAATCCAGCGCCAGGGACACAATGATCTGCAAACGCACCTCTAGGCCCGTCATCCCTGCTGCCCATACATCTGATTCTATTGTTGGTCTTGGTGTTATCTCGTCATTTTCAGGTACCATCAACTCCGGCGCCATATAGCGGAGCGTGCCAGCTACGGTCCTTGTGTTTGTTGTGAACCCAGAAATCCCAAGGATTCGAGAATGTCCAAAGTCTGCTAACACCGCATTGCCTGCATCATCGATGAGAATATTTGCCTGCCAAGATAATCACATCAGCTTCGGTTTTACAAGATGAAGTGAATGGGTGCCAGACAGGTTTGAGGTCCCCGTGAACAATAGCCTCAGCACGACCATGTAGATAAGCCAATGCAGAGAAAATTTGGCGAAACTGTCTAGTCATTCGTAAACGCGATAAAAATCAGCAAGGTGAAAAGTGTACCAAGTCCATCCGCACAGTATTTGGATTGTGTGTTAGGTACTGCGTGATGGTTCCGTTCTCGTAGAATGGAGATATCAAACAGGGGACTCGATATCCTTGGGTAGTCTCGTAACATATACCAATAAACAAGGCCAAGTGAGGATGAACGCATATACTCCACACTTTCATTTCTCGCGAGAGCCTCTGGAAATATCTGACTGAATAACAAATTTTCACTTGTGAGATAGGAGATTTTACCCGTATTGTTTTTTCTGCAGTTACAGTGTCGGAAAATAACGTCGATCTCATGGCCTTCACGGCTACCTGCAGCGAGTATGTGTGAGATATATCATGAATTGAAAACCATCACCCAATCGTACAAATTCTTCTCGACCTCCTACTGTGTAGGTGCCCTTCCATACCTCTCCGCATTGCCCATTGGCAATTTGCTCCGTCTTGGTAATCCTTCCTGTAAGGTCATTCACAGTGATGTCTGAGGACATTTTGGGAGTACAGTGGAGGGGACACGATAAGGTGGACTACAGCAACACGCACGGCGTTTAGTATATATAGGCTCCCTTATGTACTTTTTGTTGTGCTTAGTGGGCACAGCCGCCAGAGTGAGAACAACGCATAGTACCAAGTCAAATCAGGAAGCCGCAAACATTGGAGATAGGCGCTGGCACTGATACGATGCATGGACCGAATGAATACAACCAACTGTTTGAAACGATTATGCCAAAATGAAAAATAACACCATGTTGAACTTTGAATGATCCTTTGTATCCTGTGTTGCAAGTTGTCACAGGTTGTCATGACAGATGTGCGCTTTGTATATGGCTATCAAGGATTGCCAAATATTACCCTTGGTCGACATTATTAGCAGTAGTCAACACTAAGGCTCGAGGGGAAAATTTTGACCTTTCACATACAAAGGTTTCCGAGAGTTCGGGCGGCGATAACCATCGATAATCAATGATGGACCCACATGAGCAAACTTTGGGTTAACATATCATGAACAATGAGGGGAAATGAGCAAAAGGAGTTTCGGACCTTTTTGGGCAGGACTTGTTCGCGATTTTTACTCACAGGCTGTTGTATGCTTCTAACGCATCGATTATCTCTACTTCGGCGGCTCTGTCTCTCACAAAGTTCTTTTCAGAACCTCCAATCCCGCTCGCTTAGAATGTCGCCCCAAACGCCACTCGATTTCAGCTCAGGTCCCATGGTTTGGATTGACTGCGAAATGACCGGACTCGATCCTAGAAGGGATAAGATCTTGGAAATCGCAGTGAGTGCTTCAAACCGGTGAATTAGCAGTAATCAAAATTTATCCTCACGTCCAGGTACTGATCACAAATGGTGACCTGGAGCTTGTCGATGAACAAGGCATCCAGTTCGTTATCAGGACTGACGAGGCACTTTTGAATTCGTGAGCCTTCCATAGTGACACAACAAACCTCGAATACTGAGAACGGTCAGTATGGACGAGTGGTGCAGAGTTCAACATGGAAAGGCTCGTTCACGATGCATTACTAAGTGCTTACCTGACAGTTAGCGAAATAATCATTCAGTCTGGTCTAACGCAAGCCTGTATGACATCGCCTCACACAAGAGAACATGTTTCAAAAGCTGTTTTGGAGTACATCAAGAAATGGGTGCCGCAAAGACGGACTGCGGTTCTAGCGGGAAACTCGGTTCATGCAGACCGGTCATTCCTGGTGGAGGAAATGCCTGAAGTCATCGACTGGCTTCATTACCGGTAAGCAGTCTATCCTCCTCACGCATGCAAAACTTGATTGGACATCGTACTAGGATTGTTGGTGAGTCAAGTATCTATGTGATCATGAGGACAGCGGCCAATGCATGTTCCCGAAGATGTGTCATCAATAAAAGTGAAATCTAACAAAAAAAACGGCGAATGTCAGCTTATTTATGTCCTGCAGGAATTATGTCGTAGATGGTACCCGGACAATCAAGTTCCGAAGGACCCACTAGCCGGAAAACATAGGTAAGTGCTGGAGATTTGGCATTGCCGATTGTGAAGTAGCAGCTGAACAATGTACAAGAGCTTCTGATGACATCATGGATTCGATTCAAGGTCCGTGGTGACAATTATCGATGGGCTTGGGTAATCTCATGATCGTAGAATTATCATGGTACCGCCAAAATATCTTCGTTCAAACTGTGTCTAGGAAGCCACGTTGACGAGTAAATGTGCGTACACGTTATCGAGTCAAAGAGAATCCTTGTTTGTGACACTCACATCCCTTGGCAAAGGTTCCAAGTAACAGACCTTTCATAATGCAAAACTCTATAATCCCTGCACCGTATTAATGTTGGGTTGGTCTTATCACGCGACCACGAATAGGGTGCATGCATGCAAGGCGCATGACTCAGGCGGGGTCCCATAGCTGTGGAAAGTAGTAATTCAGCGTCTTTACCCATGTTACTTTCTGCGCAAGTTTAAGGCACGAGAACCGGTATAGACATGTTACTGCATTTAATTGGATAGTTTACGAAGTTAACATCGGTCGTACGAATCAGGTTTCATAGGTTCGAAGTTTCTAACTAAGGCAGCACGCCCGGTATGAACAACGTCCGCACTACTTCGATACCACGTGGTTCCAGTCGCTTTTGACAGCTCCCATCTGGATACCCACCAGCTCTGTCCAAAGCGGCCTCGAGACAGGACCCATACCGTCTTCACCCGTTGGTATCATGACATCACCTCCGTTGTATCCAATTCTCTCGACAGGAGTGATAATAGCCGCCGTGCCGGTGCCGAACAACTCAACAAGTCGACCCTCTTTCGAGGATTGGATAATCTCGCCCATGTTGATGGGACGCTCCGAGACCTTGATGACATCAGGAAAACCTCCGAGGCGCTTAACACCAGAAACGTGGTTACGCGCAAGCGCTAACACAGAATCGCGAGTGACACCCGGGAGAATCATTCCGTTGAGAGGAGGCGTGATAAGCTCGGTCACTGCGATAGTGATGGATTCAATACGATGAAAACACCGCCAAGGTAAATGCTTACCACCGCCGCTGTCCTTGATAACAACAAACAAGTTCATCACGCCCGCTTCCGTGAGCCAGTGCTCGGGACCATGTAACCACAAGTTCTGTGTGTAGCCCCAATTTGCTGCACATTTTTGTGCGAGGGTACAGGGGCCGTAGTTCGCGGCAAGCTTATATCCACCGATGCCTGTAGGCAAATGACATTATTGAGCGGTGGAGCGATTAGTGATGCAAACCTTTGGGCGCTGCACGAGTATACTCCGTAGTGCCATATAATGGCACAGGCTTGAACCCTTGAGGGTAGTATGGTCCTACAGGGCAGGCGATCACAAACAGTAGTGCCTCTTTTGGGGGAGCAATAGCTAGCGTGCTATTCGTGGCAACTGTACCGCCATTGTCCTCGGTATTTGTGTCCCCGGGAAGGATTATGATACTCACTCAACGTGGGTCTGATGTAAAGACTGTGCCCGGGCTCCTTAGGTATCCATCTACGGTCAACGGCGATCAATGCCTTGATACATTCAATAAGCGCGCTGCTGCTGAATGTCTATTGCGAGAAGTGAATTATACTCTTTTTAGAAGGGACACAATAAGGCGTACGGGAAGCAATAGCCGCTGTGCGCTGGTGTTCATGCGTTTCATGTTCATTTCAGGCCGGAATAAGGTCACGGTATCATCTGCGTGCCTGTAGGCTTTCATGCCCTCAAATAAAGATTGGGCATAATGGAGCATAGTAGTGCCAGGGCACAGATTGATAGTGCTGACTAGGATACACACAAAAGATCATATTAGCAAAAAATATTGAGAAAGTCAAGGATCTTACAAGGTACAATGCTGGGTGCCCCCCAGCCAGTAGCGTCAGTCCAGGGGATTCTCAGCATATGATCTGACTAGGACCACGATGAAATACAACACGCAAACAACACGACAAGATGACTCACGAATGTCTCTCCGAAGATAAGGCTCTTAGAGGGAGGCAGCTCCTTCGGGCTCGTTGTTTTCGTGACAGTGAGTCGGGAGGGCTTCGTGAACAGTTGTAATGAAAAAAAAATCAAAATCACTGTTCATACCTCAATATCAACAGGTTTTCCCCTCATGGAGTCCCGGGTGATACCCTGGGACATGTGCCGGTTCCCAATGACACCAGCATGAAATGATGAGCAAGTCACAATTCGAGTCTGCGTAAGCCTAACAAAATGGAGTAGGCGTCGAGCGTGGACTCAGAGGAGAAAATGACATGTCTAAGCCTTAGGGTTATGTATCATGAGTAGAAAGATATGCTAAGAATGGAAGCGCTTTAATAGCAAAGTCAAATCCAAGTAGTTCTCGACCCAATCACGAGGTGTCACGAGTTTGGGGAAAACCTGGGCGATCGCAGTACTATCATGCTTGGGGAAACACGTGAAGGCATGACAAACTGCGCACAGCATGACGGGGAAGTCTGAAACGCTTACCATAATAAAGAGAGCATAATGGGGTAATTTCATCCCCTACGACTTAGTGACTAGTAGGGATCAATCTATAATGGCCCACCTCACAATTTGGATATGATCATTTGTCCCAAATAATAACGGAAGCGTGAAACTAATGGGGTCCATCACGAATAGGCCGTAGGTGGGAACCTTCCGTAATGTGGGTTGTTGATAACGATGAACCCGCAAGCTCACCGCATAATGTTCCATGTTCTCGCTTTGATGACGGGATAATGTTTCGTATGACGTGGAAGTAGTGGGAATGATACTGGCGGTACAGCTTTTGAGGGAAGAAGGAGCAGGCAGGAGAAGAATCATGCCATTGGGCGTTGACAACCAAGCTGCAATTCACGCAACGGCAGCCTTTCACTCGCAGCCAGGCCAGTATCCGATAGATCATTTCCACAGGGACCTCGGAAGACTGCTCCTAGACCGAGACGATAGGAAACACAGAATCAGATGGACGCCGGGGCGTGAGGGCATACCAGGAAACGAAGTAGCGGATGTAGAGGCGAAGAAAGCAGCGGCAGAAAGAGTGTCATCGAGCAGGCGAGCCCTGACTACATTATTCCTAACGAGCGAAAGAGGTATCAGAACCTACCGCAAAGCAAAACGGCAGTGAGGTAGCGTCACTAACAGTTCAAGCTTCAACGTTCAACGTTGCAACTTTCAACATTGATGCTTTGAAGCCTGTGACATCATGCGCAAGTCCCTGTGCTATACGATGGTCCACTCCATCGATCAATCAGCTTCGCCCAAGGCTGAAGTTTGCGAACAAAACCATTACCAAGAAAACACAGCTCACTCATATTCCAACTTTGCACAGGACACGTCGCTCTCAACAAATATCTCCATCCGAGTCCATCGCCGCATCTCGAAAGAGCCGTCAGCCAGATGTCAAATGATAATGCAACGCGCACAGTGCACCATTTCCAATTAGTACTGTAATTGCCTCGCATTCACACGCCAACGAGACGAAACTTTTCGAGATCGGACCGCGCCATTGAATGCAATCATATCAAGTACCTGCTGAACCAAAGAATGAGAACAATGCTCAAGCTTTCAGTGTATTACCTGCACGAAAAGACTAAAACGAATATTTTAAGATGCGACACCCCAAAGGAGACTGAAGAGGATAGGATGCGTCGTTTGGTGCTAACTGCAAGCACCAATACCTTGTCCGAGGACCGACACCAGCTTTGCCGTTACTCTCCGCCGGACTTTTCCGCAGTTTCTTGTACAGATTTATATACTATAGATTATGTAAACAAATATGATACATACAAGTACGATACGGCATCATAGGGCTAGGCCCCAACAGACAGGGTTTTAGAAAAACCTTTCTCCGCTGGGGCCATGAGGGGCTTCTTCTTATTATCGGGTTCTTCACCGCCGCTTCTTATTCATCCTTCAGTACAAATTAAAGCTGCACGAGACAGCGCCGAAACTTTAACCAAACTGCCACTTCACCCACAAAGATCATTTCGATCTTAAGTGGCGCTATCAGCACTCACACGACTGTCTGTACCAATAATGCCGGCTCTTAAAACATGCGCTTGTGTCGAGTTTCGCAATACAGTCGGAACAGTGCGCAAAAATGATGAAGCAAGATTACTTGTGAAAGTCCCACATCATGAAACGGTTACCAGGTTGTTCTTGACGTGGAGTGTTGTTGTGCGAGGCTCGATATGGTCTTCCAAAATGCTGGCTTGCCTGAACTTTGCCTGAACTTCGAAGACAACGAGTGGATATCACAATCCATAGCGCGTTGGACTCTATACGCCTGAGCACAAGAGGATGGACAGGTACATGGCTATATGCTCAAGCTTAAAGCGCCTAAACTTGAGCTCCTCGGTGCGATCCTGAGTGCCTCTAGCTGCCCGAACGCCAGCAATGACTGCCGACTCGGACGTTGTTGGGCTGCCTGAAAAAATCTGTCGAGAAACTGATTTATCGCGTGTGGTCTGGAGCAATTCAGTATTTCTCGTATCTTTGAAAAAAAATAATTCATTAATTTGACAACGCCGTTATGGGAATTGTCAACACACCGATCTAATCGAGCTCCTCGAGACGAACGACAGAAACCAAAATTGACGTGTCATGTAAAATAAGGAGGGCAGGAATCTTCTGATTTGTGTTTCAAGTTAGCATTCGCGGTAGAGATGGTCGAGTTCCTTCGGGTGCCGTTCCTCGACTGTGTCGCTATGTATATTTCAGTCGTTTCAACAAGGGAGTCATCAGACTCGACAATGCACCGTGACATCATAACCCTGAAACTTGCATGGCTCCGGTGAAATCGCCGGTGCTCATCGCACTGCGACCTCAATTGCAGAAATGTTGCTTGCTCTATGCTCTATGACCGCTTCAATTCGATTGGACAGCTACATCCAAGTGAACACCCGCAGTAAGCCATAGTGCCTGCGATAGTCGATGAGACTTAGCCAGCATGCAAGATATATTGGAGTGCCTGTTTTAAATCCTTCTTCTTAGGCGACTTGGTGAACTAACAAACTCAGTAGGCTGCTGTTTCGGTCTTGAATAGAAATGAGTACTCTTTGGGAACATCCCCTGAGGCCACGGCTTCCTGCCAAGAAAGCGCTGTTATAGTAGATGACTGACTCGGAAAGAGGCGGTCCAAGATTAGTCGGTAGGGCATCGGAAGCCATCGACGCTGAACGCGGTCACCCATCGCCGCATCCTTCTTCTGCTGAGCTACAGAGAGACGATGCATGAGTCTGTAGAATGTCTGGAGATCCGAGGACACAAACCATGGCCCATAAGGTGGCTCGAGCGTCTTCGCAGCCATCCTCAAATTGAGTGCTGCAGCTGGATCAATCACGTCAGTATACGTCATCTCGAACAAACACGGACTAGTGCAGCAACAAACGTTCGACCTGACACCAGTTTGGATGACGATTTGAATTCATCACTAAATACGGTGAGGAGAAAAAAAAAACATCAAGGAATAATATCGGGGTAGCAGCAAATGACCTGATACGAGACAATATATGTATACCAGCGAGCATGAAACTAATGATGAGTAAGGACCGACTCGAAGGCGTACGTCGCAAGCGCCGCACGCAGGTGAGCATAGAGGATATAGCAAGATGACGAAAAAGATAGTCCACAGTTTCCATTATGCCCAAACCTGTAGTAATTCGTCAAATCCTTATCGCCCAGAAAAAATGATGAAACGTACCCTGAGAGTGCTATCCCAACTACCAGTGCAAAGAGCCATCCCATCCACACTTACACCCAAACAGCTGACTCTGTTTTCATGTCCAGTCAAAACACCCACACGCTCGCCTCGTAGAGTGTCCCACACATTGCATGTCCAATCGTCATAGCCACCGAAGAGAATGCGGCCAGAAATCGAGAATGCGACGGAAGTGATACCACAAAGAATGTTGTCGTGCGTAAAGCTGTTCAATTCACGATCCGCACGTATATCGAAAAGCCGGCATGAAGCATCGTCCGATCCTGTGGCAAATGCATCGCCATTTGGGAAGAATCTAAACAACAATGAGTGCCCTGCATTACTACATAGAAACCATCAACTTACTGGACAGCGTTGATATCTGACTCGTGACCTGTGAACGTCTGGGTTGCACGACCACTGCGGATGTCCCACAGTTTGGCGGTTGCATCACAAGCACCAGAGACGAAAACATTCTGATTCGGACCGAGCGACAAGCTACATGGTATGAGCAAGCGATAGAGTGATTGCGCAGTAAGAGCCATACCTCATGACATCCCCAGTGTGATCACTGAACTCAACCACTCTCACACCAGCTTCAATATCCCAAAGCATACAAGTCATATCACCGGAGCTAGTGACGATTTGCCTGTCGTTGATGAAACGACAGCAACTGAGATAACCAGAATGAGCGCTCAATTCGCGCCCACCTCTGACGCCATTGGCTTCTCTGCTGTTAAGGTTATAGATAGAACAGATATTATCAAGACCACCACATGCTACAAAGTTCCCTGATGGTGAATAAGCGCAGGTCATGACCCAACTTGAGCGAAGAGGGATGGCATGAACTTTGTTGGTCGTGTAGGCGTCCCATACAATAAGCTTTCCATCCTGTGATGCGGAGACGAGATGTCGACGATCAGCGGCCCAATGCATAGCATAGATTTTTGCGAGATGACCCTTAAGTGAACGCCGAGGTCGCATGACGATTCGAGGCAGAGTGTCAACCTCGGCAGCCATAGCCCGTACTGTAGAGCATGTCACCGACCGGTCCAAAAAGGATGAATTAGCAAGAACGACAAAATAACATACAGCTTGTGTCAGCTGAGGCCTCCCTGCTCGCCCGAATTTTCTCCTTCAAAACTTCCGCCTCACGACGTGCGGCAGCGATCCGCTCTTGTATGTCGCCTCCTGGTTGAGACATTGTATGTGGAGAGGAGGGGTGGGGTTTGGGTGAAAGGACAAAACCGTGGGAGGCAAAGTGTTCAAGTGATATGTAAGTTTGTCTCTATTTGCACAGATTCAGCTTCGCTTCAATGAAAAAAACTTATGTATGTGCTTCTGAACTGTGTTCTATTTGACATAAGAAGAGGATTCAATTTAACGTATGGTGCTGTGTGCATCTTCTGGAGCGCTATGTTGCATACGGAATAGTTTCGTGCAGAACTGTGCTACAGCTGAAACACGTTGAACCCGTGGGACTTGGTCTATGTTCGAACAGGGTAAATTGATTTAATGGTTCGTTTGATGGATGACATCCTTGCTTAGGACGGTCCAGCCAGTACTGTATGACTCTCGGACTCTCACAGGACATGGTTCTCACAAAATCATTATCGAGTTTGCACACGCTCCCAGAGGAGATATTGTGTTACTTGTTCTCCTTCCTTCGCGCCCCATCGATCTTGAGCTGTACATCAGTATGTCTTATCGATTCACATCAAAGATAGATTCACTGATCGTACTTGATATCACAGACGTGTCGCTACCTTCGCAAAGTCCTTGATGACTCCTCTGCACTGCAGTATGCGATTGAACTCGAAGCACAAAAGATGGTGGAGGTTGTTGCGCCAGACGCAATGACATCCCCCGCCGAACGCTTGGAGATACTAAGAAACCAAATGTGCTCCTGGCGAGCATTTAAACCTACCATCGTAGATCAATTTCTACAGCCAGGTGGCGAGGTATCCATGTCGTTCGGACATCTATCTACCTGGGATGATTATCCCCAGATCGCGCAAATTCGTGCGCTGGATTCAGGCTCTTCAGAGTCCCAGTCATATAGGCGTTGGAATGCAGCCAGTTACCCAATGCCAAAAGATACTTCTTTCCGAGTCCACAACGTCTGCATGGATCCGTCACAAGATTTGTTTGCGTTTGTGATCCTGGAGCCGAACCACATGGCAGAAATTTCTTGCCGGATTTACTTGGAGACCCTTAGCACAAGCGAGCCGCATCCTTTGGCAGCCAGTGAGATCCTGACCTCCTTCAAGCCACATATCTCAGCAAACTGCCACATCGACGAGACAAATATAAAGCTCAAAATCTGGGGAGATCGTATTGTGCTCTTCAACTTCTGCGATGAATATTCTCACTGTCCTGCGAGAATCCAGATCTGGAACTGGCAAGAGAAACAGGACTTCAAGGTACGATCAGTACGCGTTTATTTGAGCGATTGCACTTACCATCTGATTATAGTGTATCTATCGGGAACCGGAACCATATGACAAGATGGATGACTGCTGTATCGTGAACCGAGATCACTTGATCGTATCATCTAGAATGAGCGGCCGCCTACCATGCAGACTGAGCATCTTCTCATTTTCTGACCTTGGGAAACCCCCAGTCCGCATAGCAGAGTGTGTCCTACCCTTTCAACCAGAAGCAACATTTCTACGGCATTCTTCATTTGTAACTGTCAGCCCGGACATCCGTCGTTCTATGGCTTCTCAGGACATACGCTTCTATCCGGACGCTGAAAATCAGCTCATCGCTCTCAATGTTGACGGTCCACCCAGCCTTGTCTTTATCATCGATACAGATCAACTCCTCACGGCTTGCCAAAGCGGCATACATACTGAGGGTCAGAGCCGCGTTTTGCCCTGGAAGGAATGGGGTCCAACTTGTTCGCGATGCATTGTAGACCCCGTGCCTAACAACCTTTTCGTCCTGCGATTAGACGTCGCCGGTGGTAGAGCAGTCCACGCCACCCCAAATGATGACGACTGCACATCTTATAGCCTGCGCACGTACGACTTCAACAAGTATCGTATTTCGCGTGCCGCAGCTTCTAAAGACTTTCGTGGCAGCATTATTACAGAACCATCGACAGTCAAACACCGACAACTCGATGAAGACATTATAACAAGCCTTCCTTACATGGTGGTTGTGGCCGAGGATAGCATCGAGACGGCCACGAACATGATAGATGTCACTTTCGATGACGAAAACATTTTGATCATCAAGGTTTGTAGATCTTATCTGTTCGAGTGTGCGAGGCTGAGATACCACACAGAGCTCCGAGGGGGATGAAAACGAATTTGTGATCGACGTTGCCAAGCCCTCCTCTATGGCTGCATGAGGAAAATAGGATGTACATGGAATTGTAGGATTTATGTCGTTAAAAAGATTGCGACCTGCGTCGAACTGATATTGGATGTCATGTTATTGAGATTGGTTTACTCCTGTACATCCAGCATATTCTGCACAATAAATTCTGAGTTGTTCAGAGTCCCATAGAGTTGTGACCAGTGGCCTTAAACAACAATGGTGGTGGGTACCGGTAATTGTCTGTGCTACATCCCACAGCAAGTCTCACGCAAGACAAGGGCGGTGAGATCCCACGCGGGTGCGGCTATATATATGTTTGGAACCGGGTGCAAGCAACTGGTATTTAGTACTCATTTCAGCTCACTCTTCCACAAGCAACATGCCTCCAGCTCCCTCAACTGCCGTGCGTCGCAACCCTCTGATATCAAGCATATAATTGTATTGATAGCATTACAGATGACTGTAAAGCGCATCCATAGGGAAGTCGCAGATGCCAAGAAGGAGGACCTAGGCTCTATCACCCTCGCACCCTCCACCGACAACCTCTTTCGCTGGACAGGTACCATACCTGGACCCCAAGGGAGTCCGTATGAAGGCGGCGTATTCAACATTAATATTCAGCTGGCGAACGACTATCCGTGAGCACCCTCCATACCCAAACCCGCGTGTTCAAGCTTCACGAATCATTTGTGATAGTTTCTCAGCGCCAAAGGTCACCTTTGTAACCCGGATATATCACATGAACATATCGGACAAGGGCAACATATGCATTGATATTCTCAAACAGAACTGGTCACCTGCGTTGTCGCTCTTCAAGGTCATGCTCTCACTCTCATCCCTCCTTACCGACCCAAATCCGCGTAAGTACTATTTTGAATCTCGATCCTTTCATTGTACCTTCTGTACTTGTCTTGGACTCACATACTTCACCCTGTATGTCTATCTCGGCTGACTGATGTTCTTTGTTCTTAGAAGATCCTCTCGGTAAGCTCCCTCATCCAAGACTCATGTCCTATTTTTCTGAACCATGATCGGTTTGTGTGCACACAGTTCCCTCGATCGCAACCGAATATCTCCGGAATCGCGTGCAGCACGACCGCACAGCCCGGAGGTGGACAGAGCTGTATGCCCGATCACCTGCATCTGTGCTTGCACCGTCACCCATTGCATCCTCATCTACGTCCTCTACCCGTGTCCCTACGCCCACATCTACATCTACATCCACGCCCACGATCTCAACTTCTACAACTCAGGCTTCTGGATCGCGTAAGGGAAAATCCCGTACCTCAACCAATCAACCTGCGCATGGCTCTGGCTCGTCGAATGTTCTCGCCGAGACGATTGACATCTCTGACTCCGATGACGAGTTATCGCAATCACCGCCCACACGCAAACGTCCACGCGGCACTCCCAATGAGGTGGACATCGATCTTGTGGAAGCAGAGCAACGTGCAGCCAGACGCCGGCGCACAGGCGGCGGTGGCAGTCGGGTTCCGAGTGTTTCTAGAGGCTCTAGAGGAAGTGGGAGTATTGTGGGAGCTGGTGAAGTCATTGTCATTGATGATTAGTCCAATAAGAGGGCTTATCATAAAATTGGAAAACTGCCTCGCAAATATCAACTATCAAACACTTCGGACGTTTACTACCATGAATTACAATAAGAGGTGTCTGTAAGTAAGGTTGTGTACAATTCCCACAACAAAGATTCAGGCTCGGTGGAGTAGTAGGCACCAGGGCATTGCAATGTTGACGGTGACGATTTCAAGTTAGTGTTACAATTGGCAAGGGAGGCCGTTGTCACAGGAAAACCCGCCAGGGTGGAAGTTTGTGTTGTGATTGTGGACGCGTGGAGGAGGGTCCAGTGTTACATGAGGCGAAGCGGAAGGAAATAATGATAATATTGAGGATAGGAGCCTGGCACGGTGGAGCTACAGCTCACCAGGTTCAAGACTCGGAATCAACTCAGCTGTACTTCAAGTTTGGATACCTTTTCTTGTTGGCACACCATAGACTCGTCAGTGACTTGCGCTGCAGAACTTGAACTGCAACGTCGACGTCAACGGCTTTTTTGGCACATTCGTATTCGTCCCTGTTGTGGACGGCACCTTAAAGGCCTACCGTGACGATGAGCAAGGGTCATTTGAATGGCGTATGATCTCGTACTTCAATAGTGGTACGTGCAAATGTAGATGTTTCACCCTGTAATGTTAACAGCAATAGCAACAGGGGAGCCAACGTATCTCGAATAACCGGTACCTAACCTCATCCGCACGACCAATTCCCTCGCGACGCCCCACATCCTCCTTTTGCAGCACCGCCAGCTTCATTTCCCCACCACATCCTTCATTTCTCGAAGAGCCACATCCCCCGTCTGGAAATGCATCATCCACAGTTTCCCACAAGCCTTCGTGTCTCCCCGACGAACGCATTGCGATAATCAACCAAAACACCCCTCCCTTCTTTAACTGCTTTCTTCACGCAATTTTTGATCCACTTGGCATGCTCAGGGTGATACACCACGTCTGCACCAAGGATAACAGTCGTAGGGTTCGAGTAGAGGTGGTTTGGACCAGTCCAGTGACTCGATTTGAACGGAGACATTATTGGTCTTCACATTCCTGCAGTAAGTTATCGAGGACCGCAGAGTGATAGTCTGTTGCCTATGATTGTGGCATCGACTCCCATGCGATCGAGAAGTCGTGCGGTAGTGATGCTGAGAAGTCCCGTGCCTGCACCTAGTTCGAGAACGCGCAAGGGAGTAACCCCATGTGGGATGCTCATATACTGAGCAGGATTCGTACAGATGCGTTCAGCGAAAATGATGGCGCTTGCCCAACTTTGCAGACCAACGGAAGTATGATCCGTGGCTGTGAGTGGAGCATCATTCAGCTCGATCATGATGGGCTCGTCCTCCAGCACCAAAGGAAACATAAATTGTCGCTGTGAGAGCATCTTCTTGCTGCTCATCATCACTGGAAAAACGGGCAAGAAGCTTGCTTGCTTCCTCTATAACGACTAGACGTATGTGGTCTTCTTCTGGAGCGATATCGAGTACGTGCGTCCATATATCGGATCGCTTTATGAGGCCTGTAAGCCATTTGATAGAAAAATTTCGTTCAAGCTCGTTGGAACGCAGGACATCAGGGTCCAAGTCTTCAGCATCGCTTTCCAAATCTCCTTCCAGTTCTGCCTCGTCGTCTTCAGAGGCATAACCGGAATCCGGAACGCCATCGCTATGATTCAAGCGTCCCGTCCGCTTTGGGTGAGGTACGTGTACCGTATCAGATATGTCCTGCTTCAGTGCAGGTAAAGCATTTATTGACAGCGTCCTCTTCGGAGGAAGTGCTGTGGCGAAGTAGAGATCCTTCAAGTCTTGCAGGGCATCTTGTATAGAAGCGGTGGTGTGGGTGGAAAGTATAGAGAGTGGTGGAAGAAAGGAAGTTGGAGCGCTGAAGTAGGTCATGATTTGTTCGTCTGGATAGGATATATGTATGGTATACGTTGGATAGATGTCGATTATAACGAAATCGCCCGATTAACGAAACCTTGATAGACAGTCTAGTAGGGGTATTGGTGCACCGAGTCTATGTGCACAATGAGATCTATATCCGAGTCGCCCTAGTATGATCCCAGAGAAGATGGCGTAACACTTCTATGTGTCTATGTTAGCTGAAGAAAAAAAGGGTGTTAGTCTCTAGAAACAGCGCAGACTCTTTATAAGCTAGAGCCTGCGCTGCTATTGAACAAGGAGCATTGGGAACAGCATGGTGAGAAACGTCAAGTAGGAAGAAAGAGAGCAACTTCCAAACAACTTTCACGTTGTTTGGGCAAGTTTTAATGATCACGGGAGATAAGATAAGATCTTACTAAGATAACAATTGGGTCGAGTCGTCGACCTTACAACAAGCTTCCACATATATATTCAGTTCAAATGGATGTTCAATCCAGGGAACTCACAGTGACTTACAAAATTGTCCCACCGCCATCTGCGGTAGCTCCTCCTTCCCTCTCGCAGGAGACAACTCATAGGTTCCCTATCACCGTGACATCTCTGCCTGACCTGGAGTCTCAGGAGGACACTGAATCGGAGCTGAAGAAATATTATACATCTCTGCGAGCGTCGATTGCAGAAGCTCGCACAAAACTCGGAGGAGAGTTGACTGCTTGGAGGGATGCGGTAGGAAATGCAGAACTTGGAAAAGAAAAGTCTGTAAAAACTGAAGTCGACGATGAAGGAGAGGAAGAGGAGAACACAGAGGAATGACATTAGACAGGGATCGTACATGTGATCCTCCGTGAGCGAAGGTATATTCGATTCTCGTCTGCCGCGATTTATCTTCCCAAATGCTTACTCAAACTAATTCCAGTCCTGAACATAGCGTACGGTTGCAGTACAGCGCGCTTCTTAGACGAGTTTTGAACATCATCGTCACAGAATCAATCACGCCTTCCCCTTCCGCCTCAATAATTCCTCTTCCTCGGTTCTGCATCTACCTCGGCTCCTTTGGAGGGCTCATTCCCATGAGAAGTGGCTGGTCCAAGAGGACTGATGTTAGGATCTGCGAGGAGGAATATTGATCCTTCGCTACGCGAGTGCTTGATGGCAGCAGCGAGTCTATTGCCTATGCTCCGTTCGTCTCTGTTTATCAGTTGTAAATTTCGGAGCAGTGCCTGAAGACTAGTGACCAGGGTCATACTTGAAATCGATATCCTGGTGTGCGCGTTCTCGTCCCTCATCATACTTCTTTGTCGGGTTTCTTGTCTGATTGTTTCGATGTTCTGCTGAACCACGTCAAACGGAGAAGGGAGGGTTCAGACAGACGCCATCATGACATCAAGGACTTTTTAAAACGTTTAGCTGGCCAGTCGACGAGTCCCGTCTGCAGACAAATAATATCGATCAAGATCGAAAAGTCATGCTCGCACTCGCCAGTGAGGTCTGGCGCCGGTCTGGTTGTGCGAGGAAATTGCTGGAATACCACAAGTGACTTGAGTGTGTCGTTGGAGTGTTCAACCAACTATTGATGGAAAATTGTCTTGATCGTACTCGAAAGTCTGGCAAAGTAATCCACCGATGGCATCTTAGATTACACGAAAATCAGTGAGCACAGCAGTTCCGCGGCCATCAATGTTATTATCCAGTTAGATACATACACTGCTAACAGACGGTATTATGAAGAGATGTTTGTATGAACCACCGGCCTGCTTTCAACTCCTAGAGAAAGCGGGAGAAAAAAGCAAAAGCACTAAGATGTGCAAGCGTTCGTGTCCGCCCTGCTTTGGCGCAGACCAGCGTGATCGATAAACCTGGTCTGCAATTTGACTTGAGTGCGTTTGAAGAAAAGACGACAAAATTTTACAACTTGATCTCAAGCAACACGCATCACGTGACGTTTAATCGTCCAACAAGAAGTTGAATCAATTTTGAACTGATGGGTCTCACAGACTCACACTGAGTACTGAGTGATACGGCAAGCGGAGGCCCCCAGCTTCATGCTCGGGGGTCTATATCGCGCAATCTGCACGTAAGGACTTTGATACTTTGCTTCCTGTGCCGAAGGCAGAACGGGTGTGTGCTAGTTTATCTAAACGTGCATCTCAATGTGTTCAACCGAAATCACAATAGCCGTAAAGTTCCGTAGACGTAGAGTTGACTCAGCGCCCGATCCCATGAGCTGATATCGGCAGCATATACAGTACACGCTTCGCAATACAAGTGATTGCGTCACTTCAACCTCTGATTCCTCCACTCAAGGAAGCGGCAGGCATGTTGCATGCCACTAGGAGATTCGCTCTCCTGTTCCGTCATCCTAGCTCTTTGTAGGGGGAGTGCAAATGACGCGACGAACGCTGCAGCGACATCCCCCTCATCCCAGAACACGCGGAGATACTGCCAAAGCGTTTCATGCTCCGGAAATGCACGTACAAGCGTGAGAGCATGTCCGAACACGAGATGTAGCCTGTCTGGCAGGAGTGGGCTTTCCGCGTCTTCAGTGAGACGCGCGAGTGTTTTAAGGTGATGAACAGCACTGTAGTCGGATATGTGAGACTCAATCCACTGCATGACGTTGCTGATCTCTTTCTGAAAGATTTCAGTGGAACGTCTGAGGCAGTAGAATGTACCCCGGGTACGAGGGCAGATAGAATGCATATAGTGCGATGGGTCCAGCCAAAATAGTTGCGGGGATAGAGCTCGCAAGCTCTACTGACAAGATGAATTTCCGCAGAAAGGTCATTCGGGGGAAGGTAGAAATTTGGTGAATCAGGAATCATGTCAGTAATCAACCCTTGAGGAAAGCTTGGGACTGGGTATAGGCGTCTGAGGAGCCATTGCCTGTGATACCACAGCTCGCCCTGTTTGCAACAGTGCCTACTCGAAAGTAGGGCGGCTGTGAATTTGAGTTCCTCCCCCATATCGATGAGGTTCCGCACAATAAGTTGCTTTCTAGCATTAAGCGCAGTTTGGTGAGCCGGATTCATCAAAATGAGGACAGCAGAAGAATCGATTAAGTCTTGAATCGCCGGAGACATGGTGTGGTTGGATGGATCCTCGAGTGTATGGAATCCGGAGGCCTTACGGGCAGCAGAGAAGACAGGCACGGTGAAGAGGTATGACCGATGAAGTTCTTTCTCAGGTACACCGAGATTATTCTCCGTGAATAGAAAAGGAGAACGAGATCGTTCTTCAACGTCTGGAATCCAGATGGAGGCATCACCAGGGAGGACTTCGATAGTCGCGCTATCATTGCAGGGTACGACGGAGCACATGAGCTGTAACGTTGACAAGGCAATTATAACATAGCTCACGGAGGTTTGCGTAACAAGGAAGTACTAAGTGACCTGAAGCAAGTCGAGACTGATGCATCTGTCATTGTTTGATCAATGATTTAGGCGTGGACGAAGGTAACGTTGTAAAACACACTATAAACACGCCATATGTGCTTGGGTAAGCTGCAGGACCCTACTTCTACTACTTAGTAGACCAGACTCGCCATAGACTCTCCTTGCAATATTGCGCAATCTGCACGTCGGGGACTCAGAGACTAACAACACTTATATTCCACTGCTTGTCACATGTCAGATTTTGATCGTGACCTCAGGTTTCACCGCCTGGCAGGCTGCAGCTTCTTCGTGTGTTGCGATCGCGGTCATCTATACAACAGATCACTACAGACATTTGCGAGCTTGGCCTACGATACAGCCACTATCCAAGTCCATCAAGATGCCAAGGTCACTGGCAAAACGTATCAAGAAATATTACTTTGGCCTGCATCCTCGTTGTTATCCATCCGAACATACAACTTACCAAGGTCTTCTACAGTCCTGAGATCGTTTGTGTGTTCAATCGTATCTCAAATTGTTTGTCAAAAGTCTGATTTTTGCAACCGCGCATGTCGAACAATATACGCCCTTCTAGATGATTTGCATGACCTGGATGCGTCAATCAACATACACCTCGTTCTCACACCCTTCGACCGTCAATTGAATACTTGGCGAAATGCTGCACGTCTCTTTACTCGTACCGAATTCGTCATGATGCTTGACGTGGACTTTGAGCGACATATTCCAGGAAGTTACTGAATGTATCGTTTTTAGACATTGCTTTCGCTGGTCAAGGCGAAGAAGATCAATATGTTTCCCCGCATTTGGGTTCCTGGTCATAACGGGACCGATAATCCGCGAATCCCTTCCGCCACCCCTGGTGAAGTTTACAAGGTCACGCAGTACCACCCCGCATACGAAGCTTACGTGCTGCTCTGGCAAGTTTCATGCTGGTGTTTGCATACCTTCGATCTATGTGTCTGATGTTGCTTCGACAGATGACGGAGAGTGGATTTTAGTAGGAATGTCAGTAACGGGCGGTCTTCTGCTTGTACCAAACGAGGTTGAATTGTGACTGACAGAAATGACGTTAAAAGTGATAGTCTGATGTGCCTGTGACGATTTTGCCCAAATTTGTTTACCTTCAAGCTTTTAATCATGCGAGTGGAATATGAGCGACCTCGTGGTATGTCCATCGGTTATTTTAGTCTCATGTCCTCAGCACGTGTTGCATTAACGAAAGATAACAGCTTCCTGGGTCTTGTCCTCCGCCACGAGGCTTGCGATAAGTAGCATAACCTGAAATGCTCCCCCGCGTGCTATTGTGTGGTTGGTGTCTAGTTTTATCAGATGGTCATTCGGACTCTGACTCATGTGTTTCAGGTGAGATTGAGTGTGTCCAGGATGAGTTGAAGGAGATGTTTCATGGGATCGCCGAAGTCATAGTGAGTTAACTTCCCCTTCAATGCACCTCTAGCTTTATGCGTCATCATCCCCTCTCCTCTTTAGCATCTGGTTTCAGAATCTCGTTCTCATTTCCTCTCCTCATTCGGGCCCGGTGGGCCATATGAAGGGACTGTCGCTTTGTACAGGCTCAACGAGTCTTCTGAAGTTATAGGGAAATTTGACGCGCCATTAATCCACGCTCTAGCCGATACGAGCATGGTCCGCTGGATCGCTCAGAGCAGTAGTGGTTACGATGAGATCGACGTGCAAGCCTGCAAAGAACGAGGTGATGTTCACTTTCGATTAGAACTAACTGTTACTAACGTGTGTTTGCCCAGGAATAATGGTGTCGAATACTCCAGGAGCAAATGAGGATGCCACTGCCACTGCCACTTTATACCTTATGCTATCGTGCCTACGACATTTCTCGATGGCCGAACACTCCCTTCGCTCTGGTACATGGAGGACACTCTGTAATCCAGCGCAAACTCATGACGTTACTGGACGCACGCTTGGCATCTTTGGCTTAGGTCGCATTGGTCTGAGATTCGCTCACCTTGCGCACGCCTTTCCGATGCGCATCGTGTACTTCTCACGAAGGAAGGCAGAATCCGTACCAGACTGGTGCGAATATGTCTCGAGCGTGGAGGAGCTCTGCAAGAAAGCTGATGTACTGAGTCTACATGTCCCTCTCAACCAATCCACAGCTGGTATGATCGGAGAGAAGGAGATTAAGACCCTGCGACGGGGAAGTGTGCTTCTCAATACGTCACGAGGACGAATAGTGGACCAAGAGGCGATGATACGAGCACTAGAGGACGGTCATGTAACACTTCCTCTATCTTCTTGTCGTCTTTGCTCACGACTTTCAGCTTTCATCAGTCGGCTTGGATGTATACCCTGATGAACCGCACGTAGATCCGCGCTTATTGACCTTCCCACGATGTGCGCTTCTGCCGCATGTTGGGGGAGACTCAGCAGAGTCAGACAGGACAAGAGAACTGCAAGCATTGGGAAATTTGAGAGCTTTTGTACTGGGTGGCGTTGGGGAAGATGTTATCCCTGAGCTGAAGACGGAGATCGGCAACTCGACTACCTAGGTTGGAGTCCGTGACAAGGCATAACATAGAAGTAACAGCTACCTTCGTATATATAATAGAGGAAAAGATTGATCACTGCAAGCCACACCATTCAATGAGCATTATTTAGATAAACTGGTGACCAGCCCGTCTATCAGTCTGATCAACAAGAATTTGCGAGTGGGACTTTCATTGAATCGTCCCGGGTGGCATTGAATATTGAAATTGAAATATTGAAGTTTGTGAGCAACCGTGAGAAAACGAACACTTCGAAGTTCCCGCGCACCGAGCAATGTACGATCAGCGCCACAGTGCATGTACTATATATAGCTTTAGGTTGAATATGAATATATGAATATTGATAGCCCTACTATGACGATCATACTAGTAGAGCCGTCCTGCAGCGTACCACGTATTCTCTTACACTCAACACGCTGCATTGGTTACACCGTTACAGTAATCCAGAGCAAGCAGCCGCCTATCTGAAGCTCTTTCTTTGTCCTGATGATCCCTTGTCCTCAGATATTCGTCTTCCCACTGATTCCTGGCAGGTTCTCGTGGTATCTCGCCTGGCAAAGTTCAAACTAATTTCTCCCAAATCAATTGGCAGCACGGCAGCATTTTGCTAACAGCTTGAACGCTTGCGACATATGTCGTGTCTGGTAGCAAAGCGTCATAACAGGTACGTTCTCGCTTGATCATTGCTTTTTAGCACCAATCTTTGAGACTCAAGTAACCAAATGCCAGCTCAGTAGTTAGATTTGGGAAAATTCTAAGGAGACTTTACAATGAGTAAGCATTAAATACTGAGTGGAGTGCCCGTGATAATTTCAACGGAAAACATAAAACTTACAAGACGGTCATGCCAGCCGTCACATCTAGGTGGCAGCAACGTCGAGCTCCTTCCTCTTTGCAGCGACGGCGACATCACCGTCGTCGCCCACCCCCCTCTATGCAGCGACGGCGTAATCACCGTCGTCCCCCTCCCCCCTCTTGGCGTATTCTGACTCGGGCTCGCGCTTCCCGGTTCCGCTGCCTCCGTAGCTACTATATCCCACGAGGTTGGTCTCAAGCTCCTCGCGTTTCCCGGTTCCGCTGCCTCCGTAGCTACTATATCCCACGAGGTTGGTCTCAAGCTCCTCGCGTTTCCCGGTTCCGCTGCCTCCGTAGCTACTATACCCCACGAGGTTGGTCTCAAGCTCCTCGCGTTTCCCGGTTCCGCTGCCTCCGTAGTTACTATACCCCACGAGATTGGTCTCAAGCTCCTCGCGCTTCCCGGTTCCGCTGCCTCCGCTGCCTTCGTAGCCAATATATCCCACGAGGTTGGTCTCAAGCTCCTCACGCTTCCCGGTTCCGCTGCCTCCGTAGTTACTATACCCCACGAGGTTGGTCTCAAGCTCCTCGCGCTTCTCGATTCCGCTGCCTCCGCTGCCTTCGTAGCCAATATATCCCACGAGGTTGGTCTCAAGCTCCTCACGCTTCCCGGTTCCGCTGCCTCCGTAGTTACTATATCCCACGAGGTTGGTCTCAAGCTCCTCGTGCTTCTTTGCTGTGAAAGGGTTAATCTATAAACGAGTAGATGGCAGATGAGTGTGTCCCACCTTCAGGACCGCTACCTGGAACGTCTCCGGTGTAGTCAACATGTTGAACGAGATTGGTCGCGGAGGGCTCTCGCTTGGCTGAGTGATACATTGTGGCATCTGAGTGGATATGATAATCCTGATGATCATGAATACTCACAATAAAGTCTCGCTGGTGTGGGTGACGCCACAGCAAGGATGGCGAGAGGTATAAGCGCAATAAAGAGTGAAGAGAGTTGCATGTTCAGGGATAGTAAGGTAAGTGACTATTTCGTCGATGCACCACTGAAAAACCAAGAGGCTTTTATACAGTTTAGCAGGTCCACTCGGCCTCTTCCCTGAACAATTGCGACCTTCTCGGGTCGGGTTTTCGATAGGTACGCCACGATACAGCGTGGAATATCTGGTATGGAACTAAGACCTAGCGACAAATGGATAGTTCGATAAATCAGCTGTGACAAATTGCATAGTAACTGCTCAACGACTGATGCGAGTGAGTCCTATACAAAAGCTCCATCGTCATGATTTACGGTACATTCATGGTTGGCCAGCGTTTGATGGCGTGCTAGGATCTTCCACGTTAATTACGCATGAATCAAAATTCAAATATGACCAACATTATCGAGCCTAAGGCCGCCCTTGCATTTTCGAATGACAATTGAATGTTATTGAAAAAGTTCCCTAACGTTAAGCAAGCGAGATTGTGAAGTGCTTTCTGTACCAGAGCGCGACAGTTTAAAGCGAGTGGCCTGGAGGCGAGATCTGTCGATCTGCTCGTAGTTCACTGACTTATCGCGGAGCTGACCAGGAATATCCGATTGAGGACGTCCGGGAAATGGAAACTCTAGGTCTAGTCTACGTAGAGTCTACGTAGAGTCCACTCTGGGTCCTGTCTGGGGGTGTGCCAGCCGCCCGGCCATATTAAAGCGGAGTTTAACTCCAAATCGGGACGATGTGACTAAGCTTCAAGTTGTGACTTAGCTCACCCCGCCCTCATCTTGATGACGCCCGCCGCCCCACACTCTTGCCCGCCACCCAGGGATCCGCATGGGTATAGGTAACCCGTGCGGGTCACAGGTACGGGTATGGGTTGAAGTGTTGAGCACCCGATACGTACGGGTACTGCCGAACCTGCTTACGAATCTTTCCAGACATCGTCGTGTCACACCTACCACATGCCGCATCAAACGATTCAAACCCCACCCTGCGCATCAGCACTTTTTTTATATATACTAATGACATTTCAATTTATATGTACGGGCAACGACGACGGTCATCGTGGTGAATGTTGACAAGCTAGGGGCTGACGCAGTTGTCACGCATGACTCTCAAGCTTGGTCATACTTCGAACGTTCCAATTAGAGATTAAACTCCGCTTTGATCTGGCCGGGCGGCTGGCACACCCCCAGACAGGACCCAGACAGGACTCAGAGTGGACTCTACGTAGACCAGACCTAGAGTTTCCATAAGCCTGACATTCACATCCGATTAACAGTAATCACGTGCCAATCAATTGACCTAGTCTAAGTGAGTTCTTGATGTTAGAATCCACATAATATGAAAGTTAAAAACGCAATTTAGATTTGCCTCATAAAAAACCAGCCTTTCATCTCTGCCTGAGAATCATGCACGCTGCTGTGAGAATCTGCTATTGTATCACCCAATGCAAGATTGTCCCGTCATAGCCGCCGAGTACTCTGCGATTGATAGGATAATTGCATCGTAGAACGTCCGTCGCGCGAGAACGTCACCACATCGGAGGGCTAATATCGAGCAGCTTTTGTGCCTTCCACAAGTAGACAGTGTGGTCCCTAGATACCAATACTAGCAGGGTGCAAACTGGGTTCAATATAAATTCGTGGGATCGGTCTAGACATCGCCAGCCTGTTTCTAAGTGGAGATATCCCAAGAGCAGAAGACGTGACTGATACCTGCCGAGGAGTGGGCAGAGATAGGCATTAAGTCGATTCGGGGGTCCATCACGATACGAGCGATGAGTTCCATTCAACTATAGTCTCCCTAATCAGACCATATAGAAGGTAGTCGTTCTTTCTTGGCTCTTATCCAATCAAACTGAGAATCGGTGAGGCCACTGGCCATTTGAACGGGCAAGGCACTTGGGGGACCGTTTGGTCCCATATTTGAATATCTTTATCAGTAGCATTGACGCCGAGTTGACCAGTTGGAGAAATTCGGACGCAATGGATTTGAGCCGCACACGAGAGACGACGGCACCCCTTCCGGTGCTAGTGCCCCATAATATGATTGTACGGTTCCATGACCCACTGCCTAGGACTCGGATATCGCCGTCGGCGGAATCATCCAATTCATCCACAACGTCGGTGTGAGACGAACTAGAGGACTTGGGACGACTATTCCACTCTTAGGATCGCATACCAAAAACGCTCTCGCCAGCACTGAGTACCGACTGCCAGTATGTTGGAGTGGGCTATGTTGATTCTCAGACTGAATGCTGCTCGGGAAAGGATGGATTAGCGGAAATATGAAAATTACAATAACATAGAAACTTACTACCGGTCCCAGAGCCATTCGAGTGCCGAAAATCCTGAAAAATCTAAAAGGCAGAATAGTTTAAGCCCCCATTGAACACAAACACACTACCTCACACCACCATCTATACTGAACTTGAACTACCCAAGGGTTTCTTCAGAGCAGTTGTCCACGGCTTAAGCACCTGCAAACTGTGCACGCTAATATCCCAGACAGCATCTTTCTGGGAAACTCGAAGAATCACTTTGGGAGCTTCGCACAGAGTTCAGAGAAGATGGAGCTGTACGGTAGTACAGAAGCAGCGCTGAATAATGCATTGGAAGTCGCATTTGCAGAGGGAGCCGCGAAGAGTCTGCAGTGCGCATCTTGTCCGTTTGAGTTTCAGGAGCGTGGGCCTGGCCTCGTTGCTGACTCTTCAGTAATTTTCGTGTCTCGCACTGCGCAGTTGCGAAGCCACAGAAAAATATTCGTAATCTCGATGCCAGAGTTGCCTTGATGAAATTGAATGAGAAGATTGTTGCTTATGCAAAAAAACATGGCTTTTGATCAAATAATTGAGCCCGCCATCGTCCACAACGAGCACGAGCACTTGAGGTATATTCAGAAATAGTCGCACCACGAGAACAAACATCGATCGGAGTTCTAAATAAGTGGCGGCAAATCGGCAATTCGAACCGTAACCTATCGTCCACCATAATTATTACCTTGCAACCGGCAAGGTCAATTGGAAATTTGGAGTGTTCTGCCCCGGGATCAGGAAAACCCTCCCTCTCTACAGTTGTGAACAGGCAAACTCGACAATATCCATGGGTGGCCAAACTGAGGCCAGTTTTGAACTCCGAGAGGAAGTCCAAAAACACTTCTACTATTAGTAATTAGTAGTAGTCGGTCACCTGTGACCAGGTTCGCCATCGACATCCACTCTCATTGCAATATTTATAGTGCAATCTGGACGCAAGGGACTCGGAGACTAGCAACACTTATATTCCACTGCTGGGCACATGTCAGATCTCAGTCGCGGCGTCAGATTCATCCGTCTTTCAGCTTCTTTGTATGTTGTGATCGCGGTCTTCTATACAACAAATCATGTTCTGTCTCCACTACGAACATTTACGAGGTTGTACATGGCCTCCTACGATATAGCCGCTGTTCAAGTTCATCAAGATGCTGAGGTCGCTGGCATAACGTCTCAGGAAATGTTACTTTGGCCTGCATCCGCGTTATTATCCGAACATACAACTGCCAGGGCAACAGACGGGATTCCAATGAGCGAAGATCTTTTTCTGTACAAGGCGTTCTCGCAGTCTATGCACCCTCTCAAAATGGTCCCCTACTATTACAGGGCTTCAGGGACCTTCGAACAGAACGATATTACCATTACCACCCTCGTCACATTCAATCGATTCAAGGTCTTTTCCGAGCTTGTGACATACTACCAAGGTCTGCCCCTGTCTTACAATCGTTTGTGTTTTCAGTCTCCTCAATTTTTTTGGCCAAAGGTCCGATTTCTGCAACCGTCCACGTCAAACCTAGTGCAACACACGCCCTTCTGGATGCTTTGCATGACCTGTATGCGTCAACGCCCGCGATGTCAACCTACGTCGACATACACCTCGTTCTCACGCCCTTCGACCGTCAATTGAATACTTGGCGAAATGCTGCACGTCTCTTTGCTCGTACTGAATTCGTCATGATGCTCGACGTGGACTTTGCCATTTGCACCGACTTCCGTTCTGCCATCAGGGCTAGTTTAGATGTTAAGATTGGACAAATTCTCAAGGAGGGACATGCTGCTCTTGTGGTGCCAGCATTCGAATATGTCAAACAGCAAGATGGTTTGGACCAGAAATATTTCCCTCGCGATAAACAGGTCTAGATGACGGGCGACATATTCTAGAAAGTCACTGAATGATACCGTTTAGACATTACTCTCGCTGGTCAAGGCGAAGAAGATCGATATGTTCCACCGCACCTGGGTTCCTGGCCATAACAGCACCGATTATCCGCGATTCTATTCCGCCGCCCCTGGTGAAGTTTACAAGGTTACGCAGTACCACCCCGCATACGAGCCTTACGTGATCTTCAGAAAGGAAGGGCCACCATGGTGCCAACCAAATCCGAGTCAAAAATTTGTCTTGCTCTGTCTAATAGAATATTTTCCAGGTGCGATGAACGCTTCATTGGATATGGAGGGAACAAGGCCGCTTGCCTCTACGAGATGTACCTCTCCGGCATGTCGTTTTATGTCCTTGCGGATCACTTCCTCGTGCACCAGAGTCACCCATACGAGGAGGAAGCGCGAAAACTTGAGGTATCTATTCTTCTTCTCTCGCAGCCAACAAAACTTAATATTAGGATTTGTATCAGCGCAAGAGTAACCGTAAGATATACCAGGATTTCAAGGAGGAAGTCTGCCTCCGGTTTGTTCTTGGGCTTATCTCCGACGCTCACGGACGATGATATCTGAGGACCACATCTTTTTTCTTAGGTACCTGAAGCGCCACTACGATTCTGGAACGCTTAACACCAGCCACGGATACAATGTTCAAGAGGAATGCAAGAAAATCAGAGGCGTGTCAAAAATTGCTGCTATGGCGAGTTTCATGCTGGTGTTTGCATACCCTTGATGCATATTTCTGATGTTGCTTCAACAGATGGTAGAGGGTAGATTTTAGTAGGCGTGTCAGTAACGGGCGGTCTTCTGCTTGCACCAAGCGAGGTTGAAACGTTACTGACAGAAATGACGTTAAAAATGATAGTCTGCCTATGATGATTGTAACCAAATTTATGTGCCTTCAAGCTTGAGTGGAATGTGAGCGATCTCGTGGTATGTCGATTAGTTATTTTAGTCTCATGTCCTCAGCACGTGTTAGATTAACGAAAGATAACAGCTTCCTAAGTCTTGTCCCCGCCACAAGACTTGCGATAAGCGGCATAACTTGAAATGCTCCCCCGTGTGTTATTGTGTGGTCAGTTTCTGGTTTATCTGATGATCATCTGGACCTTGATGTGTTTCAGGTGAGATTGAGTACGTCCAAGACGAGTTCAAGGAGATGTTTCATGAGATCGCCGAAGTTGTGGTAAGTTAGCTTCCCTTTCAACGCACCTCTAGCTTTATACGTCGTCATCATCCCTTTTCCTCTTTAGCATCTGGTTTCAGAATCTCGTTCCCATTTCCTCTCCTCATTCGGGCCCGACGGGCCGTATGAAGGGACTGTCGCCTTGTACAGGCGCAACACATCTTCTAAAGTCATAGGGAAATTTGACGCACCATTAATCCACGCTCTAGCCGATACAAGCAAGGTCCGCTGGATTGCTCAGAATGGCAGTGGTTACGATGAAATCGATGTGCAAGCCTGCAAAGAACGAGGTAATGTCTATCCTCAGTCAGAATCATCTATCACTAATGTGCATCTGCCCCAGGAATATTGGTGTCGAATACTCCGAGAGCGAACGAGGATGCTACTGCTACTACCACTTTATACCTTATGATATCGTGCCTGCGGCAGTTCTCGATGGCAGAACGCTCCCTTCGCTCTGGTACATGGAAGACACCCTGTAATGCAGCGCAAACTCACGACGTTACTGGGCGCACGCTTGGTATCTTGGGCTTGGGTGGCATCGGTCTGAGATTCGCTCACCTTGCGCACGCCTTTCCGATGCGCATCATATACTTCTCACGAAGGAAGGCAGAGTCCGTACCAGACTGGTGCGAATATGTCTCGAGCGTGGAGGAGCTCTGCAAGCAGGCTGACGTACTGAGTCTACATGTCCCTCTCAACCAATCCACAGCTGGTATGATCGGAGAGAAGGAGATCAGGATACTGCGACGGGGTAGTGTGCTTCTCAATACGTCACGAGGACGAATAGTAGGACCAAGAGGCGATGATACGAGCACTGGAGGACGGTCATGTAACACTTCCTATATCGTTGTGTCGTCTTTGCTCACGACTTTCAGCTTTCATCAGTCGGCTTGGATGTATACCCTGATGAACCGCACGTAGATCCGCGCTTGTTGACCTTCCCGCAATGTACGCTTCTGCCCCATATCGGGGGAGAATCAGCAGAGTCATGGAGGACAAGAGAACTGCAGGCATTGGGAAACTTGAAAGCTTTTGTACTGGGTGGCACTGGGGAAGATATTGTCCCTGAGCTGAAGACGGGAATCGACAACTCGACAATCTTGTAATCGCTAGCAGCAGGCTGGACAATGCACAGAATACAAGGAACAACCGCCTTCCCTCATCTGATGATAGAATGCGGCTCGTATAATGGAGGAGAAGATCGATCACTGCAAGCCACACCATTCAGTCACAGAAGAATGCATTATAGCCTGGTTCGACAGCGTCAACGTCAATCACCATACGTCCCAGGCCCCATTACAACTCATCTTTGTCGCATGTATCACTGGACCCTGATCACATGGCCACTCTCCAACCATACTCTCCCTCGATCAGGGCTCATTGGAACTGAGTCACACGAAAATTCGACTTTATCGAGGGAAAAGCTGCCAATGCATGTCGTTAGGACAGTAAAAAGCCATCTTCGCACCGCAGACAAGCTATCAGTGTGACAAAAGCGACTTTCAACGTTACCGCACCACATCGTTCCCCATGTGTATGGCGAGAGCAGAGTAATATGGACTATATGTCGGCCCGCCACTACAGCAATGCCTCCAGCACTGAAGCCAACACACTTTTTTCTCGGCGTTCAACCAGGGAGCGAGGCTTACAAGCGGACTTTAGAAATGCAACCTATACAGCATATGCCTGAATGGACACCGCTTAGTTATGACGTATTTCATCGATCTATCATTTCCACACGTTGCTGTTGTTTTATTGTATGCTGCACCATCCTGCACGAGGCTCCACGAGAAGTGCTCGGTAAAATGAAATATAACATTCAATGAACTGCAAGTGTCGTTCGACGAAACTCAATTATTTACAGGAGGATTTTATATACGTCTTAAGGGGCCCCACTTGAAAATGTTCTACACAAAGGACTAAAGAAAGAAGAAATAACTGGCTTTCTATTGGGTAGCAATCAAGTGTTCATGAGCGTAAACAAGATGATCATCGAAGATCAAGGAGGTCGAACGTACCCGCTGAGCCAATAGTCACTAACACTCTGATACGAGACAGAGTGGAGAGATTAAACGAACTACCTCCTGGGGGCTACTTGACCATTCGACGGATTTTGATATTTACTGGGGTCTTGAGCCGGCTGATTCGGATTGGGATTACCAGTACTGGAAGCCTTGTCAACGACACCAAGCAATCATCAGCAACATGCCAATACGTACGCCTTCCGGACATTGCTTGGTACCGTGTTACTTCAATCGAAGTCAGTTCGTCGCAACAGTTGGCAGGGATATATCTCGCACTCTTTATCTTTTTTCTTCGAGTTGGTACCGTATAGGTTAGTTTGTGGTCCCCTGGTTTGACCTTGGTCGCTGATATCGAACATCAATGAAATTTAGTGCAACTATTGAGATGGCATACCGTCCTCCGCATAAGAGACTGGCAAGTTTTCTGAGCATGTCTGAGATCTGAGGCTGGGTGGTCAGTAAGGCGTCTAAGAATCGGAGTATATATATGCGAAATAAACGCTCAGTCTCACACTACCATTCGAAGTCTTTTTGTTCCTATCTGTCACCGCCACAGGAGCATCACTGGATTCACAGCAGAAAATGATGGCTGTCCATCTTTTCCATCGAATGCAGTACCTGTCCACGTAGAATCAAAACTGTAAGTATTCGAGTCCCTGTGTGCAATGGATAAGTGTTCTATTATTATACCTTGAACGAGGTGATTCTACGTATCCCCGTTAACAGAATAGACCGCTTACTAATTACCCGGAATTCTCGAGCGGCGAGCGCTACAGAATCAAGGGTCAGTTGATCACGGCGGTGACGACACGATCGCCCTAGACTGTGACATGTGATCGTCGTCTCTGCACTATGCCAACAAAATCAAACAACCTTGTGCTTGCATTTGATCTGAGACGTCATGGTTCGGCACAGCCGAAAACATCGCAGGTACGTGACACACCAAAGTATCAGTCTCCAAAACAATTTTCATAAGATGTCAGAAGTCCGGATCTATGTAGCTGATTGTGAGCGCTGAAGCGCTGATTGATCTATTGCTGTGACTTCTGCCTCCAACACTTCGATGTTACAGATTTAGCAACAGCCGCTAGGGTGTTCGCTGTAGATGATGACGAGGACGATAAGAACGCAATCGATTACGATTGACCCTTGATCCGGCTTCAGTGTTGGGTGTGAACAACCTTGTGATATGATCGGGTGATGGAACGGCGACTTACCTCCTGTATAGTTGTGCGTTCTGAGGTCCCTTCGAGCAAATCGTTCGACCGCCCCTGGAGAAAATGCATTCATGAACGCAGAGGACGCACTTTGGGAAGATGCTGGCCCTTTCCCGAACAACTCGGACAAAAAATGAAAGAACATCCCGACACCTCGTTCCGTGGCCCCTGACGTATACGGTCCAGAACGACGTTAAATGTCGTTAAGCTCAGTCGGAGCCGTAAGAAACATGTGATTTTGCTGTGCAGCAGACAGGAACTAGATGATATCATCAGCCACAGGAACTACCACAATCAATGTCGAAATATCTGCAAAGTACAGGCTGCGTCACTGCTTTCTATTGTGTTCCAGAAACTGAACAACGTACTCTTCCTGTATCGCCCGGGGACTATGTCACACGAGGATGAAGGTTAGGCCTACCCTCCCGGATATGAACAATGAAAGACTGCTGATTGCTCTGAGCGGTGCTGAAGCTTAAGCGCCTGTGATACTCCATGTGGTAGGTGTACTTATCAGCCTTCCATGACTCTTTTCGTTCGGGTGTTCTGGATGTACGTATGATTGCTGTACTTGGTTATATGCAGGAACGAAGAGGGTTCTTGGGTACCGCTACTAGTGCGACACTGGACGTACAGCAGAATTGAATAGGACCTGTTGTTCACATGTCACAGATACAGACAGAAATGTCTATTACTTTGATAAACCAGACCCTAAATTCATTTGACCAAAGTCAGAGAAATAAGCTCAGGCTATGACAAGTACTCTGCCTCGTATCATGGTCTGGGTAAAATAGCGCCCGCGTGAATAAATAGTTGTTGACCCTGAAGCTCCCGCTCCCGAACAACTGGAAGGTCGGCAGTCCTCCGAGAAGACCAAGCGTGGTAGAGCAAAGTCTGGAACTCTTGTTCTCCAAAATCCATGTGACTCGATGGGTCCGGAACTTCGAGTCGAACTTCCAGGCCAAGTACAAATATTCCAAGTCGAGGCGGACTAGGACCTCGATCAGGGCGACCATCAATGCCGTTTTGCACAAGACAGGGCAACACATTCTTCAGACGCCTCGAACAAATCTGCCTGGACTCGTCTGGATTGACTTTGAATTTGAATCAACAGTCCTTTCGCGGCTGCAGATGCGTTCCAGTACAGGTTGTGAAAAGTTTAATAAAGGACTCGAAGACTTGAACATATACACAGAGTAACTTAGAGTTGCAACTTGAAGTTGGAGCTCATTGTGTTTCAACATAGCCACGTGGTCCGTTTCCTCACAGCCTCGTGTGCATCTCATTCCCAAGCCACATCGTCTGCATATGGCGGTGAGTATCTTTCTCATCATTCTTCCATTCCACACTAGTACTGATCTAATAGCTCTCTTCAGAATCATGACAATCCATTTAAAGCTGTTTTCAATGCCTATTGTCGACTCCCACATGACGAGCTCGTGCTTTTCCTCAAAGTTCGCAACCTCCCAACATCGGGCGCGGACATAGAGCTTGCATCCAGATTAGCCCAGCACGATTTCCACACCTATCATTTTCCAACGATATCTAGTGATGCGCCAACGTCTCTCATGGACAAAGGGAAAGATACGAAGACCACAGAACGTCCTGTAGATCTACCCGTCGAAGTTCTGGCTGAGATCTTTGATCATCTTGGTGATTGGGAGCTCTCTCGGGCATTGGGCATTCCTACTTCCTTGTCTCCTCCTAGCGATTGGAGCAACCCTGCACCCATCGACCTCTCTATGCTCACGGGTTGCGTCCCTCTCATCCGTGCAGCAGACCCTGCAGCTAATCCCCCTTCAAGCCACGGCGCCATTGCGTCCGTGCGATTTGGTTACGTCAATGTGCTGGAATTTTTCGTTACACAATACCGCCCCGTATTCTTGTCTATCTTCAAAGATGATTTGATCCCTTTTCACGCATCAAAGCACGGTCGCATAGACGTGCTGTGGTGGTGGAAACATGGCTTCGAGCAACATCCAGATTTAGTAAATCCTCCCAAACCTGGGTCTATTGCTCGTGCCATCGACAGAGCCTCTCGTAGTGGCCAAGTAGAGTCTCTGGACTGGTGGGTGACTTCTGGGCTCCCGCTGGACTACACAGAAGCTGCTCTTGAAGGCGCTAGCGCGAAAAATCGCATTGATGTCCTGGAGTGGTGGAAGTACCAGCATCTCGCCAATAATTTGCCCTTGAAGGTCGGGCGTGTCATGGAGTTAGCAAGTCAAGCGGGGCATGTGGATACCCTTAAGTGGTGGGCAACGTCGCAACTGGAATATACGTATGACCGTCATGTCATGCACCATGCCAGCTGCGTGGGGAAGGTGGAGGTTCTGCAATGGTGGCTTGGAAGCGGGCTACAGTTTATTTTTGACCAGGATGTGCTGACCGGTGCAACACGGCATAACCGAAGCGAGGTGCTGGAGTGGTGGGATAAGAGTGGGTTACCGATTCAATATCGTATGTGCGACATCGAAGAAGCGCTTGAGGATGCGATTGGCGGTGGGGACAAAGCAAGGAGGTGGTGGAAGAATAAGGGTGTCGATTTTAATGCAAACGACAAGGAGTGGATGAAGCTGCAAAATTTAAACTAGCTGGCGTGTTTCTAGAGTCATTCACGATACTCAAGGTAATATTCATGTACTGGCAAGCCATACCATATTTACTTACGACCTAAGTGCTTCGAGACTGTCATTTTTTGTACGCGTTGAGTCTTTTGTTCCAAATTCGTTGTGTAGGTCCAATTGTGCGAACACACAAGGCTAACTGTAATCCATAAATTATGCGTGCCAGAGATACCGGTAACCACTGTAGAACTAACGACACGTCGGCTTGGTGTACCTCTCCCCAGTGTTGTCACTGGGCATGTAAATGCCTAAATGCGGAGCCATTAAGAACATGAATCTTGAAGCAGTCGGAGTGGACATACCGTCCCAGAACTTTGTTCATCCGGAACATATCGACCTTTTCAGTACCAAAAACAGCTCGCATGTTGTCGTCGCACATGATCTCACGTCTGTTGGAAGGGTTTTGAAGTTCATGGCCACGGATATACTCCCATAGTCTCTTCACAACTTGAGGGCGCGAAAGCTTGTCCACGCCAACAACCACTGATAGAGATTCGCTGTAAAACGAAGAAAAGATGAGGATATCGCACGGTAATAAAAGGCACAGAACAGGGGCATTTGAAGCACCTGAGAATATATTCCTTCGCGAAACCTCCTCTTGCACCTCCACTGCGTTTCTTCTTCGGCTTCCCCTCATCTTCGCCATCGTCCTCAGCACCAGAATCAACCACAGCTGCACTCTTCTTCGTCTTACGTTTCTTGGGCGTGGCAGATAAGCCATTTGATGCGCCACGCCGCGACCGGGAGTTGAGTTCTGATGCAAGTTTCCTGGCCAACTCAGCATCAGCCTCCTCGACACTTTTCACGGCACCCTTCTTTTTCTTCGTTGGCACTTTGACATCCTCCTCCGATGCTTCTCCGTCGTGCTCCTCTACAGCGTCATCTTGGTCCTCCGTATCCTCTCCTTGTTCTTCCTGTTCCGTGCCTTCATCTGTCCCTTCCTCGCGTTTCCTCTTCGATTCGTCTGTTTGTGCTTGCCGACTAACGACCTCATAGATACTCGAAATCATAGCGTCCACCTCCGTCCTTCGTTCCTTCAGTCCTCGAGCGGTCAGGCCCAACGCGGCGTCCTCCAGTAACTTCTGCCGAACTCCCTTCGCGCTGATGGTGCTCAAATCAACACCTGGAGCAGTGAGGATGTGCGTAATGGGGCCTTCGAGATCTTCTAGGTTGAAGCTCATAGTGGCAATGGTGCCGCTGGGTGCCAGCTCAGGCGTCGTAAAGGTGAACCACTGCTCGAGGTTTGAAAGGGGGTCTAATCACAAGACCGAGAACCGTAAACTTGTAGATATGCTTGAGTTATGCCCGATTTTACAGTGATTCCCAGGCTGACGTTTATCTCGAATCTCGACGCTTCAACAACCCGCGGTGCTCGCACAAGGGGCTGGCTAGCCAAATATCTACAAATAAGGTGGCAGCGAGGTTTCAAATCGGATCTAATGACCCAAAGTTACGTTTTGATGTGCTGTCACGGCTATATACTTGCAACCATAATACAGAACGTGTGATATCATGCGCTAATGCGCGATGTTCCATTCCTGCCGGGCTGGATCGCCTGGTGGCGGGAACAACCCTAAATCTCTCTGACCCTCACGGTCTTGCTGCGGTTCTTGTTCCTGCTCTCTAGTTCTACGCACGATACGCGTGCGGACGTAGATCAGGAGCGCAACAAGACCACAGAGGGCCACCAGTAACAACGTCTCCGTAAACTCGTCTACTTCTTCTTGCCTTTGGTGTCCACCACGAATAGCAGCTTCGAAATAGTCCTCGGGACCGAAATCAGTGTCCCTTTCGTTTTCCGCGTTCCTTCTCTCTCGTGCCCACTGTGTTGGAGGATAAGAAAGCGGGTGGCGAAATGATAATAGAGGAAATCCTCACTTGGTATAGATCATCCTCCTCCTCAGCAGCTGCTGTACGAGCGGCTTCGCCCTGCCTTCGTCTGCGGAAATCTTCGCTGGCTTTGCCTATATACCACTTCCCATCATCCTCAGACTCTTCAACAACCCTCTCCTCCTTGTGAGGGGCAAGTTGAGGACCGCCATCTTTTTGAGAAGTGTCTTGGGAACCACCATCTATTTCCTGTTTCAAGCGAGCCCTTTCTGCTACAGACACTGCAAGCACATTAGCCAAGATTGTGGACCATAGTGAGATGCGCCACACTTTTGTCTGCATCATATTTCCACAAATTAAGGCCATCCTTGCCACCCTGAAGAGTGTACCAGAGACTCCGACCATACAACTTCACGAGGGAGAGTAGCACAGGCAAGTATGCCTCGCTATTCGTCTCGACCGCCATATCATAATGCCTCTTAGCAAGATGGAAATCCTGTCATGGATGCTCATGAACCACGAGTAACATCCAAGGGTCAAAATTCTCACCTGGGGTACGCCAATACCATTCTCATACATCCAGCCTAGATTCCACATCGCCAGCGCACTGAGCTGCGTATCGGCAGCGCTCTGATAATATTTGGCCGCTTTTTCCCATCTAAGTGCCTCGGGTTCATCGGGGACACCAAGACCGTGGTAATAGTAGTCACCAACTTTGACTAGTGCATCAATATTTCGTTGGGCAGCGGAACGCGTCCACTGAGTGAGGGCGAGGAGAGCGGTATCATTGGATGCCTCGATAGGGGCGAACCGCGTGAGACGAAGCATACTCCGATCTGTAAATAGATCAGGTTGCGAGGGCCTTCAACTTTCATTTGAGCTTACCTTGGTCTAGAACATAAGCGAGATTATTTTGTGCCATTTCGGATCCTCTTTCTGCCGCAACCCACCATTTAAGGATCGCAATTTCCTTGCCACGCTCGGTGCCGCTATACCAGGCAGCTTCGGCGTCTGTCAGGAGATCATCATCCCAAACTCCCCGCTCAGCGACAAGTTTGAAGAAGGAAACTGCAGAAGCGCAAAAGCCTGCTGCGAAACCTTCATTTGCAACACGCATATTTAGGGTGTGAATCTTCGCAAGGTAAAAGTGGGCCTCAAACGTTGAGCCAAAGCGCACTGCAGCTTCAAAGTACGTGATAGCAAGCTTGAATTCGCCGCGGTCTGTTTGTTGTTGAGCAAATACAAGCGTTCGTTTGAGGAAATATAGGCTCACAATAGTTGTACTTTCCAAGATTGACGTGAGCTTCTGCGAGTTCCTGACCTGCGGCTCTAGTGAAGTGTACAAGAGCTGTCTTCATATCCTGGCGTCCTGACACTAGACCATCTCTCCACATGACACCCAATAGATTGTGGCATTCTCTGTCCTCAAATTCGGCCCCTCGTTCAAACCACATCATGGCCATCGCGTAGTCCTGCTTCACACCCTCGCCCCGGAGATACATCCGCCCGAGATATGCCGCGCTCTTTGGTGCGAATCCAGGATGCTTGACGTTTTCAGCCTTGTAACCAGGTGCATTATGCTGTAAGGGGTTCGTAGGGTCACGAGGCCAAATCTGCCGTGCGATCTGGAGGAAGTAAAACTGAGCTTGATAGAAGTCCTGGGGGACACGTCCAACCCCCTCCGAGCCAGAACCAATACCACCCGCAGAAGAGTAGATGCTACCCTGGTAATAGATCTTCCCCAACTTGTACGCAAAGTCTGTTTCTCCTCTGTCGGCGTTGAACTAAACTTACATAAGTAGAAAGAATGACATGGTAGATGAAAAAAGCGCACGATGTAGTACTCGAGAACGTCATCCCACGTCTCGCCAGCAGTCTGTGCTAGGCCAGCCTTGACAGCGGGCTTAATAACGTTCAAGCCGGTAGACGCAACACTGGCACCCGGCCCGAACACACCCCCATCTAAATCAGACAACCGCGTTGCAGTCTGCGGAAGGGTCTGGCCACCAGGAGGACCAGACAGGAACATTGACATCGCTAGGATGCTTTGTAAGAACTTTGCAGACTCAAAAACTATTGTTCATTCACCTTCATCCGCAGCAGCCTCGTACCATTCGACTGCGCGTCCGCAGTCTTCGACTGTGCTGATACCGCTCCAGTACCGATACCCCAGAGCCATCTGTGCGCCTTTGTGACCGCCCTGAGCAGCAAATGTATAATATAATAATGCTTGGGCTTGGTCGATGGGAACGACATCTGCATAACCTGTTGCATGGAAGAAGGCGAGAAGAGCTTGCGATGAAGCGTTGCCTGTCAGTGCAGCATGGTGCGAGAGCGAATCATATGCAAGTTTAGGGTCGGACGGAAAATGGGAGCTCGGAGGGAACTAGTCACATAAGTTAGCACGTTGAGTTTTGGAACACGTAGAAGCGAGGCCTACCAGAGATATATACCCAAGCGTAAAAAGTGCATCCAGATTCCCTAGTTCAGCAGAGTGTTGCAGCAGATCCACCACCTTTATTGCCTTTCCACGCATCTCCTCGTCCCTTCTCCTCGTACCACTTCCACTGGGTCCACCGAACAGACGGAAAAGAAAGAATTGTTGACGAAGTTTTAGTGCTATACGGATTGCACTTCCTAGAGGGCCTTGGCCTTGTGGATTGGGAAGGAGCGCAGATAGAAGAGAAGGTGTTGTTGTAGTTGGTTGGGAGAATACGTTGTGGGTATGAGATGGCGGATGTGCGGTGAGGTTAGAAAGTGTGAATAGAGCAGATTTGTACGCTCTTGTCGCTGTGTGATATGTTAGATCCCTTAAGTGCTGAAGGAGACCCTGCTCACCCTCAGCATCCTGGTCGAAATCTGGTTCCGAATATACGGTAGCCTATACAAGAATGAGCACTGTCCAAACACGGGGATATCTTGAATCTGCCTGCATACGTCATGTGGGACTTGAGCATTTTGTTGCACACTGAACTCCAGCTCCGACTGGGTGCTCTCTATATTATCCTAAAGAACACGTTAGTATTCATGACCGTGCAATCATGATAACACTGACGGTTTGAGGCTGGGCTGAGGCAGAGAATGCAGCGAGCGCCACCAAGCCAAAGGCTAACCACGTTGCCCGCCTTGAACTTGCATTTTTTCGAGCGCTCATGGCTTCATGAATGACTGTAGCTTATAGGAATCCTGAAAGCCGTATTAGTAATTGTCACTTGGTCGAACGAGCTACAAGAAGTTAATACCGCGTTCTCCCAGCGGAACCTGGAAATGCCACGTTTGCAAACAATTGCACATATATCCTTAAATTATCTGATAAGATAAATAGCTCGGAGACGCAGACTCGGTACTCATCACACCACACTTGCCCAGCAAACTCATTCCATTTCCACCCATCTTCTTTAGAGATCGCGATGCCAGCCAAGTATAGAATCCACACCGAGTCTGGACAAAAATTTGGCAAGCAGACGATAACCACGAGTACTGAATAAAACGCAATGCTGCACTCATCACAGAAGTCTCTTGAAGTGACTTTGGCTATTCAGCGGCTCAAGTAACGTTAAACTTGGGTCGGCATGACTTAAGAGTAATGATTACTAGGCTGTGCAACATTAATCATGGCCCGTTCTGCATGCCCAAGTTGCGCGTAATACAAGTTAGTCCAAGTAACGATATACAGCAAAGCTCCGGCTTCATTCGATCTCTCCCTGCCTCCCTTAGAGACTGCGACGCCAGTATCAAGTATGCAAACCTGAAGTTCAAACAGAGATTTGGCCGCAGCAGGCGCTGCGACATGACCAGTCCGACTACGCGTCAATTTGAGATGTGAGCATGCTTGGTAGTATACGTCAGGCTTGTCACGAGCCTAATCGCAACCATGAGCGGTCAACGTGTCGCTGGCGGCCCTGAATATATGAAAGACACGAACTTGGAGCACTCCCGAAAATAAATGCAGTGGCGGCCAATAACATCTCTTGCCACATTGATAACGGGTGCATGCTGCATATATGTGGCTACCTCGTGGCTCAAGCAATGGTCGCTTGCGTTGGGTCGAGCAGTCTAAACCTGTTGTTCATGTCCAAATAGCGGTTAGTATTTCGAAAATGACATTCATGCTATGTACTTATCAACAAGGCCAAATCAATTATTGGCTATTTGTGGGCCAGGGACAGCCCCTGAGGTATAAGTAAAAACGCGACTATGCTCACATAAGCTCAGGATAGAACATCACATGACATAATTAGCGCAATTGAAATCTCTATATCACGCGAACTTGACCGCCTCTGGTGACCTCTCCAAAGAACCTGGACGTTGTACGAACGTTGAGATTAGTGCAGAAGCATCGCGCGTCATACTTACCACTGGGGTAACCAAAAACGTATCCTTGCAGTGTGAAGTGATGATCACCGCGTAATGCCGAAGCCTCCCTGTTTCGGAGGAAAAGTCGCTGACTCAGACTCCGTTGAGCTCGGTAGTACCGCAGGAGATATGAGGCGAGAAGCACTGCAGCGCTATCTCAAATGCAAATAAGTCGGACATGCCTCAAGCAGGTGGAAAACAATCACAGTACAAAAACTCCCATCATCCCAGCCTCTAATGATACCAGTATCTCATACGCTTGTACTCATACAACACGCCCGAGTCAGAATGAGCGCCAGCTAAAAGAACTGACTCTTTGGATCCACTCGACAGTCGGTGAGCGGAAGAATAGAGTTTTCAAGCATAATCAAACGCTTACAACTCCTCTCCACGCAGTCGGTCCTTGTCCTTTTTACGAGACACAGTCGACTTCCGACACCGTATTCAGCATATGTTGGAACGCTCGTTCGCGCAATTAAGCGGAAAGATGCAAGGCAGTGAAAGAACGATAGGGAGATTGAAAGCACCTTCATGACTGTGAGTATTAATCACATCTCTATCTTGCCTTGAAGTTGCCCACGAGCTGTTATTTTTGACTAGCACTGCGAATGGTTCAGCCCCGGCTGAAATTACCATCTTGGTATAAGTCTGAGCCAGGATTCAAGCAACTCGTGGTAGTTGTGGGCTGGTTGTTGCGTGATGATATTCTCAAGTACATACAGTACTTCAGATCTAAGAGAGGGTGTGTCAGCGGTAACCTTATTTACCAGTCCGAGTATCTAGCAGTAGCAATAACCGCAGGAAATTGTCCGTAAGACCAGGAGGTGAGTTTGCATCACTTCATTTTCCGTCTCTATTTCCACATGATAAAAACAGTGTCGGTGAGTATGAAACTTGCGAGCCACTTACTACGGCTACAGTACCGAAAGTTTGATGCGTGCAAGACCAGTCTCGCCTTGTGCCCTGGTCCCGGGTACCAGAGTCCACGATCTAGTGAGGTACTGCCGTGTCTATAAGGTTGCAGAAACGCAAGTATTAGACAATTTGGCCGACAACGCATGAGCACGTGCTAAATCATCAAATGAGTACGAGTCATCACTCAATAAAAAGACTCGGAGCAGACACCGACAGAAGGACTCCGGGTGGGTAAACCGCGCTCTCGATACTCCACGATGCTCAAACAATCTTCGAAGCAGGAGACAGAAACACCGTCATCAACTATCTGCTGATCTGTTACAACAAGTGAGACAGGCGGAATCAAGGCGAATGGAGAAGGCAAAGCAGATCATGATGAAGACTGGCAGAGCCAACCAAAGGAGGTGACAAACTCGAATGATGGCTAAGCAAAAGTGGAAGCGCAGGAAATTGCAAACATACACATATCATAGGCATTTATTAGTATAATTGGGTGACTTCCTGTAGAGGTAAAAATAATATTAATGCAGAGTATTCTATAATTTCACGCATTAGGTTGAACTTTAAAAGCCAACCATGGTCTCCCTTCCCCAATAAACCTTTGAATTTGTAAGGGTGCAGCTTCTTCGTCTGCTTCGTTCTTTAGAGATTGAATTGTCAAATCGTCCATGGTGGTGGGTGCGGTCGATATTCTGTATTATCTATTAGCCTGCGGTTCAGTATTTTGTGCAGATTATCATTTTTGAATCTGTTTTCGCACTCCGATATATGATAATCCAGACTATCGGAATTGCGCAATGTATTCCATTTTGCTTGACTTCCTATATGAAAACCTTCACCTCCTCGCTGATTCCGCGATGGCAGTCCTATCATATGGATGCTTTCAACGTTCAATGCCGCAATGACGAAACTTTAAAATTGGTAGTCATATGCCATTACCATGCCAGCCTCGGCCTTCAGGTTATTCCGATTTCCAACGGCCAAAAGACTAATATGTCAAAGTTCACGAGGTCAATCTCCAGCGTCTACCCGCCGCAATATCCGTCCTGGCAAGGCCTACTCATGCACACGCCTCTTGGCCCCTGCGGTCGCGTTTCATTACTGGCGTCAAGCTTTGAAGATTCATGATATATAAAAACAAAGTCTCCTGAGTCGTATCCATGTACCTTCCCCCTTGGATCTGCTCGAGATGGTATCACTCCTCGCCCACCTAGATGGTTCGCAGGATGTGGCTATGGTTATAAGGTGCATATATTTCAAATTCCTCCCGACTCAATTGACGAGACTCAGCAGTAACACAAATATGACCTCTTTCGATAGTGACTTCGCCGTTGATCCTTTTGAGTGCGTTTGTTCCTCATAAGCTGACATTCACTGGTGATAATTTGGTTCTTCTAGTCGAAATATAGTTGTAGCAAATGTTGTCACTCATATACATGCGCCGCAGCCTCGCCGTCTATGCCTCGGTAAGAGGATTCATGCACATGATCAACACATGATTGTTAAAGACACCCTTCTTATTTGGCTGTGTTTTGTCCAGATACTATATACACGGGCTCTTGCTCGCCGGCGCACAACCAGGCAATTGGATCGAGCATTTCTCGACCTCCCGCTCCCATCTTCAATCATCCACAACCTCACCGTGCTCTGCGCCATGACAACACTAGCCACTCCACTTCATCCCATATCGACCTCTCCATTGAGCGCCATAGTACCCGTGCTTGCAGGTGGGACAACAATGGAACACCTTGCAGTCACGAGCTATCCCAGAATATTGTTGCCCACTTTCACCAATATCATCGCATCGATGTCGACTCAGATGAATCGTTCACCTGCTCCTGGATCACGCCCCACGCCGGCCGTTGTGGGAGGAAGCTGAAGGTCGACAGCTTTAGACGCCATATCATTACCCACATTGGTATCAAATTCAGGTGTTCCGTTTGCAAGAAGAGCATAGCGGCTCGGAAGGACGTCGCGACCAACCATCGTCGACGCCACCCGGCTTGCTCTCAGGCAGCCTTTGACACTATACAGACCACCATACCCCTTTCTGATAAATGACCACGCTTCCTTTACGATGTGTTGAATGGTTCAGTACCTTATCGTGTCATGTTGTCATATAACCATCGGAGCTGCGCCCAATGTGGACGACGTTTAATTATAGCCATCTATGTTTTTGACCAAGCAGTGACCGGACGCGTGCCTGTGTACTCGGGTTTGTTGGACCTGCCCGATGGTGAGCCAATACCCTACGGTATTCCAAGATAGGACCGGACTTGGAACGTTCTCATTGATAGAACGCCTCAATTTGTAAACAGGTTAGCTATTCGTTGTGTTAGCCCCACGTGTACTGTGTTCACCATCGCGCATTGCAGGACGGGAAATGCATGTACTCTGCAATGCCGGATTTGGATAAATTTTGCCACTCATTTCAAAACTCGTGAGCCACTTGGAGTCTGAAGTACGTCTTTGTGTCTTCGATACATCTCTTATTACCTTATCATTACGTTCCTGTGGTTTCAAGCTCGACGTGCCTGGTCCTGCGCGTTAAGCACTTTGGTTTCCTTGACAGCAACAGCCTGAATGTGCTTTCTCGTTGTAATATTAAGCTTACTTTTATGGCAGTCCTACCAGTCGGAGGGACACAATTGGTTGGTATGTCTCGTATCTGCAGTAACCAGTATACTGATCTGGATATTTGCTCGAGGTTCCCATAATGCTGAGGCCAAAAATACGATCCTGGCGGTCGTCCACGGTACTATGTATTAAAACAATATCGACCAGCTTTCAATCGTAAAGTCGTGCATATTTCTTGTCCAGACCGTGCAAGGATGATTCCACGCTGTCTGATATACTGCACCCTGCTGTATCCGAGTCACTGTTGCGCTACTATAATGATCATGCATGCTAACTTATCCTAATCATGTACGTCGCGTTTAGAATATTTTCGAAACTGTATACTGATTCAAGAACATCACATATTATAGCCGACATCAGCGGGTTAGATCGTGCTACAGAGTGCTACGGAGCGCTTCGTAGCACTATGTAATCATGTGTAATGAGTTACGTTTCCCTGATGGATTTCATGGCTCATCTCTGTCACGTCCACCCCCTGCATCAATATTGTATGCCACCTGACACATTACTTTGTCCGCTCGACTATACAACTCGTTTGATGTACACTTAGCCTGCGACCCCACAAGTCGATGCATAAATTCTACGCGCAAATAACACTTATTCATATTGGAGCAGGGTGTCCCAGGCGCGGTGGCAGGAGTCCTGGCTCGTAGTCGGTAGTTCTCGCGCATGTCGTAGTCTGTCCTCCATAGATAGAGCCGTAGCCTCCCGCTATAGAGGTCCGGCCTTGGTTCCCTTGCAGTCCGTGCCCGTTCCAATCTAAACTGCGAACTTCGACCATAGCGAGCTTTATCATTGAACTTCCCCTTGTCAACTGTGGACTTATCGTACATATGATTTATAGTTTTCTTGCTATGGCTAGCAGTACAATATGGTGCAACTAAATTGGTTCTGCAATTGCACTTGTTGGTGTCGCGTTGGTTCCGAAATTAATACAATAGAGTACTATTATGAAGGTCTGTTGTGGAGTCGAGAATACTGATTTCTTTTACTAAAAACATCCAGAGGGGCGCAGCCCTATATGGCAGAAAATACGTACTAAGATATGCTGTGTCCATTGGTTCAAGCAGATGCGATGTGGGCCCGGTGCATTTCTCATCCGTCCTCTTCATCGTATGAAACGAAGTAGCGGCTTGATGTACTTGCGGATGCGTAACTGATGAGGTGACTAGCATGTGGAACATGTCATCTGGCATAGGCGGGCAGGCTGATAGACAGCGATGGACAGTTTTGTCGCACTGGTGGCATTGCTGGCATGTTGGACTGAGAACTTGCGTGATGCAGTGGAACTGTGGAAGTGCTCATGCATAGATGTGTCCAGAGTGCAGTTGGGAGATAGGGGAGAGTGAGAAGAAGATCGATTCATTTTGTATACGACAGAGAAGCAGACTCACTTCACGTTGGAGTCGAGACCCTTACGAGGAGGTCTGGTGATGCGTGTTTGAAGCGGAGTTAGTGAGTTAGTGGAGGAGTCTCGGGAGTAGTAGGTCTCCGGTATATACAACGGATTGGAAGTCCAGCTCCGTTCCATTTCCGCTTCGACGCCGCCCATCTTTCTTGGAGATTGTGACGCCAGCCAGACGTAAGAATACAGAAGGTCGGACAGAAATTTGGCAAGCAGACGATGACCATGAACACTGAGCGTGTCACGGTAAAAACATGAAGGATCCCCAAAAGATCTTTCTGTCGGACAAATACAACACCGCGGTGGTGGCCAACAGCACCTCGTTCTTGTTACAGAAGTTCTTTGCCACAGTGACATAAGTTTTTTGCCAACCTGCGCCTGAAGGAAGCATCATTAAACCTGCCAGCTCGGTGAGAGCATCATGCCGTACAGCATTCAGCCTTTTCTTCATGTCCGAATGGCGTTGAGTGCCTGACAAATGACATACGTAGATCGCCCAGGGTTATTTGTATGTCGCACCACCAACATCCAAATCAGTGCAGAAACTTGTCTGCACAGAGAATAGTCACTGCATGGGAGACGGTGCCTCGCTGAGTAAATGCCGTGACCACGTATTCAGAATAGAGATAGAGATATTCTAGAAATTTGATCCAGAATTTCTTGACGTCTTGTGCAACGTGAATGTCTGCGTGAGGATGGCTTTGGAGGGTGAAGAAGGCATATGCGACACTATACGAAGCGGAAATAAGAATAAGTTATGAATGCTGGGCTCATCCGGAAACAAAGTTCATACCTCAGGATCGTGGCACGCAGGCAGACAAGCGTCAGCGGGAGCACAAAAGGGGATATCCTTTGGCCAGTGTTGAATATTCTCAGCTACTTAGCACCCTGCAGTGTGCTGTAGCTTCTACATCTAACCACTGGGGGAATTACGTAGATGGCTAGAATCGAACTCATATGAGAACAGTTGATCACTCAAAGACACCAAACTAGAATGAGCGCCAATCAAAAGGCCTAGGCCCACGGACTCATTCGGTGATGGAACACTGCTCACATGCACAAGTGACCCTGATTGCAACTCCTAGAAGGAACGGTGATCTTCATTAGTCGATTGGAGACTAGAAATCTCCGGTCGAAGTATTTTGTTATGATGTATTCTTTGTCGTGGGCATCAATTGGTGCTACCTACATGTATATGCGGAGTAAGTACCCGATACAAATGATTTATCACCACTCACAAGACGACAGTCGAAGCCAAGAGCCTGGAATTGCCTGAAATCTGTCGTTCTAGTATCCCCTTCTGCTCTGATAAATGAATGAGAGCAGTTCTAACGCACTTGGAGCTGTTCACACAACCGGAGCTTCCGAATCTAGTGATGAATCCGATAGAGAGGATATTGGTGGTCACCTGGAGCTAGGGACACGACAAAGATATTCTAGAAGTTCAGAACACGATGTTGGCAGTGCCATGCCATACAAGCGTGCGGAAAGCATTAGCTATGTAGTAAGTAAGACCGTGACGGGGAAACCATGGGATTCTACTAAACAAGGATTCTCAAGATCTGTCTGATTACATAAACCGAATCTTGATGCCTAAAAGATCGCGACTGTTGTCGATCGGGAACATTCCTGCACAGAACCGTTGAACGCACTTTTGGAAACAACCAAGCACGCGGCTCCGGATCATGTACCTTCAAATTTAATCCTACGACATCAACATTAAATATTAGTCCACCGATATCACATTCTTTCTGGCAACTACAACGTTTCTCCTCCTGTTGGCCCGTCTCCATCATCTAATATCTTGGCTTGGAGCCTGCTGCGACCCAGATCGGCAACCCTCAAGGCCTCATACGTCTTTGGGACTTTGGCGGTGCAAACTATTCCAACTTCCAAGGGTTACGAAAAGACCTTTATTGCTCATGAAGATAATCACCTAGTGACCGGTGGCAAAATCGTCGGTAGCTCTCCGAAGTCTGGCACGTTCACCCTGCCAACATTCTATAGTTGCGTTCTATGATATGTCCCTACAGAACCCCTCCGCTGCTGTATATCCAGCATAACTTGGCATTGTAGATGTCGTAATGTTAAACATGCGATTACCTGCCCACAATGCTCGATTCCTCTCTTAAAAACCGAGCAACATTGTCTGCTGAGTGGTATCGATGGATTCCTTTGACTCTTTTTCTGAACCTAGTGATCTGCTAGAGGGTTTTGAATATCGTTACATGTCTGTCTCTGCCTACCAATCTGCAGGTTCACATGGTGGTTTTGTGCCTACTGGTGACTCAGATCATTTAGTCACTGTTCCTTTCGAGAGGTGTGTCTGTTCCCCATAATTTTAGCATTCACTGGTGAAGATTTAGTTGCTCTAGTCGAAGCAGAATTGTGGTTGATGGTCTCGTATGGCCTACTCATATACTACACGCGCCACAGCCCAGTCGTCCTCTGGTTTATCCGTGGTCTGGTGAGAATATTCATGATCATCAATATACCCTCCTAATTTGGCTGTGCCCCCACCTAGGTTCTATGTACACGGGTTTTTACTCGACGAACAACCAGATAATTGGAATGAACATCCCTAGACCCTCCGCCCCTATTCCCGCCCTTCAGATGCGAGACGACTTGCTTGCAAATTTCCATGACATCTCCGATAACCTACCACTTCGCCTTCCGCGTGGTACTAGTCGCTTCGAGCCATACCATAACGATCGTTCCCATAAGTACCATGACGCATTTATCTGTCAGTGGGATAACGAAGGAGCACTTTGTGGTGATGAGCTTCAAGCTACACCCAAAGATATTTTCGCCCACCTGCGGCAAGATCATGGTATTGGGGTTAGCAACAAGGGAACTTATCGTTGCCTCTGGATTACAGCTTATGGTCGCTGTGAAGATCGGCTGAAGTTCCAGAGTTTTGGGCGTCACATCATTAAGCACGCTGGTATCAGATTTAAATGTTCTCTCTGCGACATGACAATGCCAGCTAGGAACGACCTCGCTACCCAGCATCGCCATCACCACCCGAATTGTTCTCAAGCAGACTTCTTCGTCATCCAAAGTCAAGCATCATTCTGACAACGGCCACCACTCTTTTGCGATGTTTCGGATGATTTGTCGCATGTCATGTGATATGTGAGTGTCCAGCAATCGGGAAACCATTATCCAAAACTCAGACATTCTTTCTAGTTAAACCCCTCTTCAGCTGGCTGAGATGGGCACGATTTTCGATTTTGGTTCAACAGAGTTTTCACGTTCTTTGGCCTGCGGCCTCTCATAACTTAGTCAGCCCCGCCTTCCCCGTTGGCTTCTCTTCCCCGCACGCATCAGTTGCCTACTTGGTCGGGTTGTCAATTCTTGGCTCTGCATACGAGCATTGATAATTTCTCTTTGTTGATATAGAATTATATGCGCTAGGCTGTCATGATCAATTCGTGACGCTGAAGTATACACCTTGAACCAGCATTGGTATTGTCTTATTATAGTCTCCGGATTGTTTGTACAGTTCTAATAGCCCTCGACGGTCAAATTCTACTGTAGCACATCGGATAGAAATTAGTTTACTGGCGCACAATTTACGATGCATGTTGTAGCGGTACCATTTCTTATTTTATTGTTGATTCTATCTTGGACCACCACACTCTCCTATGTATACTACACGACGACACAGCATGACGTGGTGGACAACATGCCGGCGGTTATGGGTGCTTATATACGTTAGAATTAGACACGCAATACTCATGCCTCTTTCCCCGACCACGCTCGAACCATTAAACATTTCGCTATCAGTTGAGTTATTTGATATTCTACCCCGAAGTGAGGTATGAATGCAGGGTTAGGTGCGGCAGCGGCAGTGCAGTACGTGGCTTCCGCACCACGCAGTGCTCGCGCCAGCAGGCTCAAACCTGCCTGCTGCCTTCTGCCTTTCTTTTTTCCATGTTTCCTCTCGTCGAAATTTTCGTGACCCTACTATAGGTGACTCCCAAATTTTTATTGGCCTGATTTCTATTTTCTAGGCTATTTTCAAGTTCGCCGGCTACCTGGCAACACGGTGGGCTCTGAGGGCCTGAATCCTTACACGCATTCGCATGCAATGAAGACAAGTCCAGCGGGGACGCTGGCCATAGGTAGAGGGCATCCAAAACGCTTCTGCGCCGCCCTCTCAAGTTTACTCATGCAGAAAATTTGCCGTTGTAAACTCTCGTCGGGTTCCTTGTCGCCCATCAGAGCGGGGAACCTGATAAGGGGAGGGAACTATCTGCTCACTCACCTTGATGTGAAGTAGACTGCCCTGCATACTGGTTTTTACTTTATCTCTCCCATTGCTCTTCCCCCCACCTTGCTCACGCGGATGCCCACATATTCACTCATGTGGATGCTCGCACTTTTGCTCACGCGGACGCCCCCAAGCTGCTATCCCTTCTTTCCAACGCCGCTTCCCTCACCTCGAAACGTCGCTCTGAGGATCCTACAATTTTGGGATCCGATGTTCACTTCGCTGCGTCGCTCTCACTCATAACACCTGGGAATTGCAGCTCACCTCGGCTCTCTCTCGCACAGGTTGGGGCTGGGTGGCCCCTTCAGGGCTTCCACCCGAAAAGCTATCTGCCTCAATAAAGCAAACATTTCCTTTGTGTACTTCGCCATTGCACTTCTTCACCGACTCGCGGATTTAACGCGCGCCGTCACTGGGGAAACGAGGAAAATGCGAAAAAGGGTAGGACTGGTATATGGACACAATGTGTAGTACAGACATATAATCAAAATGTACCGGTCGAAGTACATAAAGCACAAGATTGCATACAACCCAATAGCCTACCGCGAAACGGCATACACAAGCGCGCGCTCATTCGGTTCCATCATCAGGCGTCTTTTGCTTGCTATACTTGCTCCCCCTACCTATCCGCCATCGTTCGTTGGCCACATCGACGTGATAAAGTCTCTTCCTCTCCAACAAAGGAATGTACCTTGCGTTGCGCTTGTATGTCCCTGCACCGAGTGGGACACCAAGGACCGCTTCTCGGCCCGAGGTCGAATGAGGGAGCGTGTAAGGCGTCAGTCCTGTCTGACTGAAAGGGAAGTATTGAGGTGGTGGAGAATGATATTGAGTGGCAGCTGTGAGGAAGTGCTCGTCTAGGACTGTGTGGATGAGGGAGCGTTGGTGAATAGAATGGAGTTGTTGATAGAGCTCTGAGCCGGTACCGCTTTCTGTACCGTCGCCGTCTGTTTGCCACGTGACATCCGAATCTGCGTATGCACAGTCCCAAAGCATGAGAGGAAGGGCGTCTGCCATCTGATACTCGGGTTTGCGATCTACCAGTGGCAACGGAGACTTAGTTGATGAGTCTGATTCTGCATGAAAGACGTTCATAAGAGCTGGTATGATGGATGGCTGTTCAACTCCTGTTCCGACGAGGAAAAGGACAGCCATGATATGTCGAACTTGATGGTATAGGAAAGCAGATCCTACGAGATCGAATACGTATACTCGGTTATCGCCGTCAGACTCTGGAGAGAGCGGATTGATCTGTGCGCGCATGACACAGCGGTGAAAGTTGGTGATTTGTTTTCCTGGATCAAGCTTGCACATATTGCGAAAGTCATGTTCGCCGACGAGATGGTTTGCAGCTGATTGCATTAGAGATACATCGAGTCCATGAGAGGTGAAGAAGTATTTGTAATGTCTGTGTTTACAGTTGAATCGAGCAGAAAAATCGGGGGAAATGGAAGACCATGCTAAGACGCGGGTTGTTGGAGGGAGCAAGCGATTTAGTATGAATACGTAGCGGAGGTCGTGTTTTGGGGGGCGTCCTCCGTGGATAGGTCCTCCTCAGACGATGGTGATGATGCTACCTTGGAAGAAGTTTCGGTGGTTTGACCAAAGCTCCGCAGAATGTTGCAGCAGATCCACCACTTCTATTGTCTTTCCACGCATCTCCTCAACTCCTCTCCTCGCAGAACTTCCACTGGGTCCACCGAACAGACGGAAAAGAAAGAATTGTTGACGAAGTTTTAGTGCTATACGGATTGCACTTCCTAGAGGGCCTTGGCCTTGTGGATTGAGAAGGAGCGCAGAGAAAAGAGAAGGTGTTGTAGTGGTTGGTTGGGAAAATACGTTGTGGGTATGAGATGGCGGATGTGCGGTGAGGTTAGAAAGTGTGAATAAAGCAGACTTGTACGCTCTTGTCGCTGTGTGATGCGTTAGATCCCTGAAGCGCTGAAGGAGACCCTGCTCACCCTCTGCACCCTGGTCGAAATCTGGTTCCAAATACACGGTAGCCTACACAAGAATGAGTACTGTCCAAACACGGGGATATCTTGCATATGCTTGCATACGTCATTTGGGACTTGTTGTACACTGGGCTCCAGCTCTGACTGTGCTATCCTAAATAACACGTTAGCATTCATGGCGGTGCAACCAACATAACACTGACGGTTTGAGGCTGGGCTGAGGCAGAGAATGCAGCGAGCGCCACCAAGCCCGGGCCAAAGGTCAACCACGTTGCCCGCCTTGAACTTGAGTTTTTTTTTCGGGCGCTCATGGCTTCATGAATGGCCGTAGCTTAAAGGAATCCTAGAAGTTGTATTAGTACTGTGGATGATTGTATACGACGGACTCCAAACTACTCCAGATCATTACTTATTCCACACCATCAAACTCACCGAGATCCAGACTTGTCCCAGTTCCACCCATCTTCTTTGGAGATCGCGGTGCCAGCAAAGTAAAAGGATGTATATCTTGGAGTCTGCAGAGAAGTTTGGCAGGCAGACGATAACAATGAGCACAGAACACACGCAACGCTGGAGAGGCGGCCAACAAACCACTGCTCATCGACATCACAGAAGAAGTCTCCTGATACCCTAATAACGGATGTATGCTACATAGCTTTGGCTATTCCGCAGCTGAAGTAACGTTGAACTTGGGTCAGTATGACTCAGAGCATCAGGCCGTGCAGCATTAATCATGGCCTGTTCTGCATGCCCAAGTCGCGTGTAATACACGAGTTAGTACACGATCCCTCAAATTTACCCAACTGACGATATACAACAGAACTCTGGCCTCGCGATCTCCTCTTGTGTCACTTGCCTCCCTCAGAGACCGCGACGCCAGCATCAAACATACAAACCTAAAGTTTGAATGGAAATTTGGTCGCCAGCAGCCGTCGCAACCTAGACTCGTAACGAGTCTGACTATTCAATTTGAGATGGAGCATCGTGGCAGTATACGTAGGCTGGCCATGAGGCTGGCCGCGACCATGAGCGGTCAACGTGTTGTCGGTGGCCCTGAATGCATTGAAGACACGAACTTGAAGCACTCCCGAAAAAAAATCTTTTCTCAACATTACGCGGCGGCAGCTAGTATTATCTCTTGCCACATTAATAACGGGTGCATGCTGCATATTTTGGCTACCACATCAGGGAAACGTAACTCATTACACATGATTACAGAGTACTACGAAGCGCTCCGTAGCACTCTGTAGCACGATCTAACCCGCTGATGCATGTGGCTCAAGTAATGTCGCTTGCACAATCAGAACGAGCACTGGTCTCCACCTGTTCTTCATGCCCGAACGGCGTTGTGGACTATTTGGTAAGCTTGAATGTCATTCACACTAAGGCCAAACCAGATTGATCATTGGCTATCTTTAGGCCACAGTTCCTACCATCCGCAGCCAGCTTGGGTCGTTAATCAACGCAATTGGGATTTCTCAAGATACTTGCCACTGGTGGAACCGCCAGCCTTGCACTCGAGAGAGAGGAAGAGAATGCACTGCTGCCTGCTATGAAACGAACCGAACCCTGTGTCTACAACATGTACATCCGGGCTATGTAGCCCGGGACCCCAAACCCCCTGAGACCCCGATCTCTAATCCTGCTCTACGCTCGTGCCTCTACACTCACGCTCACTCCGAGCCTGCTCTCCTGGCCTCTCTGCGTCCCCCCAGCCCTTGCACGGGGCTTCCCGTTACACTGGGGCTACCGTGACCAAAAGCGTATCCTTGCAGTGTGGAGTGGTGATCACTGCATAAACGCCGAGGCTTCCCTGACTCGGAGGAAATGCAGAGCCCAATCCATGTCTGCGGAAATATGCAACGGGGCGCCATACCAAATGCAAATAAGTCGGATATGCTTGAAACCTCCACTAGCGAGTGATCCAGGCCCGTTTCGAAATACATAGGTTGCCCAAAGCTCCCGAAAACAAGTGCAGCGTAACGTAAGAACAAGACCTCGAAAACCTTGTCAACTGCAAGTTTGCCTCTGACTTTGAGTAGTCACAACGGCGGCAAAAGCCTCTTGATGGCTATCATTTTCGTTCTCCGTCAAAGCCTGCCCTCCCTCCGCCAAATTCATCCTGCATTATCCTGCCAATAACGCTGGACACGTTATCACCGAGTTATTCAGCATCGATGTCTCCAGCCTCAACCGCATCTCGGAGAATTCAAAATTGTACTGCTCATATCTTATGATTCTTATCGGCATCATAGCAAGGTATTCCAAAACACAAGCCTGCGTCGGGACTACTGTCACCCTCTGCCACAGGGTCCGCGAGCTCGCTTTCCAGATAAAATGAGTATCCCCCTCGCAACTACTACAGGACAACCTTCTCGCACTCATGAACGGCAATGATGGCTTCGGTGTGTTGTCCATTTTGGCACTCTTCGTCGAAGTCTGGACGAGCTTAGAACATAGCGTTAGGAACATGTCTTCTTACTTTGTTTTGGAATACAGTACTAGTGCGTTGCATATCAATTGCACACTGCAATGCGAGTTTTTCAACTCGGGTTTTACAATATGTCGTGCTCTTGATCTAATAGTACCGGTCAAGGTAGTGAGCCCAAAAAATTGAAAAACTTGTACTGCAGTTTGATATGCAACACACTGTAAAATCGAGGACGTCTCTGAAATGGCCGGTCTGGGCCAAAGTACGGGCCAACTTGAAAGTTTCAAGTCTGAGAGTCATCGGGATCCCCATGTGGAGTTGGTCACCGGGGTTGATTGGCATTGGCCGTTCTAAACATCAAGCGGAGTTTAAACTCTGCTCGGAGTGCCGTTGACTGCCATCGTGTCCCAGACTCTGGCTCGTACTTTGGTCCAGACGTTGTCCCAGACTGGCGATATTCTGGTAAAAATTTCGTATGTCTCCACAATCTCCGGTGTTTGTTGTAATCAAATTTACTTGCATTTTTCTTAAATCACCTTTCCATCTTATGTGGGTTTACCAAGTAGAATAACTCCGATGTAACTGGGCGAAAGCAGGAAGTGATAAGAGGACCCCCGGAGGTCACACTCTGGCATGCCCGTCAGGTTTCGAGGCGTGGAGGCAGCGCCAAGCTTCGTGCACGTACGGTTAGGCCTGGCGCATCATGGTGGGAGGTTGGAGGTTACTCAATGTCGGGTGCTGTGCCGCCAAGTTTAAATTCTGCTCAGCTACCTTTGACAATAGTCGAAGACTTAATTGTACTACACATCGAGTCTTGAATGTTACCAATCGGCACTTTCAGCACACTGAATGGCGCACTTAACGAGGCACAGGCTTCATAGGCAGATAGTAGATTATGTAAAAAATGTGTGGATGGATGTGGTAGTTAATAAACAGACCCGGAATTATGAAATTAAAGCCGAACAGACATAGATCTAAATCGAAAACGAGTGAGGCTCGCCATAAAATCCTCGTCAACTGAGTGAGGCTAACTGTCGATGGTGAGATTCTCGTCCAAGGATCAAGGCTCACAACCAATGGTTAAATACCCATCAAAGAAAGTTAAGTGGGGACAGCATGGGCAAAATGTAGCATAGGAACGCCGCAGGTATCAAGTTGTATGTCAGAAGATAAACGGAGCTGGTAACTAAGATTTACTCAGCTGAGGAATACTATTACTAGCCCAGGGGTTGCTGGGGTCTAGGGCTGGCTAAGTAACTTGTTACTAGTACTGTTCCGAGATACATCGGCTTCCAAAAGCTCCCGAACACAAGGTACATGCACGGCACCTATGACCTCGTTGCATCGGGACTTTTACTCTGGAAGCTATAATAGCCCCCTGACGAGTACTTTCGCAGGTCTGAAACCGCTACTATCCCCACCACCTAGCGTCTCTCTTGCCATAGCTAAGATGCCCTTATAAACTCAAACTCAAACTCAAACTCAAACTCAAAATCATATTCAGCATATGGCCGTATACGACCATCGCTTCCACTGGCACATACATTGACATCGCCTTCACAAAATTCAAACCTGGAAGCTCTACGAGTGGAAGTTCTACAGGGAGCTCTCTTCAAGTGATATGTTGAAACAGCTAATTCATGCATTAAGGCGGAAAGATGCAAGGCAGGAAAGAGCGATAGAGAGACTGAAAAAACCTTGACGACTGTGAGTAGTCATCACATCCCTACTTTGCCTTCAAGTTGACCACGAGCCGTTATTTTCGACAAGCGCTGCGAATGGTTCAACCAGCGCTTGAACTGTCATCTTGGTATAAGTATGACTCTAGGATTCAAGCAACTCGTTGTAATTTGGGGGTGATTGTTGTATAATGATATTCTCAAGTACTTACAGTACTTTCAGATCTGAGAGAAGGTGCGTCAGCGAGAACCTAGTTCTCCAGCCCGAGTATCTAGCAGTAGAAATAATCGCAGGAAATTGTACCAGGAGGTGAGTTTTCGTCACTTTATTCTTCATCTCTGTTTCCATAAGACAGAAACAGTGCCAGTTGTTATAGCAGGTGTAACTAGACAATCAGCAAACATACCTGTGAGCGACACGATCCATGCCTCAACGAGTAGTGTCGGACTATCTGAGCTTCGAGTAGTATAGGTATATATTGCGGTACTACGGCTACACTACCAAAACTTTGATGTGTGCAAGACCGGTCTCGCCTAGTGCTCTGGTTCCGGGTACCGGAGTTCACGATCTAGTAGCGAGGGTGCACTGCTATGTCTATATACTTGCAGACGGGGAAAACATGAACATATTGCGTAGCCGATCTGGATTCGTGCTGCGTTATGACATATATTCCAGGAAGACTACCTTACATCATCGATTCATCATGGATACGTACCCATCCTCGAAAGAGATAAAACTAGGTGATGCTTTGTCTATTCTAAAACGCCTCTTGGTCTCCATCCTCCACAAATATAATAATATTGTCCAGCGCCGAAACACTTCGCGAACCCCCTTGTAATGCACTCATTGCTGACGAAGATCAGCGCCTCTCGCCTGCCCGTCGCTGCTCCTACTCTACACCTAACCTGCTAAGGTGTCTGACTACAGTGCGCTGTGGTAAACATTCGTTTCGCAATAAAGAAGGTCGATTGAGAAACCGCGACAGGAACAGGGTCAGCAGCCCGAACATATTAATACGCACAAACTGCGCAAGCGCCACACTTCTCTTGCCGTTCAGCAATGATACGCATCTTATCTTCCATAGTACGAGTAATCGGAAATTGCGGATCGTCTTTGACGACAACGCCAATACAAGAGTTGGATGCACAGCAAGGTGCGGCAGTGTTCTGTTCTGTGTGCACAATCTGGTCAATCTCGGAGAGTTTGGCAGGCGAGCAAGCCTTCGCGAAGGCGGAGATGTGTTTGCTGGACTGAGCAAAAGGCTCAGGCCCAGGGATAAGTTCAGCAGCGAAGTTACGTCTCGGAGCCATCAAATGTTTGAAGATGAAAAGCAAGTCACCACAATCTTCCGTACATATATGGACACGTAGCAGCCTAGCACCAATGGTCGTGAGTATCAGATACTTTGACCGACATCAAATGAGTACGAGTCATCATTGGAAAATTATCAATCAAATGACGGAGACTCGGAGTAGACACTGACAAAAGATTCCAGCTGGATACTGGTGAACCGCACCCTTGATACTCAAACAAACTTCGAAGCAGACTGGAGATGACGGCAACTATATGCTGATCTGTTACAACAAGCGAGACAGGCGGAACCAAGGCGAATGGAGAAGGTAAAGCAGACGATGAAGACGCAGCATGAGACTTAAACCGAAAGGAGAGTCCCTCAAATCAATGATAGACAAGAAAACAAACAGGGGCAGAGCTCAGCTGGACGCGCGTAGTACGTGGGAGTTAGGTTCAAGTTAGTGTTAGGGTGCTGGTCCCTGGAGTTTGTACGCCTTTCCCTTGGCAAGTCCGGCTTTGTAATACTTACTCAATGGTTTTTTTTTTTGACCCGCGTGCCGGAAATTTCCGCAGGTTAACTCGTCCTAGGTGCTCAGAACACGTTCTTACACCTGCCACAACGGCCCATCATGCCATCGACATCGATCGTTAGCATCTGTGCTAGCTGCATTCCAATAGCCTCAGTTATTATGTCCGGCTCCTTTCTGCACCACTTGATCCGCAGCTGAGGAAGGAACCCGTGAGGTCACGCATCGTGGTCTTCTCAAGGCCCAGGGGTGATATCAATATTGATTTCATTGTATCATAGCGTGATTCCGGCACCGGGCGGCGGGCAGATTATCTACCAGACTTGTAGTTTTCTTATAATTTTTTGTCCTTGTTGCTTACGCTTATGTATCACTTTCTTTGTCTTAGAATATAATTATATATTTTTCCTGAATTTTCGATCTATAGTATCAACCTTTCTCTGATGTGACTTCAACGTTTCAACGTTCACCGACGCCGTTCAATGTTCAACGACGAAGCCACTGATTAAATTGGTAAAGCAAGCCAATATGTCACTGCCACCAGCCTCGGCCTTCAGGCGCTATTCCGACTTCCACCGGCCAAAAAACTAATATGTCAAAATTCACGAGAAAGATCTTTCAATTGTTCTGCCAACTGAATGATGCCGCCTACCTACTGGTAGCACACGCTTCCTGGCTGCTGCCAGTGCTATCACGTTTTGTTAATGGAGACAAGCTTGACTTGGAAGACCCATGGTCATAAAAACAAGATTTCCTGAGCTGTATCCATGTTCCTCCCCCATTTCTACTCTTTTTTAACCCTCGCGATTTGCTAGAGGTGATGTCGCTCCTTGCCCACCAACTTGGTGATTCGCAGGATTTGCCTATGCTTCTAAGGTGCATATACTTTAAATATTCCTTGATTCAATTGACGAGACTCAGCAGTAGCACAAATACGGCCCCTTTCAATAATGACTTGGCCATTGATCCTGTCGAGGAGTACGTTTGTTCCTCATAAGTTGACATGTACTGGTGATAATTCGGTCCTTCAGTCGAAGCATAATTGTGGCGGATGTTACCACTCATGTACAACATGCACCACAGCCTCGGCGTCTATGGTTCGGTAAGAGGATTCATGATTGTTAAGGACATCTTTCTTACTTGGCTGTATTTTTATTCAGATACTATATACACGGCCTCTTGCTCGCTGGTGGGCAACCAGGCAATTGGATCAAGCATCTTTCGGCCTCCCGCTCCCATCTTTAATCAACCACAAGCTCACCGTGCTTTGCATCATGACAGCACTATTTACTCCAGTTCATCCCATATCAACACCTCCAATGAGCACCATAGTACTCATACTTGCAGATGGGACAATGCAGGAACACCCTGCAGTCACGAGTTTACATTTCAGAATATTGTTGCCCACCTTCGCCGATATCATCACATTGATGCCGACTCAGACGAATCGTTCATCTGCTCCTGGATCACACCCCACGCCGGCCGTTGTGGGAAGAAGTTGAAGATTGACGGCTTTAGACGCCATATCATTACCCACATTGGTGTCAAATTCAGGTGTTCCGTTTGCAGGAAGAGGATGGCAGCTCGAAAAGACCTTACTGCCAAGCATCGTCGATATCACGCAGCTTGCTCTCGGGCAACCTTTGATATTGTCACAGACTGACACACGATGACTACGCCTTCTTTACGATATGTTGAACGGTTCGGTATTTTATTATGTGATGTGTCGTCTTGGGGCTGCGTTCAATGTATACGATACTTAATTATAGCAATCTATGTTTTTTGATCAGGCAGTGACTCGATGCGTACCTGGGTACTCGGGTTTGTTGTCTGCTTGCTCACTACTGATGGCGATCACTCAATACCCTACGGTATTCCGAGAAAGGAGGACTCGGCTTAGAACGTAGACTGCCTCACAAACACGTTAGCTATTCGTTCGTGGAGTGGGTGCTGTTATAGCTTCCACGTGCAAGCGGACCATACTTAATACTCAGATCTGGATGTGATTCATATGTCGGGTCGGTGTAACATGGTCAGACCGCCGCCACGCATAACCGTTACACCAAAAGGTGAAATACTGAAAGCTTAGCTTTCAGTATCAGCGACGGTATATGTACTGATTATGAGAACTCAGGTAAGCCAGCGTGCTTACAGTCGGGTCACTATTCTCCACTGTACTAGTAATCAGCACCGTGGGGATCTCACAGTTACCCTTCTTTGGCTATAGTATCTTCTAATCTATTGATACTATTTCTGAGTTAACCCGACAGGGGTCGTTTCCCCAGTGATTGCAGTGTCGGTGTCGCATTTCAAGAATAAGTACAGTAGAAAATGAGTTACGAAGGTCTATTGTAGAGTCGAAATGTCAATTTCTTTCCAAAATTGTCTACAGAGGTGCCGCCCTATGGTAGAAAATACGCGTTAGGATATACTGTATCCATTGGCTCAAGTAGATGCAAGAATGTCAAGGCCAATCAACGGTAAAGGTATGTGGGTGCGATGCTCATTCGTGTTCGTCGTCTGCAGGCGCTTGTTATGGGACGAAGTGGCGGCATGATGTACTTGCGGTTGTGTAACCGATTCTCGAGGTGGCTAGTATATGGGATACGTTGTCTGTGCAAAGACGTGCAGGCTGATATACAGTGATGGACAGTTTTGTCGCACCGGTGGCATTGCTGGCGTATTGAAGTGAAAACTTTCGTGATGCGGTGAAAGTGCTCATGTATAGATGAGTCCAGTGCGCAATTGGAAGAGCGGGGAGGGAGAGAAAGAGGACCAATTTGTTTGGTATAGGATGGAGAAGCAGACTTATTTCACGTTCGAGTAGGGGACATCTACGAGAAGGTCAGGAGGGGTTTGGTGGTGTGTGTGTGTAGAGCGGAGTTAGCGGAGGAATCTCGGGAGCAGTAGGTAAAGCAGTACCTTCTCCAGCCGTGCAGTCCAGAGTCCACTCCAACGTTATCTCAAATTCATACCTAGCTGTATACGGCGGATTGGAGGTCCTGCCCCGTTCCATTTCCGCCTCGACGCCGCCCATCTTTCTTGACAGAAATTTGGCAAGCAGACGGTGACCATGAACACTGAACGTGTCATGGTCTCTAGATTAAAGACATGAAGGAACCACAAAAGATCTCTCTGTCGGACGAATGTAACACCCCGGTGGTGGCCAACAGCACCTCGTTCTTGTTGCAAACTCAAGAGGTTCTTTGCCACAGTAACAACAGGCTTTTGCTCGTAGGGCCAACCTGCACCTCAAAGAAGCGTCATTAAACCTGCTAGCTTGGCGTGAGCATCACAACATGCAGCATTGAATCGGCCTGTTCTTCATGTCCGAATGGTGTTGAGTGCCTGAAAAATGACATACGCACGTCGCCAGGAGTCAGTGGCTATTTGTAGGTCACACCGCCAACGTCCAAAGTAGTGCAGAAGCTCGTCGCTTCGAGACCGCACGGAGAATAGTCACCGTATGTGAGACCATGCCTCACTGAGTAAATGCTGTCACCACGTATTCAAAATAGGGATAGAAACCTTCTAGAAATCTGATGCCAATTTTTTGATGTCTTGTGCAACATAAATGTCTGTAGGAGGATGACTTTGGAGGGTGGAGTAAGGTGCACGAGGTGCTGTACGAAGCGGGAACATAAGTCATGAATGCTCAAGGCCCATCTATAAAATTAAAATCGTACCTCCAGGACTGTGGCACGCACGTCAGCGGCGAGTACAAAAAAGGATTTCCTTTGGCCAGCGTTAAACCATTCTCAGCTCTTGAGCGCCCTGCAATGCGCTGTAGCTTCTACATCTGACCACTTGCGGAATTAGATTGTTGCAATCGAACTCGTGTGAGAAGACAGTCAATTGCTTGAAGACGCACCAAATTAGCAGACACCAGAATGAGCGTCAATCGAAAGGCCTGGGCCCCTGGATTCACTTTGTATCCAGTGAGCAACAATGATTTCTGCTCACAAGTGACCCTAATTGCAACTCCTAGAAGGGACGATTATCTTCATTAGTCTAACGGAGACTAGAGAACTCAGGCTCAAGTATTTTGTGGTTAGGCCAACCCGGCGCTTGTGATTTTTACAGCAGCATCGTCTTCGGACGCCGTACTTGAGACTACCCCAAAACGGTCGCGAATAATAAAGAAGTGATGCCGCTTTCAGCAACTCGAAAAGTTTCGAGGTTATTATGTATTCTTTGTCGTGAGCATCAGGTGCTACCCACACCAACATGACCGCATATACTGGGTAAGTACCCGATACACATAATTTATCACCACTCACAGTACGACAGTCGAAGCCAGGGGTCAATTGCCTGAAATTTATCTCTGATGAGAGCAGTCATAACATACTTGGAACTGTTCACGCACACTGGCATGAACCGGAGCTTCCGGATTCAGTGATGGAATTCGATAGAGACGATATTGGTGGTCGCCGATATGTAACTGTGGATGTATGCTAAAGCTGGTGATACTTCCACTGCCATCGATTATTTTCAGAACTAGTAACCGGCGTGAAGCCGCAATATTGGTCAGCTGGAGGGAAGGACACAGCAAGGGCATACTAGAAGTTCAGAACACATTGCACGATCACAATATAGACATGGGCGCAAAGTAGCGGCGGCATGCCATACAAACTGTGTGTGGAAAGAGCATTAGCTGCGTAGTAAGTAAGAGGTCACGGGGGAAACCGTACTAGAAAAGGGTTCGCAACTTCTTATGATGTTACTCAGTACTGACTCCACCACGCCGCTCATTGTGATCTTGCTTTGTGATGTCTGAATAAACCGAATCTCGATGCTTAGAAAATGGAGACTATCAATATGTCGCGGACGTACTATAAGTACACATGTGCATTGTGCAAGCTACACATAAGTATGTTTTGCATGAAGAAGAAACGTTACTATTCAAATGAGGCTGTCCGGTTTATTACATAATTTAGTTACGTATGAGTTCAGTCTATTAATGGTATTCAAAGTAAAAATTTCATCGGTTATCGATTATCAGTAAGTTACGTACTCAGATCAGAGTTACATCAGCCAATTAAAAATCGTTTATCGTGTTTCGACCGATAATTTATTTAATTGCCATGATATCGATACAGTTTAATATTAATATTCCTGTACTGTAGTACAGAGCATCACAGATTGATGCGTCACGCAAGCGAGGTTTGTATCAAATTGTATGTCATAGGCAAATGCAGGAACCGGGGAAACCCCATGAGACTGCCTGGTTTTTCCGATGCTCCGGATATTTTAATCTCAGCCTAACTCTGCGACGACACTTTGTAACGGTCCACCGGCGTCACGTACTCTTTCTGGCAACTACAATCTTCATCATTTAATATTCTGGGTTGGAGCCCAGATCAGTGGACCCTCAAGGCCCCATAACTCTGGCAGTGCCACTGTGTTCCAACTTCCGAGGGTGATGAAGAGATCTTTGCTGCTCGTGAAAGTAATCACCGTCGCAGCTCCTGGGAAACGAACCACTGTCCGTGGCAAAATTGTTGGCCGCTATCTGCAGTCTGGCACGTTCACCCTTGCCAATAATGTCTACAGAATTTCGCCACGCCAGCATTCTATAGCTGCCTTGCGTGATATGCGCGATCGAACCCCTCCGCTGCTGTGCATGCAGTATCCTTTGGCATTGTCAATGGCATAATGATAAGCATGCGAGTACCTGCCGACATGCTGGAAGATCACGATGCCTCCTTTAAAAGTAGACTCGGAGGCTGGAGCAAAATCATCTGCTGAGCGGCATCTATGGATCCTTTGCACCCATTTTTCGAACTCGATGAGAGTTCTACTTATTACACGTCTATGTCTGCCCACCAACCTGCAGGTCCACACGGTGGTTGTGTGCCTACTTATGACTCAGATCATCTAGTCGCTGTTCCTTTTGAGAGGTGCGTCCATTCTCCCTAATTTTAGCTGTCACTGGTGCAAACTTGATTCCTCCAGTCGAAACAGAACTGTGGTCGATGGTCCTGTATCACCCGCTCATATACTACAGGCGCCAGTGGCTCCACAGTCCAGTTATCCTTTGGTTTATCCGTGGTCTGGTGAGAATATTCATGATCGTCCATACACCCTTCCTCATTTGGCCGTGCCTCCACATAGGATCTACGTACATGGGTTTTAACTCGGCGAACAACCAAATAATGGAAATGAACATCCCTCGACCCTCCGCTCCCATTCCCTTCGAAAATTTTCATGACATCTCCGATAACCTACCATTTCGCCTTCGGCGTGGCACTAGTCATTTCGAGACATACCATAATGACCGTTCCCATGAGTACCATGGCGCATTTCTTTGCCGATGGGACAATAAAGGAGCCCCTTGCGATGATGAGCTTCAGGCTACACCCAAGAGTATTCTCGCCCACCTGCGCCAGGATCATGGTATTGGGATTGGAAACAAGGAAACCAACCGTTGCCGTTGGATCACACCACACGGTCGCTGTAATGATCAATTGAAGTCCCAGAGTTTTGGGCGCCACATCATTAAGCACACTGGTATCAGATTCAAATGTTCTCTCTGCGATACGACCATACCAGCTCGGAATGACCTCGTCACCAGGCATCGCCATCGTCACCCGAATTGCTCTCAAGCAGACTTTATCATTATCCCAGGTCGCGATAGTCAAGCGTCTTTCTGACAATGGCCACCACTCTTTTGCCATGTTTCAGATGGTCTGTCGCATGTTATGTGATATGTGAGTGTCCAGCAATCGGGAAACCATCATCCAAAACTCAGACGTTCTTTCCAGTTAAACCCCTTTCAGCTGGCTGAGATGGGCGCGATTTTCGGTTTCGGTTTTAAGATTGTTGGGCCTGCAGCCTCTCGTACTCAGCTCTGCCTTCCCCATTGGCTTCTCTTCCCCTCGCACGTACCAGTTGCCTGCTTGGGTTGAGTTGTTATTGATTTATTGATTTCGCATTCGGACATCGACAATTCCTCTCCATTGATATGAAATTGTATACACTAGGGCGTCATGGTCGATTCGCGACGCTGAAGTATATACACACTGGTACCGTCTTATTCTTACCATATCGTGGTCTCTAGGTTGTTTGTATGGTTCTAGTAAAAGCCCTTGACGGATGAATTCTGCTGTAGCACATCGAATAGGAACTATATGGTGCATTCGGTCTACTGGCGCACAATTCACGATGCGTGTTGTATCGATACCATTTCTTATTTTATTGTTGATCCTATCTTGGACCGCCACCTGCTATGTAGACATTACCTATACTTCTTGTGCTTCTCGAATCATTAAACATTTCGGTGCCACCCTTCATATACCCTCATAATTAATCAATTTAGTCTTTGTTTGGTTTTTGTACTTTAATTACCACGCGCATTAAATGTGATGTGCGTAGGCCGAGCTATATCTTATCGTTCATCGCTTCGAAGCCGCTTAGCCTTCGAATCATCCTTTGGCTTTATCGATCATCCTTCACTTACACATTCCGCATTCGTTTCTTTAACATTCCTCGAGCCTCTTTGACTCTCATTCACTATACTACTAACATGGCCTGTGACGTCTATCGAACTCAACCCGAAAACTTTGCGAGGTACTAGCTTTCTCTTCTTTGGAGCTGGCTGGATTCTCACTGCGCATTTTGTAGCAGATCATCTTTGATTAAGCAGCGGAAGCTAACCTGACTTGGAGGTAAACCTGTCGACAGGCCTGGGGTGGGATGTGTGCGCCAACACACAAATAACTCTCAAGCTGCTTTCATGATTATCCCAAGTCACGATACTGAGGCGTTTTTCTGACAATGACTACCACGAATGCATGAGTTATATGTTTCACGGCAGTCATGATACTCAGGACGCTGAGATGTAGGCTCCCATGCATCATTCGTGACGCTTCATCCATTTGAACTTTCCTATGTTCTGCTATTCCACCATTGTAGTAGATATCGCAAGAATGAATTTGAGTAATCCATACTGTCGCTTGAGTTACTTGTGTGTCGATAGAGCGATAAGATTTACGTCTGTAATCGCGCTGCCTACCCAAAGGCGAAACGACACACGCAAGCGCCCGCTTATTCAGTTCCGTCATCAGGCATCTTTTGTTTGCTATACTTGCTCCCCCTGCCTATTCGCCATCGTTCGTTGGCCACATCGACGTGATCAAGTCTATTCCTCTCCAATAAAGGAATGTACCTTGCGCTGCGCTTGTACGTCCCTGCGCCGAGTGGGACACCAAGGACCGGTTCTCGGCCTGACATCGAATGAGGGAGCGTATGAGGTGTCAGTCCTGTCTGACTGAAAGGGAAGTATTGAGGTGGTGGAGAATGATATTGAGTGGCAGCTGTGAGGAAGTGCTCGTCTAGGACTGTGTGGATGAGGGAGCGTTGATGGATAGAATGGAGTTGGTGATAGAGCTCTGAGCCGGCGCCGCTCTCTGTACCGTCGCCATCTGTTTGCCATGTGACATCCGAATCTGCGTATGCACAGTCCCAAAGCATGAGAGGAAGGGCAGTCTGCCATCTGATACTCGGGTTTGCGATCTACCAGTGGCAACGGAGACTTAGTTGATGAATCTGATTCTGCATGAAAGACGTTCATAAGAGCTGGTATAATGGATGGCTGTTCAACTCCTGTTCCGACGAGGAAAAGGACAGCCATGATATGTCGAACTTGATGGTATAGGAAAGCAGATCCTACGAGATCGAATACGTATACTCGATTATCGCCGTCAGACTCTGGAGAGAGCGGATTGATCTGTGCGCGCATGACACAGCGGTGAAAGTTCGTGATTTGTTTTCCTGGATCAAGCTTGCACATATTGCGAAAGTCATGTTCGCCGACGAGATGGTTTGCAGCTGATTGCATTAGAGATACATCGAGTCCATGAGAGGTGAAGAAGTATTTGTAATGTCTGTGTTTACAGTTGAATCGAGCGGAAAAATCGGGGGAAATGGAAGACCATGCTAAGACGCGGATTGTTGGAGGGAGCAAGCGATTTAGTATGGATACGTAGCGGAGCTCGTGTTTTGCAGAAGACTGGAGTGAGGTGTTTTGGGGAGCGTCCTCCGTAGATAGGTCCTCCTCAGACGATGGTGATGATGTTACCTTGGAAGAAGTTTCGGTGGGGAGAGCACTTCGAACCCATAACGAAACTACCTGACCAGCAGCACTCACTCCTCGATCTGTCCTTCCACATTTCTCCCATCCACACCCATCCAAGCCACCAGTTTCATCGACGAGCCTTGCCTTTACAAAGGCTTTGAACAAGACGTCCTCGACCGTTGGAAGAGGCGTAGGACCGTTTTGATATGCCAGTCCATTATACTCCCACCCCGAGTAACAGAACTTGATAGCGATCTTCCGCTTCGGGTGGGATGAAAAATGGAATGGTTTCTTAGATGTTGGTGAATGAGTTGACTTGGGGTGCTTTTTGGCCTCCAGCTCTCTGAGACGTGCGATCAGCTCATCCTTTGACCAGGATTCGTAGTTTGGTGTCATGATGCGGAAATATTGCGTTTTGGATGGTAGAAAACGGTACGTGAATCCAAATCTTCCAAAACGCATGAGACTGCAGCAACTTACTGGTCAGCAAGCTCTTGGTACGCAGAAATCAATTCTTATGTCCGTCCGGGACTTCGGGCCGGGCCCTCAGGCCAGCTCATTATTTTCCTTAGAAGCCTCTGAATCTAATCCACCATGATTCTGTCGTCCGCGCGCCAGACGCTCAGCGCCAGCGCTCACCACTGGAATTTCATCAAGCGTTCCTCAACGCTGTGCTGCCACGGTCATGGCTAAGTCACCACAGCACTTTCACTTGAAGTAGACTGACAAATGCTTGTTTGTCTCCACAGTGCAAAAGATTCGGAATCGAAGGGAGGGAAATGCTATACCCTGTACCACCGGTTCTTGTGAATTCACACTTTAACTGTTATGTCACCGGATTCCACATCGGTACTGGCAGCCACTTGTCGGGCCTGGCCTCGTCGGTCTAACCCTAGTCCGATTGGTACATATCTCAATGATACTACGGGTCACAAGCTTCATATTGAATCCAGATCCCTCCACTATCCCGATTACTCCGGTACACTTGACTCCTTCGAGATGTCATAACAATACGCGAGACATAACATAGATACCATACTGTTTGTTATTTCGCTAATGACGCGTGCTCACAGTGCTCCTTTGACAGATGATTCGTCTAGGTCCGTGTACCGTATCTGCAGCTAGTCGTTTCATCCACTGCACTTTGGTATCTCAGCTGCTGTCAGTGAACTTTCAAGGGACGTGCTAGTCGGGTAACTGACATCTACACTACACTTAGAGACAGGTTGTGACATTGTCTAGATTTAAAATTCTGCAGATAAGTCGCCTTTTCGTGGCTTTCAACTTGACTGATCCCTGACGATGTTTCCGATCGCAGCTCGACAAGAGGCACGAGTGTTGGCTGGGATCGCCAGGTTTCCATTAAGCTCTCGGGTTCGTGAAATTCCGCTACAATGGTGGTGGAAGAGATAGATTAGTTACGCACTGTGTCGTCGCAACCTTCAAACAGGCAAGTTGATGGATGGTAGTCACTTCTGGTCAGTGTGCCAATGTTGCCATCCCAGAGCGGATCACCATGGCAAGTGACCCACTTATCAAATCGATTTCACATTGGAGTATTTTCTGAAGTGAATTCTGTATATGACAGGCGTCACATTGGAAAGCCTTCGTGGCACCCGGGTAGATCAAATTTTGATCCGTCGATTGAGGATACGATCCGCAGCGCCTAGGTGATATAGCGAGATGCTACGAGTTGGTCATATATATGGTTTCGTTCGTCTCCCGGGCCGACTCATTGTCGTACCGCGTTGCAACCCATGTGCCAGTGCGCAGCGTAGATGGCCAAATACCAAATAAAATATTCATTCAGTCAACACAGCACCTCTCTGATCTAATATGAACACAGATCGGTTAGCGGCAACATTCTCTACCATTTCTTTGTGGCTCACTGTTCTTTATTTCAGCTCGTCTGAAAACTTCATGGTCCATGATATCATGATGCTCCGGCCTGAGTATAACAGGGCGAATTTCATTCTGATTGATCGGGGTATTCTGTGCGACCACAACACCAAGGTCACAGTGCACCCGTGTAACTGGGATGGCTGCATGATGCATATTGCTGTAGAGCACAAGCAGGTCTGCAAACATCTCCAGCAACATCATGGTCTCAACACCACCAGCCCCACGAGCGACGACATGCAGCAGACTACGTGTCTTTGGACGGCTTGTCTCGGTGCCCACATGAAATTGGAGAACCTCCCACGTCATATGTTGTTATCACACCTTGGAGTACGGTGGATTTGTTCGACATGCGGGGGTTCACTCTCGCGGGAGGATGCCTTTCGAAGACATGCTCTCGAAAGACCGGGCTGCCAATATGCGAAACCCGTTGTCAAGTATGGAGATGGATCACTGGTAATTGACAACAGTGTAGTACTTGATGGGGGTTGGTCGGCCAGCCAAAAGGTCCGAGTCACGGTCATGTGAATCTTCTAACTTCTCTTACAGTAGTATCCCTATCGGTTTGTGTTCCAACCTCAAGTATATGCACCTCCCTATAGCTCCTGTCCGTCCGCGTCACGTCAGTGATCATGAATTGTCTTACCGTGTACTCCTACTTATGTAATTGATCTGCACTATTTGCAGCGGAAATTGCGTCTTTTCTCCTTGGATTCGTTGTAGTGTCGACCATCAAGTTATTCGATTGTCTTTATATCAACTTGAAGATACTAAAGTTTCAGTCCCATTCAACTACCTTCCAAGGCCTGAATTTGACGCCTACAGCTTAAGTCATTCCGCTTGCTTCAATATGGCAGTGCATTGAAGGAACAAAATACAGGTTCGACAGTACATACGTCCACAGATCAAGCTTAAGATCCAACTAAAGTAACAAAATGAGCATACAAGCTGTGCTGTCGTCGGTAATGTGCATAATAAGCTGCAAGAATATCAGACGGGAAAATCATGGCCACGACAGGCAAAGGCGTTTGGCACGACTGTCATGGGGTTCAGATTCTCTGCACTCCTTTCGTTTTGAGACCTTCAAGTGGCGCAGCTTAGAATCTGATCGGGTAAACTGCTTTCCGCAACTACCACATTTCGTTTTGTCGCTCAAATGAACCGTGACGATGTGCCGCGATATGCTCTCCTTCTGCATCTCCTTCCCGCAGCTGTCCCAGTGGCACAGCATCTTATCTTTGTCGCCGCCAGATTTAACATCGTGGTGCAGTTGGAGGTGTTTCATCACTTCGGACCTGTCGACAGTCAGAACTGAAAGGCACCCGCCATCCCAGCGGCATCGGCCCGGGCATGATGTGTCATTCAATGATGCATAGCCATTCCTCTCCTCCGACCGCGGCGGTGTAGGCAAATGAAGATCGGTTCCGCCACAAGAACTAGATAGATAAACATCGCCGGGGTTCTGCGCGTGACTTTGTATGTCGCTGGATGATGGCTCGACATGATGATCTTGGGCGTGCTTGTTTGCCCACGGGAAATAATCCTGAGATGATCTCCCGTTGGAAGATGATGCGTCAGGTGACTGCGGCGGGGGACTCGTAAAAGGAATCCACCACTGGAATGAATCGTCATCCATAGAGCGGGTCATGGAAAGCTCTGGAGAGGAGTTACTGGAAAATTCGACAAAAGGTTCCAGGTTGGAGCTGCGACCTTCAAAATGGCCAAGCCAGCTATGATAGGGTGCATCCCTTCCGTTGTCTGGATCAAGAGCGTGAATAAAATCGAACTCCATGGGAGATGGGCCGCTAAAGCTGGGCGACCGTGCGCCAAGCACAAAGGGGCCCTTGTTGAACGCGGAATCGCCGCGTGTCCAGTCACCGCCAATGTCCGAGCCATGATATTGAGTTCCTGAAAGAGACGACCTGCAAAGAACTCCTCAGTAAATATTTCCGCATATGCGCGCAACCACACGAACTGGAACTGATCATAGATTGACTCGGGTTCTTGGAACAGACTGCGTTGCGCTTTAGAATGGGAAGGGCAGGTGGTTGATTGCTTCGTTATTTCACGTTGTGCCCTGAAAAGACGTAGGACTAAGTGATTCCGGTAGTGCAAGTAGTATTCATACCTGATCATGGTTGTGCGACTATCCCGGATAATATCCTCCAATTTGTTGCATTCAATCCGCAACTCTATATATCTAAGCTCCAAGTCTGTGCATATATCTATATCCTGCCTGTATTTGGATGAGGTGACGGGTGACTTCGTTCGCGCTTGGGTGACGCCATCGTCTTGGTGGGGTACATAGGATCTACGTCTATACCGGTGGCATCTATTATGGGAGGAGTCGGACGAAAACGGGATTGTGTTTGTCGACATTTTTAATTGTGTCTCTGAAGTACGGATACAGGCCTGTCATCATTGTCAATAGAGACTTTATATCTGTCCATGATTAGCGCCTTGAAGGGCATGCGCAGAACTATTTGCGGGCAAGCCGCAATTGTGCCGGCACGAACCGTCAGCATGACGATTCTGCCACTAGATCTGCCACCTGGTCAGAGCGCTATAGGCTACTGTCACTAGCCACTGGAAAGTGTATTATCGGCGGACAGTCACACATTGTCACATCCGCCGAAAACAAGTGGCTGGCACATGTGGCAGTGTTTACATGCGGTGTCGTGGCTTTGTAGCATTCATCATTGTTATTAAAAGCAATTAAAAGCGATTTATTGAATATGCATTATCAACTGGTATGAAATTATGAGGGGCCATAGATGACTTGCATATGGTACAAAAGAAGGTGCCACGAATGAGTAAGTAGGTTGGTGGTGCTTCCTGGCAGCATGTTGAATGGACTGGCGGCGTGCAGTGGCACGATCATGTAGAGTCTGAGCAGAGATCTAAACAAAATGATCCGGTGTCTTCATATTATGGTGGATCTCAGCTGATGAGCTTTTGCTGCTGCCCTATAGCTCTTATATTTTCCTCTTTGAACTCCAGCAAGGGCTTCTTGAATCCGCGACTTGTGCTGGACCCTTTGCTTGGATTTGGGGAATGGGCACCCCTGCTCCAAGCGCACCTCATCTGTCATCCAAAATTCAAGCAGATTTGCCAGTACACTGAGTGGTCCGGCGGAAATAAAACTCCGCTACAACAGACTCGGCTTGGTGGCAATAGTGTTACCTTGCGAAGCAAGGTCAGGTTCACATGGATCATTTTATGTGATTTCCAAATAATAGTAAATACAGTGACGCCATACAACGTGATACGATGATGCGAACTTATCACCTACCTCCGATTTCCCTTCCAATACTTGTCGTTTTCTGAATAACAAAGTAATAACTTAGACCGTGCAACTCCCTCGCGCCCAGAGCTCCGCCCACAGGGCGAAGCTAGCGCGCTTCCCTTCCAATATTCGTCGTTTTCGGACAACTCCCTTTTTTGTTAATATGTTGGTAATAATGTGATGAATAAATAAAAATTAATCCTATAATTTTACGCCGCGACCCTAAACATCGTATTTACTATCTATCTATCGAAACACCATGCAACCTAGCGTATTTAAACTGCTAAGTACCTCCATCAGACATTTGGCTCCAGTATGACAAAGCTTTAGCTAGCTTTATCTAATGTATAATATCAATAATATGTATCACAATTGTAGACCACATGACAAAGGAATAGATAGGTAGACTACATAGGTAGAATCTGCCAAAGCTATAATATTGATGGGCCTGTGGTATCAAATTGCAATGTACTGGCACACTGATGTGTCGTTGTCAGATGTATCTACTCTTGCATGGGTTGCTTCCAATATATAATGAATAACATTGTGACAAATGAATGATATTGACTTGTAATGGAGTATCAATCTGGTGATTTTCTACCAAGCCTATCAAGCTTTGGATAGGTAGCTTCCGACGGTCAATTGTATAATGGGCAACATTGTGACAAAGAGATAATATTGACTTGTAATAAAGTATCAATCTGGTGATTTTCTACCAAACCTATCAAGCTTTGGATAGGTAGCTTCCGACGGCCAATTGTATAATGGGCAACATTGTGACAAAGAGATAATATTGACTTGTACTAAAGTATCAATCTGGTGATTTTCTACCAAGCCTATCAAGCTTTGGATAGGTAGCTTCCGACGGTCAATTGTATAATGGGCAACATTGTGACAAAGAGATGATATTGACTTGTAATAAAGTATCAATCTGGTGATTTTCTACCAAACCTATCAAGCTTTGGATAGGTAGCTTCCGAAGGTCAATTGTATAATGGGCAACATTGTGACAAAGAGATGATATTGACTTGTAATAAAGTATCAATCTGGTGATTTTCTACCAAACCTATCAAGCTTTGGATAGGTAGCTTCCGACGGCCAATTGTATAATGGGCAACATTGTGACAAAGAGATAATATTGACTTGTAATGGAGTATCAATCTGGTGATTTTCTACCAAGCCTATCAAGCTTTGGATAGGTAGCTTCCGACGGCCGATTGTATAATGGGTAACATTGTGACAAATGAATGATATTGACTTGTACTAAAGTATCAATCTGGTGATTTTCTACCAAGCCTATCAAGCTTTGGATAGGTAGCTTCCGGCGGCCGATTGTATAATGGGTAACATTGTGACAAATGAATGATATTGACTTGTACTAAAGTATCAATCTGGTGATTTTCTACCAAGCCTATCAAGCTTTGGATAGGTAGCTTCCAACGGCAGAAACCACCATCAATGACAGTGTGCCAGGGTGTGATATGGATTTGTCATGGTCCATCAATATGGTGATTTACTTATCAAGCATGTCTGCTGCTACAGGGGCAGCTTCCAATTGCAGGGTGTATCAATCACTGACAGTATGCCCAGAGATGATATCAAGTTACCATGCCCTATTAAGATGCTGATCAAGTACCAACCATGTCTGGCTTTACATGGGCAGCCTCAGATTGCAGAAGTCACCATCCATGACAGTGTGTAGGGGGGTAGCATTGGGTTATCAATAAGGACACTGAGTTGAGCTCTAACATTGGGTTGCAAAACCCTATCAAGATGACGGTCTTCAACTACCCTGACATTTGCAGTTTATGATGGCGCAAGACACCATCTATGACAGTGTGTCAGGGGATGACATTGAGTTATCATATCCTATCAAGTTGATTACGATGGCAGGAGCCACCATCCACAACACTTAGCTGAACACTGGCATTGGGTTATGAAGTCCTAGCAAGATGCTGGTATTCGGCCGAGGATGTCTACTATTACATTCACAGCTTCTGTTGCAGAGGAAACTACCATCTGGAT